TATCTTAACCAATTTAAAATTCCATCCTAATCATTAGTTAACCATCTAATTTTAATTTGATTAAAAAATCAAATTATGGATAATCACATAAACCAAGTCAAATAACCATAATTGAAATTGCTCATTTATCTCCTTGAAAACAGATTTTCAAACATTTATCCATAATTAAATTTAAATCCATAATTTAAAATTAATTAAAATACTTTATTTTTATCAAAAAAAAATTTTAAAAAAAATGAAAAACAGGGCTGCGTGACTGAGCTGCTGCCCAGCCACGTCACAGCCACTGCAGCAGCCAGGACGGAGCCCAGCCACCGCAGCAGCTGCCCGCCACAGCCAGTCAACCGCCCAGCCACAGCGGCGCACAAGGCTGCTGCCCAGCACCCCTATCAGCTCGAGCAGAGCTGAAACCGTGCAACAGTTGCAGGTTCAGCTCTGCTCGAGCCCAGCACCGACTCCCCTGCCGCCCCTCCGCCATTTTCGACCACCGGAGCAGCCACCGTGGCTCACCATTAGGTGGTTCTGCCACCCAGTCGTGGCTGCTCCCCTTCAAGCTTTAAAATTTCTTTTTTTTTTTGTTTGAGTTAAATTAATTTCACAACTTTTGCAAAATTAAATTTTTGGTGATCTAATTATAAATTAAACACAAACTCCTTATGTATAATTTCAGAAAAAATTAATCAAAATCTCCATTTTAATTAATTTAGGGCTTTTCATAAAATAATTCTCAATTCATATAAAACCAATTTTACATGAATTAATTAATCATATCTAAACAATTTTAAATATGAAAAATAGATTATATTATATGAATTTAACAATTAAAATCGAAAATTAGGGTTCATAACCATCAAATTCGAAATTTTGGGGCTTTAGGGTTCTTTAAAAAAATATATGGTTAGAGGCTATTTGAGCAATTAAATTCACAATTAATCAATTCCAATCAATTAAAATCATATTTTAATTGGGTTATTCGATCCATAATTTAATTCCTCCCCTTAATCAAATTAAAATTAACATAAAATACATCAAAATAATCATATTATTGTGATCAATAAATTATATGCAAGGGGCTAACTGATACCACTGTAGGGTTATAGGTACTCTAAGCGGAATTTCATGAATCTCATTCATACGCACCTAAACAGGATCTCATGCATATACAAATAAAGGATCACATAATAGTTTAGAATTAACCTTTGATGCGTGAATTCCCAAGCTTTCTTCTACCTTCTTGCGGAGATTAGAGCCTCAATTGTTGCTCCTCTAATATTGGTCCACAAGTGTAGATCGAACCTCCACCAATGCTAATTGGACGGGAGATATTAATCTCCTCTTCTATGGAGAACTTCTAACCGGTTGTAGAGAGAGAGGAAGGGAAAAATATTACGTTGTTTCTTTTTGAGAGATGAACGTCTGTATTATTTTTCCCAAGCCCTTTATTATATATAATCATATTATCTAATTAGGGCAAAACTTATTCCTATCTTACTCCTTATGGCCAGTCATTCACTAAGCCCAACTTTTGGACTCGGTATTCATGTTCGACCTAACACTGTAACGTGTGACCTCATAGGATCCATTTAGTTGGGATTGGTTTAACCCAATGATCAATATTGGTCTCTAACAAGACGTAAAGACGACCCAACTAAACGAACTTATTATCTCTATAATACGATCCATATTATATTAGTAATTGCACGAGAGTCGAGGACACATTTCCTTCAATAGTATGAGTAACAATTTAAAAAACTAATGACAAAATTCCCTATAAATTTTTCCATAATTAACAATTGACTAAGTTGATAATTTTCACTAGGTTGTTATCCCCACACACACACACACACACAAACTAAGTGAAGAGAACAAAATCTTATACTACCTCCGGTTATTTGTAGTTGTAACTTTTGGGTATTATTTGAGAGATATAAAATATTTCAAAGTTGCAACTAAAAAAAACGAAGGTAATAATAGTTTCAATATAAAATATCCAAATGACCAAATATCATTTTTTTCATAATTTACCTTAAAACATCAATATTTTTATTTTTTGAATAAGATCTTAAAATATCATAATACATTAATACATACTCTTTCCGTATTCTAATAAGAGCATCTCAAATGCTAAGCTACAACGCTTTGTAGTTATTTTTTTTTTTTATTTTTTTTTTCCAGGGAACAACGCTTTGTAGTTTGCTTGCCCCATCAATTTTTAAGCTACAATAATTTTTAGGATTTTTTGACATTTACTACCACTAAAAACGCCTCTCTTCATATTCAGTACCAATTTTAATTTTTTTTTTTACTTTGCTACCACCCTAAACATAATTTGTTAGAAATTACTACCTTATGCCTTACATCATTATAATTTCCGTCAGTGGGGCTGTGCCACCGTCTAGCCACCTTCTTGCCACCCTCCCACCTTCCAGCCTCCCTACTACCAGCCTACCACCAACAATCAACCACCAACAACGACCCTTGTCTCACCACCGCACACAACACCTCCCTCCACCGTCACCACCCTTCCATCACCACCGCAAAATCTTGCAGCAGCACCGTAGCGCACCCACCTTCATCGTCGAGGCAACACCACGCACCGCACCTCCTCCTTTAGCACGAACACCGCAAAACACCACCACGCACAGCGGCACATCCCCCTTCAGCAGCAGCACCAACACCGTCACCAAATTGCGACCAACAACGAAGCCAACCCCCCCTGAAAACCCGATCGATCCAAGCCCCGATCCCACCCCTCCCCTTGAATTAGGGTTTGAGATTTGCTCAATTGGGGTTTTTGGCTGGGATCGAGGCGGGTTTTGAGGGGAGGGGTTGTTGGTGGTGGTGGTCTGGGTTTGGGGGTTAGGGTGGTGTCGTGGTGGTGGTGAGGTCTGGGTTCGTGGGTTTTGGGTATAGGGATGTCGGTGGTGGTGGTCTGGGTTTGGGGGTTTGGTGGTGTCGTGGTGGCTCGTGGGTGAGGAATAGAGAGGGGGGTGAAGTCGCCGGCGCCGACCGACTCTTTTGGCGTCGGCCGCAGGGGGGAGGGGAAGGGGTGGGTGGCAGTTTAGGGGAGTGGGTGGCTGGGTTTTTTCTTTCTTTTTTTTTTATTTTTTTTAATAAACTTAACGGAAATCCTAACGGATTCCGTTAAGTGGTAGTTATTTTTAACAAACTCTGATTTAGGTGGTAGCAAAATTCAAAAAATTTTAAAACTGGTACCGAATCTGAAGAGAGGCGTTTTTAGTGGTAGCAAATGTCAAAAAATCCAAATTTTTAGTTACAAAGTGTTCCAATGGTGAGCTACAAGATTTAGTGGTTTGCAAAAAATAAAAAATTAAATATTTGTACACATGTTACAATATAAGTGGAGTTTATTTGTCTCTATTTCATGCCATCAAGCATGTAGTTTGTTTAAGCTACAATATTTAGCATGTTGCTCAATCTTTTGTTATCCAATGATAAGCATGTAGCTAGATAACTTATTTATTTGAGAGTGAGGGATAGCTTAAGGGGTTAGAGCTCCCCTTCCGATTTCAAGAGATCTTGGGATCGATTCTCACCCCCGCCCTTGTGGCTCTCTAAACACCAAAAAAAAAGATAACTTATTTATTTACCTCGTTTTTTTAGTTAACACACATTTATATTAAAAAAAGTTTATTTTTAGTTGACACGTTCCCATTTTAGGTAAGTTTAATACCTTGCATTTACTAGTGTACCCCCATTTGCTTTATCATTATCTCTCATTCTCTCTATTCTCCTTAATATGTGTGCCTATTGCCTAAATTGAAGGCTCCAACTAAATAGAATGGGAGGAAGTATATTGCAAGCAAGTCCTTACAACTCAACCATTAAAAATGCTCTAAGTACTATTACGTAGTATATTTCTCTAAGGCATGTATGTTGATCCAAATATTTAACCAATTTTATTTTTAAATATCAATACCTACTCTGTATTTTACTAATTAAAAATTAAAAATCTATTCATATAAATGATTCCAACAAGTAGTTAGAAGATTTTTTTTTTTAAAATGTATAAATCATTAGCATTATTCAAAGAAGTCAAGTGAATAGTACAAACAATGCGAATCTATTATGTGTCAAAAAAAATGCTAATCTATTAGCTAATACTCCGTACTAAAACAAAGCATTGCTGACATCATCAACTCTTAAACTATATCCTACATGTCATTCTCACATTAAAATTTTTCCCTCCAATTCTATGTGATGTCATCAATTATTAATGATTTTTTTATCTACATTTTTAACTTCAATGCATAATTATAAGTGTTTGTTATAATTCAACTAACCAATTTTTCTTCCTAAATTATAGTTTTGCATACCTAATTTGTTTGTTGTTTGATCGTGGTTTCAATTTTTTTTTTCTTACTTTCCTTAAATGTTAATGAGCGATTTCTCTCAATAATGTTGAAACAAAAACAAACTCCCATTATGCACCCATTTTGAAACAAATTCCCAATATACCGTCCATGTAGGATTGGTATTTGATTTGGCTTAAGACCGCTAATGTTGTTAACGATTTTATGTTAAATTCGCTAGCTAGCAATTTTAGCGGTTTTATTTTTTAAGAAGCAAAGAGATTTATTATTACTGAAATCAGGTTTCTTTGAACTTAATAGTAATAATGTGGCGCTCTCTTTCTTGCTGTTGGCTAAGGCATGGCTTCAGAAAAGAGACCACATTTTTATTGACAGATCTCTTTGCCTCCTTACATTTTAAAAACTTTTTTGAAAAGGTAAGGAGGAAAAGAAACATGTTAATAGAAAAAGGTGGTCTCTTTCCTGAAACCGCTAATAACGGTAGCGATTTTAAAGCTATAATCGCTATTGCTATTAGCGATTTTAAGTTGAACCAAAAAAAAAAATACTCAACACCGATCCTACATGGACAGTATCTAGGGAATTACTATAATCGCTGTAGATGCTATAATCGCTATTGCATTAGCGATTCTAAATCGACGCACAAAGGGAATTTATTTTTATTCTAGCAATATTGTGGGAAATTGCTAAATGTAAATGAGCGATTTCCCTCAATTTATTTTTATTCTAGAAATCTAATTCTAATTTTTATATCCAACCTAATGCAACAAATTATATACTCCCTCCATCCCCGAAAGAACGACTCTTTTGGGTTGTTTTGGCGAATATTAATAAAGTTAAATAAAAATAAGTAAAAGTATATTGAAAAGATAAATTTACATAGGGTTTACAATAAAGTAGAGAGAGATAATAATAAAAGTATATGGAAAAAGAAAATTTTATATGGGGAAGCTAATTTTACACAAATATTATTGCAAATTGGTGGGTATTTTAATGCTAATGGATCATTCTTTTTGGGGCTAAAATTAGGTCAAATGGGTTGTTCTTTCGAAAATGAAAAGAGTAATACAAAAAAATAATTTTAATCGTACATTGCACGAGAATAACCTACTAAGAGTAACTAGTCAATCACTTCCATAAAAAATATAAAAAAAAAAAAAAAAAAAAAAACCTTCGTATGATTACATAAAAAAATGATATTTTTATTTTAAAAATTAAAAATTGCCATAGAAAAATGACCGATCATTTCCCCTAATCCAAACTTTTACAATTACAATTGCAATTACCCCCAAAGAATCTCGATGTTGACAGACACAAATACAAGACTAAAACTACTCTGGTACAACATACCAAAACAAAGCAAACCCTTTATTCTACTGCTCTAAATCATCAATTCCCTTATATTTTAAGGTAGATTTTCTACTCTTTTCTTACTAATTTATTCACTCTTCTTCTACTTAGGGTTTTACTATTTTTTATGCTCATTATTTTAATTTGATTTTGTATTGCATTTACGAAATTCTTTTGATTAATCTTTATTGTTACGTGCACTTTCCTTTGATAGTTTAGATTTCACTTTATTTGGGTATTTCTGAATTTTAGATTCTCTGAAATTTTGATGGATGATGGTTTTATATTCCCACGCAATGGCCATAACTTTTTACACCATACGTTACAAGAAAGATTTATTGAACTCCCCTTAAGGAGTGCACAATTCCCGATTGCTCTTTTACATAGGTCGGGTATATAACGAGTGTGTTTAAATCGATTTTTTTTTTTTTTTTTTAACTTTGTATTGTGGACAATTTTAATCTGATTGTTTTCACACATGAAGTAGAAGATTAGGTACAAGTACTTCTGTCGTCCTAAATTGTCTATTGTGATAGTCATGAGACGGATGGAGTACGAAGTAATTTAATTGAAAATTACCTTGATTCTTGCATGAAGCTATGAGTTGGTCTAATGTGGATGAAATTGAAAAAGAGTACGAGTCGTTTCATTTAGTTAAACACGGAGGGAGGATTTTTAAGGATCACAGGTGCAAGTATATTGTGAGTAAATACAGATGGTTGGAACTTGGAAGTGCTAGTTTTACATCAACTTTTGTCATTCCTTTGCAGATTGATGCAGTAAACATTATTTACATTAACTCAGTAACTGACATGTTACTGCATTTTACATTTGTACTGTATACTTTTGAGGTAGTGGTAGTAAGTATAAAATAATATTACCAATAATAATGACATTAATTGCTAGAATTGGAAATGAATACTTACTGCTGACACTCTTTGTTTTTCATTCACTGGAAAAGTGTAATGTTAGTTGACTCTTTTTTGCATATTTTTCTTTTTTGGGGTGTTTAGGTAAGTCATAATTTTGAATGATATACTGTAGATGGGATTAGATCTTTGTCATAGTTGTCTGGGTTGGAGAAGTGTTTAACCAATTTATTGACTATTCTATACATGTGTTTTTCTTACTGATTACTGTTTCTTATTGAGCTGATTGTATGTCATTATGTCAATAATGTCATGTTTGTAGGAGATGATCTATTGTTAGTTTGTACTCTGTAGATGCTTAAGTTGCTAACTAAAGTTTAATTAGTTTCTATGGCATTGTTGAGTTTCTGATGGCTGACGCCGTCTTATGCAGACTTGCACTTGGCTAACTGTCTGTCTTGTAAGTAGTTTTTATGACATTGTTGAGTTTGTGATGTTTAACAATCAAATAATGTCTTCTGCAGTCTTGGCTAACCGTCTGCAGACATCGCTTATGATGGCTGATTGTCTTATGCAGACTTGGTTAACCGTCTGTCCTGTAGTTTTTATGACATTGTTGAGTTTCTGATGGTTAACGACGTCTTATGCAGACGTTAGTCCTGCTGTCTACAATCACGTAGTCATGGGTGACAAGGGGGAGGCTTGTGCCGAATGCTCCCGTAGTTGTTCGTCTTTCCATAGGACGATGCATGATCCTTACCCAATAGTTTCCTCATTCTTCAAAGTGATGTTTGGCAACCTTTTTTCTGAAGTACTGGTATGATCACATTACCTTGTTCTATTCCCCTTAAGTTTTGATACATGCATTTATCTATTTTAAGCATTTTCGGGTTTATCAGTTTGATTACAGTATAGTCCCTACATTTGCAGTTTGTACCTCCTAGATTTGCCAAAACTATCATACATTTGGAAGGCAAAAACACCTATCTAGAGGATCCAACAGGGCAAAAATGGAAAGTTAATCTGTCTAATGTAAATGGCTCTCTTGCTTTTGAAAAGGGATGGCATGATTTCTCTGTGGATCATGGCATTGAGTTGGGTGATTTGGTGGTATTTCACTATTTCAAGGGATCACATTTTATTGTTCAAATTTTTGGTAGAAGTGGGTGTGAGAAGCCAATGATTTACAATGGTATGGACTATCAGAACAAGAGAGCTAGATTAACCAGAACCGATCCCTGTGATTCGCCACATAATAAGGAACCAACACCAGAAAAAGAGTGCTTAGATTCTTGTATGGAAACTGAGCCTAATGTTGATGTACATAATGTGGAAAAATCGCCTGAGATAGGAGTAAATGTTTCAAGGGAAGGAAATATCAATAAACAGCCTGAAGAAGTTCCTACAGCAGACCCTCTGGTGGAGTCATTCTTTATGGGTGACAGAAACACAAGTTACACTAGTGAAGACCAGAGGGTCGATCTATACGATCTGTCCATTTTTGAGATGCCTGGACATAAAGCTGATGCTGATAAAATAAGTATGCTTATGGAGTATACGTGTTCTGAAGTTCCTAGCGCGTTGCAACAAAATCAAAGTGAAGAGGTCTCACCTGATGTTGTGAATTTCCAAATGGCTGAAACTATTAACGAGACTTCAAGTTAGTTCCTCTTGTTTATGACTATATTTCTGTGGGATATTTTAAGCATGCATTATAATTTTGTTCCTCTGGAAGTACCAATATCTGTACATCCAACCACCACAACCATCTTACATATTACCATCGTCTTTTGAAGTATTGTGATAGAACACATATGTATATCACAACTATACTTATACTTGGATTGGAATTGATTGTTTTGGTATCTCTTGAGGGATTTATGTAACAATCCTCCAGAAGTTCCTAGCTGAAGTTTGATTTGTGGATTGTTGTTGTTTTGTTTCTTCTTGCTCGTCTTTAGCTACTCAATTGTTTCTTTATAGATGAAGAAGATGCATCAAGAAAGGAATGTTTACCGGTGCTCAATAATACTGTGTCTGGGGCCGAAGTGCCTCTAGACATTTGTATGCCGCTGAAATCTGTCACACTGCCACATGCACCTGAATTCTCACCTCCAGCAGCTCCCGTTGAGCGAGTTGAGCCTCCTTGTATGTAACTATGTATTCCTTTTCTTATCATCATTTTTTGTGTCAGTTAATGGCATTACTTTGTATTTATATGAAATGTATGCTGATTTACCCTCTCTTGGATAGGTAAAGATTTGATGATATACAAGCCAGAACCAAAGTCTGATAAAATTATTTGTGGCCTTGAAGCTAAAATTGTTTCGAGGGATAGTGAAATCTCGTTTACCATCAAGGGGCGTAGGATCAAGAAAGAAGACATTAGCAGTCTCTCTACTTCTATGGACAAAAACAAAGGGCACATTGACATGATTGTGAAGCTAGAAGAACCTGAATTCTGTGATTCTCCATCTGCACGAGACATCAAAATCACATGTTTGGTGCAGCAAGACAATGAATCTTACCTTGTAAGCACTGACTTCTCATTACCCTCGTATCTTAGTCTTGTATTAGTATTTCGTTGAGTTCTAGCGTTTGTTAATCTGCTGATCTGTATTAAGTTCTGTCCTGTTCCTGTTATTGTTCGTGATCCTTTGCTACTAGAAATTTTCTTCTGCTTGTTGCCACAATGTTTACTTATATAGATTAACATGGAAAGCTCATAAAGTTTTGGACTTTTTTCTGAGTTCAATATAGTTCTGGACTTAATTTTCGCGTTTTGTATGTATCTATCAGTTAAAGTGACAACAATGAAGATTATTAAAACATAATTTTACACACTACCAAGTTTTAACTTCACTTAAACTAACATGGAATTTGTTGATACCTTGAGCTTGAGGGGTTGGAGGGTTTACCATTGTTCTGATTTCAATTGTGTAAAATTTCTGAACCAAGCATCTGTATGTCTGTATGGATTATGTCGATGTCAAAGGCATACCTGATTTCAGAATCGAGTGTACTGAACACTCCCTACGTTATCTCACTTTGGTATTGTTGAGAAACTATTGTAATCTTTGAACTTTGCTTTCCATTCCTATATCAAAACTAATACTACGTACCAAGTATATATGAACAAGTATATTTTTATGTTTTAACTTCCTGTCGTGCAATATATCGATCACACATTATTGCTTCTGCAGGCGTTACCAAAGCCTTTACCTATAAAGATACGCAGACAAGGTGATAGTTTAGAACAGAATCTGGTATTACTTCGAGATCCACTTCAAAGACTTTGGCCAGTTATATACCATCAGAGAAAAGGCTCTGAGGTTTTGGCAAATGGGTGGAAAGAATTTAGGAAGGCTAATTGCATTCATCCTGGTGATGAGTGTACTTTTGTAGTCGAAAATATCGATGAGGGTATAATCCAAGTCCAAATTGTTTCGCAGTTAGCTGATTAAATTTCTGTAAGGTATTATAGATGTCCAATATTTCTCTAGAACCAACTGAGTTTAAGACTTGTTAGCCGAAATCTATGTTATGGTAACTCAATTTGCTGCGCTGCTGCACATAAAAAGAGCACAGATCATGGTAGTAGACTGATATTATTCTGTAATTGTTGAGTCTACTGCTTTATTCCAGTCAATTGGAACATAAAATGTTGTTTTGTGAACGAATTTGTGTAAATTTTCATCTTAGTATTTTTCTTTGAATTTAGTATACAAATTATTTGTGTAAAAAGCTAAAGTTGTATGTGTACAAATTCCCTTATGCTTTAATTGCATTAAGCTCATACGAATTGTTTTGTAATTCATGAATTATTTTTTCCAATTACGAGTTTTATGAATTGTAGAGTACTTTGAACTAGTTACCAGTCTTACCACACAAGAATGGCGCGGGCTTGAAATTTTAACTATCATGTATTATTAATTACTCCCTTTGTCTTACCTTTACAAAGCAAAGGAGTACAACGTCCGTTTGAAAAAAGAAATCCATAGCAAAATTTTACTAATGTTTGTTTATAGAAAAAGTAGAAATTCACATGAATTTGAATATTTGATATCTTGTGGGAATTAAATTGATGAATAAAATTCGTGGGATATTTTCTAAAGTTTCTATTTGGTAATTAAATTTTTAAATTTTGTGGGAATTAAAAATTCCTCAATTATTTTTTTTTATTTTTTTTTTTACAAGCATCAGGTTTTTGACTTATCCCATTTCACTATATTTTTGTTTACTAATCGACTCCCCAAGGATTTTCTATTTTTCATAATCTCGTATTTTCTTACTCTAAACATTACCTTATTCAAAAGAAAAGGTTTATTTTCTTATAGTTTTGTCTGATTTGAATCAAATGTGGGGCGAAGGGAGTACACACATGTTTTTTTTACCTCTTTATGAGGACTATGACATTTCATGCTATAGACTCTAGTATTGTTTGGTTGACATGAGAATTAAATTCCCATAGGAAATTGCATTTTATGGAAAGTTATTTTCCTTATGAAATTCCTAGGAATTTCGAATTTCCTAAATTTGTTTGGTTGACAATGTGGGAATTTAGAAATCCCATGTATTTTGATTGTCCTATTGAGGCTGAGTGATGCTACACATACAATGGTTACCATTGTATGTATGCCATGTCAAAAGGGAGGAAAAAAATAAGAGGGAAAAAATAAGGGGAAACAAGATTAAGGAAGTGAACACCAAAATACAAACCAATTAAATGCTGCCAACAATGGTTGTATGTAGGCCATCACATACAAGTATACAACCATTGTATGTGTAAGCCTTTTCCTAAGGGGGCTAGATAATTTACTTCCCTTGTTTTGTGGGAAGTTGAAATTCCCATGAATTTCCATTTTCCCATTTTTGCTTTTTTATGTCAACCAAATAACTCCTCAATTTCTCAAATCCCATGGATTTCCACATCTCTCATTTTACAATTAAAGAAGAGTACAAATGACATGCACACATCTACTATTACAATTTCTTACAATGCTAATACTCAAATTACTATTTTATCCTTACACATAACTAATAATACTAGTATCCTTCAAAAAAAAAAAAATTGTAATTAACTACTTTTTTACAATTTCATACGAGTAATAATTTTTTTTTGTAAAAAATAAAAAACACACACAATTAATTTGTAATTAACAACTTTTTTACAATTTCATACGAGTAATAATTTCTTTATTCCCAAAAAAGGGACTCATGCTCATGCATAATGAAAAGTCGTTGACATAATTACAAATTTGCTATGGAATTAACATTTTTAATAAATTTATCAGCTCAAAAAGCTTGTTCTATACTCCATTTTTTTTCACCCAATTGGAGTTTCGTGTGCTAGTGCTTTGAGTTGAACTGAGTTGTGAAGTTGACAGGTTAAAACTCTGAAATTTCTGAGCTTTGTTGCACCATCATATTTAATTCCCCCCAAATTTACACAACACTATAATCAGAATTTATTATTTTCTTGTCCAAAAATGCAATTTCTCTGCTAAACACTTCTTTCTCTCTCTAATAAGGTACTACATCTCCCCCTTATCTTCTTTTTTTTTTTTTTTTTTTTTTTCCTTAGGTTAATTTTTGTTTGAATTATGTATTTTGCTTACTATCTCTTGTTGATTTTTTAGTTGTAATCCATTTCAATTTTTATTTATATTTTTCTGCTCACAATTTGACTAGAAGGGTGAGAATGTGAGATACATGACACTAGGAGTGTGAGAGTTGAAAGAAAAGAAATTTAAATAAAATAAAATAAATTAATAAAATTTCTGGAAAAAAACACGTTTTTTGTTTTTTGGGTTAATTTTGTTTTTGTCTTTTGGGTTAATTTTGGGTGAAAATTCTTGTTAATGAGGTTATAACTTTTCCATCTTCAGGGAAATTCTGTTGCAAATTTTTTTTCTTCCTAAATCAAACACTGTTTAAGGGATTCTGGCCTTCATTTTAGTTCAGAAAACTCTATAATTTGATCCTTTTATAAACTTGCATTTGGGTATGTTAGTAGAATGAACTATGTTTGTAGCATCTTTCCCCAAAAAACAAGCATATATATATATATGAGGAATTGTAGGTCCTTTTGATTATGGAGTATTACTTTCATAGGTCTATAAATTTCCTGGTTTGATCCATGGATTGGGTGCATTAGGTCTTATTTTGTAAACTTCAACTCCCCTTTCTTCAATTGTATGTATATATGTTAGTATAATCTTGTATACTTAAGTATGAGACGAAACAAGAAATTATTCATTGAGGGTGCTATGTTATTTTGGAGGCATTTAAAGTGTCCTATTGAGTTATGTTGGGTATATTATGAAAATATGTAGGGTGACTTGAAATTGTATCGACGATTATAGAGGGGTAGATGTTTTTGGGTGCACTTAAGCCTTTTTTATAATGTAGATGGTTGAGGTATATGGGTAGTTTTTCATTACAGTACTTATTTGAATGTTATTTGTGCTTGCCCAACTACATCCATCTAAGGATGATTAAGATACAGGTTTCGATGTAAACATCTTCAATAAAGTTTTATTGCTGATGAACTTGGATTCTCCTAACGGTTGGCTGCATATTTACATATTATTACTTTGTAATGGTCAAACAATGTCTTTTCCGGTTAGGTGCTTGCAAATGTGCCAAATGCCTCGAGAAGTTGAGTCTTGTGAAGAGTGTTTCATGAACTGTTTGCTGAAACATCAAGGACAGAATGATCATTCCCCAAAGATTCCCCCGTTTTTTAAAGTCATGTATGGCAAGAAGTTTTCTGAACAACTGGTGTGTTTTCAAAGACCCATATTGCCCTACTTCTCATTCAATTATTCTCTGTAGCAAAATCATAATTATCCCCCATTGATTTCAGCTGTTTAATGAGCTATTGTATAGATAACTGTTCTTTCTAATAGTCTATTTGTTTTGCAGTTTGTACCTCCCAAATTTAGCAGAATTCTTGTTTCATCAGTAGGAAAAAAGGCATGTCTTGAGGATTTAACTGGCCAGAAATGGGAAGTGGTGCTGTCTGATGTACAAGGCTCTGTTGCCTTCCAAGAGGGATGGCGTAAGTTTTCTCTGGATCATGGCCTCGATCAAGGTGATTTTGTGGTATTTCGTTATGTCACAGGATCACGTTTTATTGTTGAAATTTATGGCAAAAGTGGATATGAAAAATCATTTCCTAGTGTAAAGAGCTATCAAAACAAGAGACCAAAAACTTCCTCGAATTCTCCTTCTGATCCATTGTATAAGGAACGAGAACCATCACAAAGAAATAACTGTTTCAATGCCTATACTGTTCCTCGATCAAACACTGACATGGATGACATCATTTGGAGTCAGGATGATGTGAATAATCTAAATGATTCTCCTGTGATGGAAGAAAATGTTCAAAGACAGGTAAATGTCATTGAAAAGCCCCAGCTGGTTCCAGATGTAGATCTTTTAGTGGAGCCATGCTTCTTGAATGACAGAGAAACAAATTCTGCTAAAGAAGCTAATAGAGTTCATCTTTTAGATCTGTCTGCCTTCGAGTCGCCCAACATGAATCCAAGTTCTTCGAGGAAAGGTGATGCAGACAATCGTTTTGATCTGTCCATCTCCAACATGACGAGTGAGAAATTAGATGCCAGAGAAGACCTTGTGGAGCATCTATCTGATCAGCCTCCTTTCCAGTCATTTAACTTAAAACCTAGTTTCTCCATGAATGGTGATAGAGACGATATATCTAATCAGTCTACCTCCAAGATGATAGACAAAAAAGTAGATAATCATAAGGGTAACCTTCAAGGGAACACGTGTTCTCTAGTGTCAGGTGCATTTGATGAAGCTCAAACCAGAAGTACCTCAATTGATACAAAGAAGTTCCTTTTAACTAAAGGAAAGACTGCGGTACCTTCAAGTGAGTGACCTTGGACTTGTCTTTATTTGGTGATTTGCATATTTTCCTCATTTTTCTTTTGTCTGTCAGAAAATTATGAAGCAAACTTGTCAAGTTTTAAGCACGGTCCAGTTCCCAGTGTTTCTCCAAACCTGCCTTCGAATTTAATGCCACCCCCTAATATATTTGGTATAACACATACTTGTGAGCCTTCAGCTACATCTGGTTCTAGTCAGCCTCCAAATTCTAATTCTGTTTGTGGCAGGGAAGGTAAATGTAGGCTATGTAGCCGTGTTGTACTTTGGTGTGACTTGTATTTGACAATGAACAGCTTTCGAAATACTATGTTAATTGAGTGTTTTTTTCCCTGATCAGGAGGAACAGTGAGAGTAGTCAAGCAAGAACCAAGGGAGTTAAAGCAAGACCTTTCTGATAATTTGTTGGCAGGTCCCTTATTTGGTGCTAGCTTGTCTTTTGATAGGGAGGCCAAGAATAACTTTAGTGGTCTTGGTGTGAACATAAAGCCAATGGAAGATGATGTTGAAGTTTGTAAAGAAGTGAAGGCAGAACCAGTTGATTTCTGCGATTCTCCACTCGTACCTGCCAGCAGGATTATATGCTTGGTTCCATCAGATAATGAATCATTCCTTGTATGTTGGAACTTCTGATAAACCTTAACTGTCTCAATTACCATTGCTTTAATTTATGGATATTATTTGAACTATTGCTGTTGTTGCTACATCACATTATCCCTGTTGTTCCTTTGAGAAAGGATTAGCCAGACACTAGTGACGTGCGGTTACACCTCAAGATTAGAATAGGACTCAGAGCTGACTTAACATTTTCAAATGGCTGCATTTTGGTACTGTGATGTTCCTCAAACTTCTAGAGTGACTGCCTTAGTCTAGACTGAGTAAATCCTGCACAACTGTTGCACAGCCCAGCTTGACAGGCCTGTTTTGGACAGCTGCTGCCGGCATGTCACTTTTGTCTTAGCCCTGATCATCTCGGGTTTTATCAAACTTTTCTAGCCCTAAAATTTTCCTGAGCTGGTGATCCAGGCTGAAATGAGCAGGCTTTATTTTATACCATGGTGGTCAGTCTATGTTGAACATTATTCTGATTAAATTCTTTTTTGTGCAAGTTCTTGTAATTTTAGCTTCGGATGGAATTTTTGTTATTGGCTACCTTCTACTTTTGGTAATTTTTTCTTTCAGCAATGAAAACTCTGGTGTAGTCTTAATTACATGTCCAATTAGAAGAATGCAAGTGCATATTCTTTATTTTTTTTATCCTGACCAATTTCACATCTGGTATCCTACAATGCAGTAGACTGAGCCGTTCGTATTGTTCCGTTGCAGGAGTTGCCTGAGGCATTACCTATAAAGTGGAGGCAAAAATTAGATAAGAAACACAAGCTGATTTCTCTTAAAGATCCAGCTGGCAGAGATTGGCCTGTGTTATACCATAAGAGAAACAACCTCTTTGTTTTGGCTAGTGGATGGAAGGAATTCAGAAAGGCCAACAAGATTTGTTCCGGAGATGAGTGTGCTTTTGTGGCTGAAAATACTGTCAAAGGAGCATTCCAGTTCCAATTTCTCAATCGCTAGAACCCTCTTCGCTGTCCATAGGAGCATCAACCCAAGAACTGAACTCTGAAGATTTGTCGGCTTATTCAGATTTTCAGGTACCCTTGCTGTTGTATATGGTATTTGTAGAAAGCTAACTGGTTTGCCTTTTGAACTAATGGTGTTTCCCGGCTAAATGCTACTATGCTAGTGCCTCGCTGTATTTGAAACTCTGGGTTTACTTTTGTGAATGAAATAGTGTGTATATTCATCACGGTTTTTGTCTATCGAATATTTAAGGTATTCGCGGATGGAAATGAGCTGCTTATAGCATCAGCATCAGTCTATTATTAATAATGAAAAGATTGTTAAGTAACATATTCGCTCAGTGCTGATTGATTCTGGGATAGAACCCCAATTGGATTCGTTTGCGGTCAGATTCTACTTCAACGTAAGCATGTGTGTAGGTTAATCAAAGTTTTAACAAAAAACGATAATCCATTCTACACGAACTCAGAGCTCTGATTGTAGTTTTTAGTGCATAAACATCTCAGTTCATTTATAACTTAAACAAGAGTACAAATGCAGTTCAAAACAAAATTAAGAAGAGTACAAACTATGGATTGCAAAATTATAAGATTTGTTAAGGGATTTCACTTGTATTGTCAGCTCTAATTGCATCACTTTCAATTTCTTTCTTCTTTCTGGGCTTCAGGACTAATTTAACCAACCAAGCAGTCCATTCATGAAAGTGAAGAACAACATAAACTCCTAATCCTCCAATTATACCATTGGGTATAGAATTAGTAAATGGCATGAGAATTATTGTTATAAAAGCCGGTATCGCCTCTTTAAAGTTGCTCCATTCTATGTCTTTTGCCACCCTCATCATGATCACCCCAATCATAACCAAAGAAGGGCCTATTGCCCATGGAGGCACATTAATCAACAATGGCGCGAAAAATAAGGCCAGGAAAAAATATATACCTATGATCACCGCTGTTAGTCCTGTGCGTCCACCTTCCTTCATACCCGTCGATGACTCTGTGTATGTTGCCACCGGAGGGACACCAAGAGCAGAGCCCACGACTGTCACCGATGCATCAATTAAGTAAGCTATGTATTCGTTCTCAAACGATCCTTTATCGTTTATGAACCCTCCTATTTCGGCTAAGGTGTACAATGTACCAGTGGTTGCAAGAATGTCAATGTATAGCAAAGTGAAAAGTGACACCCAAGTTGTTCCTTTAGAAAAATCACTCAGACTGATTTTACCTGCTATTTTTTTGATTTTGTGGAAATCTACCACTTTTTTGAAATATTTGTATCTTGCTTCACCATCAACTGTTTTAGGGAAGTATGTAACTGAGGTGCCCCTAAACCATGAGACAGTAGTCACAAATAATATCCCATATATCATACTACCTTTAATCTCATGGGCTTGTCCATAGCTCATGATCAAAAAGCCCACTATGCCCAACCACAAAGTTGGGCTTTTTAGCGAGAGTAGTCGAACAATTGAACTTGGGTCAGGCCCGATTAAGCCCACACCTTGTTGGGATTGAAGCCCAACAAAAGCCATAAACAAGCCCATTCCTACAGCGCAAGCAAGACGGACCGAAGGTGGGATTAGTCTACCTAGCTTGGACCGAAGCCCGGTGGCTGATATCGCGATGAAGAATAAGGCCTCCACTAGCCACAAGCCCAATGCACTTGAATAAGACATGGGCCCACTTCCATGGATCCCCACCAAGTTGTAGCCATGTACAAGGTTTGACCGGTTCCCGGGGCTAGCCCAAAGGGAAGGTTGGCTAAAAGGCCCATAGCAAAGCAGCCCATCATTCCAGCCAATGAAATGGCTACAATCAAATCACTCTTGACCACTGAAATGCAGTTGTCATACTCCATGTTGGGCTCCTCTGGGCTCGGGCTCGGTATTGGGCATGTACCACCGGTGTCGCTAAGGATGGTGGAGACGACGGTGATAACATAAGCCATGGCAAGGAAAGTGGTGGTAGCAGCCCTAAACTCCCTTGTGAAACAACTCTTCCTCTCATTTAACTTGAAGTATTTGCCCACTCTACTACTTGAGATGTTGTCATTCAAGCCTTTTTCAATGTTGTTCCATGCTTTTGATGATCTAACACAAAATTCTATAACCATCTCCATATACTATATAATCTATTTTGTAAATTTTGGTGGTGGAACTATATAATGTTTAAGGATTTTTAATTTGAATGGAAATGAGCATTTTTTTATTTTTGATGGTGAATGAGTTGTAGCATCTATCTTATCAAGGATTTTCTCTAGCTAGTGAATAAAAAAGAGATGATTTGTTACCATAATAAGAATAACTAATTTGGTTCAAAACATTTTTTTTTGTGCATGAGAAAGAAATGAATGGGATTATGGGTAGAGAAAATTTATTGTGAAACTACCTTGCATTATAATACAGCTTGCGCATTGTGAAACTGGCAGAAAATATCACCTTTTTCCTTACTTTTTCCCTTTCAAAGAGGAAGCACTTTTGGACTTTTCTAGATTTGAACTTCCTTGCAAAGTGTAACTAAGGTTACATTGATAATTAATCAATATGATCCCCGCAACAACAATTGAGAGGGGATTGGAACTTAACTGTCCAAAACTAATTCTCGAATCTGGATTAGCCCAAAGAGTGAACCAAATAGGAACACCAAAGAAATTGATAATTAATCAATATAGGAATTCATAGTTTAATTAACTATAAGTACCCTTTTTTTTGGTCCCGTATACTTTTTTCATGTCACTAAAACACTACTCTATATAAAGGTTGGTGCTTAATAGATGTACACATGTTTTATGTTGTTTGAAGGAATGAACAGTAATAGATTAGTTTTTTTTTTTTTTTTTTGGTGTTTAGAGAGCCACAAGGGCAGGGGTGAGAATCAATCCTCGGATCTCCGAAAATCGGATGAAAAGTTCTAACCGCTTGAACTATCCCTCAGTCTCTTCAAAATAATATATTCACATTGGATTTTTGCGAATTTTAGTAAAAGTTGGCCTATAAGTTTTATTTTGTCAAATTGTATATCTAAGCCATTCATTTGTTTACTTATACAACCTAATTATAGTGCGTTCCATTATGTGCATTTTAAATACGTGATTTTTTAGTTTCATATATTAAAATAAATATATGATTATATCCATCCAAATGTAATTAATTAATAAGATTCCACAAAAGAATGAGTAAATGTTATTTCACTTATTTGTATGTATTAGCAGAAAATTTAAATCCAAATTACAAGCTTTAATTTGCACATGAAGAATCAAGGGATGACGATTTTACCAAATCCATATTATATTTACCATATCCAACCTAATTGTTATTAATAAATGTATATTGTTCCTCTAATCCTCTACATTTTCCTTGGCATTATTCATAATATACTCTTACCCAGATTATAAAGTTAATTTATTAGATATCTTACCCAAATTATAAAGTTAATTTATTACATAAAGATAAGATAAAACAAAAAATCAAAGTATGCAATTAATTTCTTACCAATTAATTATTGATGCTTTACAGGAAAGAAAATTGGAGCATTAGTGATAAATGTAGTGATAGTCACCAAGAAGAGTTGCTTTGTGAACGGTGATGGATGAGTAACCTTATACTAGCAATTCACCATATTAAGCAAGTTTTCAACTAACAATCAAATTATAAATCCAACTTCCTGTCAAAGTGTGTGCGTACAAATGTATATATGTTGGTGTAAGCAAAAATACATTATGTACACATTACATGCATATAGATTATTACACCTCAACTACATGAATTGTATGCACTAAATGATCGTACCATCTTATTTTTGTACGCCTTTATATGAGTTCAGGTGTATGGTATAATATATTGCACCAATTGGTTATTGGTGAAATAGTGATTGAAACTGCACTTGGTAGGGAGGATCGTGTGTTCGATCCCCCGCAATAACAATTGAGAGAGAAGTAGAACCTAATCACCCAAAATTGATCCCCGAATTCGAATTAGCCAAAGGGTGAAACAGGTGTAACACAAAAAAAGAAAAAAAAAATATTGCAATTGGTATATGAATTGATTGTGTTTTACAAGAGCTTGAAGAAGTGAGAACTTTGGAGTTTGGATGTGTTTCTAATTTGACTTGTATTCATAAAAAACATTGCATTTTAATCCCTCAAAAATTATGAAAATCAAAAGGGGAAAATTTATAAATAATAATAATAATAAAAAAAAAAAAACCATAATCCAAATAAATGCTCAAATTTAGATTTTATATTTATATATTCAAAATGCATGCACAAGAAGCCTTGAAAGATTACTAAACCTATGTCTGATAATCTACTCTCTACAAGAGTACAAGGATATGAAGCTCTCATTGAACCTTGTGCATACATGTAGTACGTACATTCTCACTAATTAAGCTAGCTAATTTAATACACTACTAATTAACCATCTAAACATGCTTATAACTTCAACATCAAACTTCATTATCAGGCACAGCAACCGCGATTACTTGATTTTCTTCCCTAATCACGGTCCTTCTCATCTTAATCAACCACTTGATAATCGTTACACCATAATCATACAAACTTAGCGCGACGTAAAACCCAATTCCTCCTATTATCCCATTGGATATGGAGTAAGTTAAGGGCATAAGTATTATGGTAATAAAGGCTGGCATTGCTTCTTTCATGTTACTCCAATCAATCTCTTTTACCACTTTCATCATCAAAACACCAACTACTATTAGTCCTGGCCCTATAGCCCATGGTGGTACACTAGTCATTAGTGGGGTAAAAAATAATGACAATAAAAAGTAAATCCCAATAATTACCGCGGTTAATCCTGTTCGGCCCCCTTCTTGGATCCCGGCTGTTGACTCAATGAACGTGGCGATAGGGGAAACGCCTAGGGCGGACCCTACTATGGTAGAACTTGCATCAACCATGTACGCGGCATATTCACCTTCAAAACTACCTTTATCGTCTATAAAATTACCAACTTCGGCCATAGTGTATAATGTACCCGTCGTAGCTAACACGTCTACGTATAATAATGTCACCAGAGCTACCCAAACATGACTAGTATTAAAATGTGCAAAACTAATTGCACCTGCTGTGGATTTTATCATATGAAAATCCACCACTTTTTTGAAATAATCGTAGCTTGCGTCACCAATTATAGTGTGTGGAAAATATGTAACGCTTGTACCTCTAAACCATGATATAAATGTAACAAAAAGAATACCATATATCATGCTACCTTTGATATTCTTCATAAGCCCATATGATATTATCAAGAGGCCCACTAAGCCCAACCATAAAGTTGGGCTTTGCATGGTCCCTTCCACACACTGGCCCGTAGTTGGGTCGGTGACCCGACAACCCGTGAGGGTCAATAATGTGGACGAATCAGGGCCCACCAGGCCCAATCCAAGATGAGATTGTAGCCCAGTGAATGCAATGAAAAGCCCAATCCCTCCGGCACAAGCGAGCCGGACCGGTGTAGGGATCAACCGAGCTAACTTGGCCCGAAGCCCGAGCACCGCGATAAGAAGGAAAGCGGCTCCTTCAACAAGGACCACGGCAAGGGCGGTCTCGTACAACATGGGCCCACTCCCATGAAAGCCCACCAAGTTGTAAGCCAAGTAAGCGTTGGACCCCATCCCAGGGGCCAACCCAAACGGGAGATTAGCAAATAAGCCCATAGCAACGGACCCCACAAAGGATGATAACGCGGTACCCACAATAAGGTCTTTCTTGAGTTGAGCTAGACACTTCTCGTACCCCGGGTTAGGCTTTAGGACACAATCAGCCCCACCCGGGGGCGAGCAATCAGCGGCCGAACATCGGCCGCCAGAATCAGCAATAACACTAGCATTTATAGTAATAATATACAACATGGTTAAGAAAGTAGTAGTGGCAGCACGTAACTCCTTTGTAAAACAACTTTTTCTAGCATCTAACTTGAAAAACCTACCAATTACACTGTTTAAAACAGCTTCATTGATATATTTCTCAAATCCCTCCCATTTTTTGTTTGATTTTGCACAAAACCCATTTCCTACACATAAATCTCTCCCCATTTTTTTTTGCTCAAATTGATTTTCAACACATAAATTTGAACACTTTATGTTGTGTTTTGTTACATGAAATGTGTGAAGGAAGGACGTCAAAGTTGGACGTGTTAATTTATAGAACAATGAAGGTTGAGTAGAAAAGGAGGGAAGATAGTGGGGGGCAAGTTTGTCCACTTTTGGGGTTGTGGAAAGGGTGGGGGATTATACTAATAGTGTATTAGGTTCATGTTGTTTAAATAAAATGCTTAAATAATTAATAAATTGATGTTTAAAAAGAATAACGTACTACTCCGTATAATATAAAATAAAGTGTTTTGTTTTGTACTTTGTTATTGAGCCTATCAACAACGATTTATTAAATTAAAGTACATATTTCAAAACAATACGAAGTATATTCGATCTCTAAGCCCGTATTTAGTTGACACACTGTGAGTAGTTGATGATTTTTTTTTTTTTTTTTTTTAAGAAAGTTTGGCTATAAATCCAAAAAATTTCATTATTTTATAAGAAATAATATAGTCACGTATTTTAAGAATATTTAATTTTTTTTAATTCTACGTGCATAATACACACATAAAAATTGTGAAAAGTCAAATAAGACATATATAGACAAAGACAAAGGGAATGCATAACTATTTTTTGAATTATGTTTAGTCGATAGTGTTCTAAACTTCTAAATAAAAAAAATAATATGTATTTTAAGAAAATAGTATAGAGACGACTCTATCTATAAGAAAATTGTACGTATTAACTAAACATATGATGAGACGATATGTTAAGTCGAGAATTCATGTCATGGCAAAGTATTTGTCATTCATCATGATGAGAGTGTTTCCACTAATCCACTCAGTTTCCTATCTCAAACAACATCCAACACTATTTAACGCTCATTAAGAACACTCATTCTATTTATTTGGAGAGGTAAACACTTTAGTTGACATCATCCATGATGGTAGTATGTTAGCTAGCAAATCATCAACATTAAAATAAATCATGATCAAATCAAGATCTCCATAAATTCCGTTTATATAATTATAAACTTGAATACAAAAACACTTGCGTGGACCTGGTCCACAATAATATTATTGTGGGCCCGAGGTCTATACACACGCAATTGACATTATATTAAATATAGTGACCATTATTTTTAACATAGTAACCTTATTTTTAACATAGTAACCTTTATTAAAACTACTACAACGTTTAATAATATTGTGAACTTGAAATACGACGCTATTACCCTAATTTTAGCATAGTGGCCTTTATTATTCATATTGATCAGTATATAAAATATTTCATTACAAAAATAACCACTTAAGCCTATATATTACCAAAATGATTTTTATTTCAACATAGTGACTTTTTTTAAAATTATAGTAACCCTTTTTTTTGTTAATAAAACAACCATACTTTCTCTAATGTTAGTGGTCCACAATAAATTAGTGTGAACCAGGTCCATTTAAGAATTTGTAACTTGAATAAACCATCATCAATATCAGATTCCCTTCTTCAAAAATCCCCTCAAAAAAATTGATCCAACTAAATAATTTGGATATTCATTTGAACTAGTTTAAAGTTAGGGATTTGTTGCAAATATCAAATAATATAAAAATTCTAGTGGTGGATTTTTAAAACTTTTATTCCCCCATTTTAAGGGGTAGGGATAGGTAAACACTTACAAATGCATGTTGTATTTAACAAACTTATACAATTGATAAATATTGCGAATGTCAAGTTAGAAAATATTATAGTCAAGCTAATTTTTAGGTTGTTTTTTATCAAGTTGCATTTTGATGAATTTAATGCTAAAGTGTGCATTCACATGAAGACATGCATGATTGATATAGTGTATAAAAAGAAAATCATAATGATTTTTTTGGTCAATTTTAAATGCAATAAATATATTTTAAAACTGCCTCTAATATATAAGAACTTTGATTATAGTAACAATAGACCTTGAACATATTAGAATTCGATGTAAAAAAAAAATTAAAAAAAAAAATCCTTATACACATATTTAAGATGAAATAACTATTCATAACATAGAATTATTGATAATTTTTAAAATAAATTAAAAACAAGAAAATATATATATATATATATATATATATATATATATATATATATATACTTACTGAACTGAACTGAAAATAAGTTGAAAAGAATATACCCTTAATATAGTACAAACAAACCCAAAAAGAATAATAATAATAATAATAATAATAATAATAATAATAATAATAATGGAGAACAATGTTGATAGACAAACCAAAATAATTAAATGATGTTTATTAAGCTTTCAAGATATATTTATCAAAATGTGAAATAAAAAATGTTGAACTCACTAATTCAACAACTCATGTAAACATAGCAATGTGATATTGAAAGTAACAACCCGCCTACTTAGTTTTAAATTATATGGAATACTACGTATTTGTCTATATATTGACAAACTTTTTAAAAAATGTTAATTTGCCCAACTCTTTGCATGGAATAATTATAAAATGGCCATAAAGAAAATAAAAAAATTAATAAAAACAATAATCAACTAATTTAAACTCTACTCTATGGTCGTAATCATGCAAGCTATTAGGCTTAGTTCTTCCCTCTTCCACATAATGTACGGAATTGTGTAACAATATACATTAATATTCAAATAACGTACTCCGTAATACATTTGTATACAATAAGAAAAAATCTAATATATATATATATAAAGGGGAGTTTTTTCCCGAGATTTTAGAGCGCCACGTAGGATTTTTATTTTTAAAAAATTATTAGAGCGCCACACAGGATTAATATTTTTAAAACGCTACAATTGGATTATGCCACCTAAGATTAGTTAACGTGCCACGTAAGATTATAAATTATAGTTATATCCAATAAATAATTCAAGTGCCACATAAGAATAAATGACCAATGAGATTTTAATGGTTACATTAATTAAATACAAAATATTATCTTTTGAGATTAGAAATTTTATCTAATACTTTAAAACAAATATCGAGAAAATGATATGTTACATTACTTACATACAACTAATAAAATAACAAATGTAATTACATAAATATGAATAATTTTTTTTTAAAAAAATAGATCGATCCGTGCATCGCACGGACTTCATCTAGTATAATAAATGTTTACATTTTCCTAATCACCTTATCATTACATATACTACAAATTACAAAATACAAACAATTTAATTTAAAGACTTTTTATTAAAGTCAAAACCATTTTTCCGTCAAAAAATAAATAAATTATTTTACTCTCCTAATATCTTCATCATCAATCACACAAAAAGGTGAAATCGTTCATTAATTGGTTTTTTAATCTATGAAGATTATACTTCGTAAAATTTATGTGACTATTACTTCATTCATCTAAAGAGGAAGCGATAGAAAGACATACTACATACTACGTATAAGATTTCTAAATGACGGATGAGTTTAACCGTGAGCTACAAAGGTTGAAGTTATATATAGATAAACTTCGATCATATCCTCATAAGTCTAGAAATCATCGCATGAATTAAATACATATAGTTGCAAGTTGTGATTATTGAATAAAAATGTGTGTTATGAGGGCAATGATGGATCTTACTCAAATAAACGCTCCAACATCATACATGTTATTGTTAGGGGATAATTATTGCATCTTCTTGCAAATCTAAATTGGGGACCGGAAAATTATTCCTTATTGATGAAAGACAATGGAATTTCCAATTTCAATGTCATTATTAGATTTTCTTTCAATATAATTATGGATTAGAATCTTTCGAAACACAAGTTGATTACACTAGCCTACCATTTTTAATTAAATACTTCGTATAATGTTAGTACTAATGTACTATGATAAAGCAATTATAATTACATTATTTGTTTATTAGTGCTTGTTTAATTGTATGCAAAATAGAGGGAGACGTTTAACTTTTTAGGAATTGAATATTAGTGATTCTACAAATCTAATATATATATATGTGAATATATATATATATATATATATATATATATATATATATATATATATGTGAATATATGTGACTATATATATACATAAAAAGGGGAGTTTTTTCTCGAGTTTTTAGAGAGCCACCTAGGATTTAATTTTTTCAGCGCGCATGTAGGATAATGAATTTAGTGGTAGCCAATTAAATACGATATTATTAATTTTTTTAGAATTAAATAATTTAAATGACACATAAGCAAAATTGGCGAATGAAATTTCTCAGTTTAAATTAATTAAATATAAAATATTATTTTTTGATATCAGGAATTTTATCTAAATATATAGAAAATTTTAGCATATAAATAAATGTATAAAACAATTATTTTAAAAAATTCAAACAAACTGTGCATCACACTGGTTCATCTAGTTGAATATTAATGATGTTTGGTTAGCATGAAATATATGAAACGGGAAAAATGTAACTTTTTTGAAAAGGTGTAATTTTTTATAGGATATGGAAAATTGCTTATCCACCCTTCCATTTAAATTACACTTCCTACCTCACTCAAATAGTATGTTAACTGCTTAATATTAAAAAAATTATTATTATTATTATTATTATTATTATTATTATTATTATTATTAATATTAATAATAATAATAATAATAATAATAATAATAAATCCAACATATTTCTTGTTCTTTTTATTGATTTATGTAACATATATACTTACCGAAAATGCTTTTCATAATAACACGAGAAGTATAAATTGGAGTTGACCAATCAGAACTTAAATTAGTTGGTAACGGAGTTGCTCTTGCTTAACCAAATAACACAACAATATTTGTCGGGATAATTTTAATTACTTCTTAACAGGGACAATTCGGATTAATCAGAGTTTAATAGGCTCTAAATTATAGGATTTGCTTAATAGATTGGAGGTGATGAACCCCAATTGAATCAAGAACTTTTATTATTAGTTCTCGTTCTTAACAAGATTCCACTTTCAAATTCTGACCATCTTGTTATTTCTTAGTTCCAACTTCCAAGTAACGCATGCATTTGCCTGATACTACACTTGTTACTTGTAAAGGGCTGCGCTCTATTTTTTTACTTGATCAACTTCAACCCCTTTAATCCTTTTCACGTTACTTTATATTTATGTACTTAGCTTTTTTTATATTCTTCTATACTTAGCTTATTATATTTATATTCTTCTAAACTTAGCTTATTTTTATGCAAATAGTGGACTATATACTACTATAATTTTTGTTTTTTTTATTATAATTCAGAGAAAGCAAGCAGCTCTAATCATCATCTAAATTAATGTGGCATGCGCAAGACAAGGGATAGTTTATTGGTTGCTTAAAAAGTGTTGAGTATATCCTTTTAAGGAATTTGTAGATGAGAAAGTTGACTAAGAAAATTAGAGCAAAACTCTAACAGCTAATCAGAATATAACTTGCAACTGAAAAAGATGGTTTAGAACAGAAGTTTGGCCTTGGAATATTGTGTTATAGAGAATCTAAGGGCTCATCTTTTGAGTGTTTTAGCATTTGGTTTTGTGTTTTGGCATCATTACACCATTTCTTCCTATGCTATGTTATAGAGTAAATTTATTTTTTAGGGTATGGTTAATTTATCCAAGCTTGATAAAGTCATATAGATAAAGGGTGTGCTCAAAATAGTAGTTTTAATTAATTAACTGATTAAAAGATTAAAATAAAGTTTAAGAGAAGTGTTTGATAAAGTAGCTCGCGGTTGAGAATTAGGGCCTGTTCATAATTACTGAACTGAGCTGAACTGAACTGAACTGATTGGAGCTGAACTGAACTGATTGGAGCTGAACTGAACTGAACTGAAAAATTAAAATGCATAAAACTGAACTAAACTGAACTAAACTGAACTGAACTGAACTGATTAGAGCTGAACTGAATTGAACTGAACTGATTGGAGCTGAACTGAACTGAAAATAAGTAAATATGAACAGACCCTTAAGTTATAATGTTTCTGTAATAATCTATTAACTATTACTAAAATAAAACGTTACTGATGTCATCACTCTCCGCATATCACTCAGACACTCACATAATATATTTTCACGCCTAAATGCAAGGATGGTGTCATTTTTTTTTTGTTATTTTTTTTTTTTTTTTTTTGGAGCTACCATATTTATTTTTGGAGCTACCATATTTAACAACTTTGAAATTGAAAATTAGAAACTTCTACATAACAATGACAACCTATCAAATTTATCTTTAAAAATAAAACAATTGTAAGCAGCACACTAATAAATGGACTCCTGAATTGAAATATGTATAAGGCGACGTTGAATAGGTATTATATCATAATTGTAATGAAAATCTCAAACTGTAAAATTACAAATATTTTTGTACAAGCTAAAGGTACATAATTCTTATTTATATTTATCCGTTTTTTTAAAATGTACAAATTATAAAAATAGATCTTATATAAATTGTGCATCGCATGGGTTTTAAGTCTCTAACCTAGTTAAAAACTATTTGAAGAATAAAGGCATAAAGATGAAATTAAACAAGCTGTTACCATTTTAATTTTCATATGAAATTTTTTTCACTATGCAGGATCAAATTAGGTCCATCTACATCTAATTATGCATGTTTTGAAACATGTTTATGTCGGTATTAAACTACTAACTAATCCAAATAAACTAGATCCTCAGACTTTTTCTAGTAGAAGCATATATGCTCAAATTAGACTTTCATCGCAAAATCATTACCATTTTGTAAAGGTAGTGGGGCTCTTTATGTTACTTAATTATGGGGACAAAAGTTGAAAATTTTTATCAAAAAGAAACATTGTAACAAATAGTCCACTAATATTTAGCCAACTTTTTTGTAATTCAAAGTTCCAAAAAAAACATTCATCTTGTCTTAGTAGATGTCAAAGCAAAACATCATTAAAACAAGTAAACTTAGTGATGTGTCTAGATTCACTTCCACCTTATGTCTAAATATGTTGAACTTGAGGGGAGAAATTTATATATTTTATGACGACCACATGTATTTAATGGGGGAAGTAATCATATTATATATCATGTCATGTTGATTCAAATTTTATGTCTGAACCAGAATTAGTGGTAGTTTACCAAACAAAAACACAAGAAAAGGATGCTTCTATTTCCCTCATGAATAATGGGGTTGTGAAGCTACAGGGTAAAGGAGATGTCCCCCACACAGAACACTCCGGATCGAGCCTCGGGTACCTTTTTCCCTGTACCGTCGAAGGGTTGGCCTTCGATCGTGAATGGGAAGAGTTGGACAGGAACTCTGTGATTGGCTGGCTAATGTGTGAGGTCATGCTGACTTGTAAGAAAAACCTACCAAAGAGACACAGAGTCAAGGATTTGTACAAATGAGTTGAATTTGGCAGTCTGTTATCATATAGCTTGTACGAAGTATTCGCTACGTTCATGGATTGAATGTAAGACCTGAACTGCTGATATCTGCCGTTCCTCAGGCCAAAACTTCAAGGTTTGCTCAGAAAACACAGATCACCTTGTGTAAAATAATACAAATCACAATTTAAGTGGATTAAATATACCAAAAAATACAATGTTTGCATGATTACATATATATGCCCAAGAATAAAGGACTTCACTAGCTAGTAGAACCTAAGATACAAACCTTGGTTCTGATCAAAATGACACGCTAAAGCAAAAATTTAACTTGGTGTGTACGTGTGCTGAAAATTCCGCGGTAGATGATTTAGAGTGATTTTTTTATGGACAAACCAAGTAAAAAGGATGAATCAAAATTTGCTTCTGGACAACTCGCAGCTGAGAGAAACTTAATCGTGCTCACACAATTCATTACTTCTCAGCCCAAAAGAGGTGCAACACCATGCATTTATCTTTGTGACGAAGATTGCTTGTTTTTCTTGTTGCCTCCTCTTTTAGAACTTAATGCAGCCGCTTCCTGCTCTTCTGCCTTTTGTTCCTCTTCTAACACAGCCAGCTACAGAAAGCAAATAAAGTGATTATTACGGCAATACAAAAGCTTGAGTATTTGAATATTTTGTCTACTTTAAAATATATAAGAGCACCATAAGCCTAAAATACCTCATCCAAAAGCGGTTTGAGCTCTCTATATCGAGCTTCAGCAAAATCAAAACCATCTTTCCGTAGCTCCTGAAAGACAAACAAAGGAGCAAGTTATGTCAGATGAATCTCGTACATTTTACAACAAATGGATCAAGTCAGATGATTTAGAGTTGTAGACTTGTTGATTTGGACTAGGCAGAAATGATTATTTGACGCTTGCATGTTACAAAATCATAAGACCCTGAAGTAATAATATGGCACTTCCAATTGGTGCAGCCATCCAGTAGCCAACACAAGGCATTTGGTGATGAGACAAGGAGAAAGAGATCATGATCACTTGATTCCAAACATAATTCACTTTAGGTTCGGGGCATGAATTATACAAGTAGAAAACACATGGTTTGTTTAAACATTGTGGAATGCAAGAGCAGAGATTATTTGGAAAAGTGGAGAGATAGTTGAGTAAGGGCAGTAAGTAATCACAAATATAGGAGGAAGATTGACAATTTTCATGAGTAGAAGCTAATTGATAGGAGATAAGAAGACCGGGTACTAAGAAGGCACTGGCAGCACCCTTAATGGCTAACTCTAGAAAAATTAAACATAGGCTTCCAGTTCAGTTGTTCAATAGGTGATCCATTCAGTTCATAGGTGTCCACAATATCCGAGGTCAAGCTTTGACTGTAAATTTGCCTACAAGTATACTGATATAACCAAAAACATATTTTATGAGATGAACTTATAATAATTAATTTAACGTATAAGATTTATACATAATCATATTATTTTGAGTGGAAATAAAGATCAAAGACTCAAGTTTCAACGTCGAAAAAACAAGTAGTTGAATTGGGTGTCTTCTATAACGAAATGGAGTAGCATCTAAATTACTTCAGTCAAAAGGCAATATTAATGCAATTCTGGAGGGGACCCCTTACATGAAACATCCAAGTGTCCAAAATATTGCAAATCCCTTTTATTTACTCCCTCAATTTCCCATTAGTCACATTAATAATCAAATCCCAATAAAGCAATACTTTGTATAAGTTTTCAGTTCTAAATCCAATGTACTTACCATTAACTTCATAATATGTGTGCAAACTTTTACAAGTCAACTATTTTTGACTTGAGGTAGAACTAAGTTGTATAATTCTTTAACTCATATGATTACCAATCATTTTCAAGATTTCCTTTAGGTAAAACAATTCTGGGAAAATAATAAACCCTCTTATTACCATTTTGATATTTTATTAAGGCCCCATTCTCTTCACCTAATTCAAAAGTATTCAGAACATAGCTTAAGTTCATCAAATATAATTTATGTCTAGTTAAAAAAAAAAAAATTAAGTAAAGCAATAATTATATAATTTCAGTTTACCAAAATTGAGTTGAAGAGAATATATGAACATTTTGGCAGATCTTAAATATCGAAGCATAAAAGAGGTAAGTAAAACTAGCACCACAGACACTGGTAGAAGACAATAATGGACCACAAATTAGAGGGAAGTCATAGCTTAAGAAAAAGGCAAAAACATGAGGGGAAAAAGAAAGTAGCTCACCTTGCCAGTGTGTTGAGTGTGTTCATATGCTGCCATTTGCCAGTACATATTTGTGCGCTTATAAAAGTCCTTCAATGATTCACCAGGCTTCACAAGAAATAAAGAAAGTTAAATGAGTGCAAGAAAGAATATATCAAAAATCAAGCCAGCTAAACAATAGAAACTACATCAGTATAGCTTATAAATCAAGGTCTGACATAATTTCCAATAGGACTAATGCCAGCATGTAGGGGAGATTTGCATGCCATTTTCACTGAAAGTAAAATGGTATGCTTGTAAGAATTCATAATAAGTTAGTGAAGGATGCAAAAAACAATAAGTACCACAGGTGTCCTCATTGAATCAGAAAGGCCAAGACTAGCTCTGATTTGCTCTATTCTAGCACGTTTTTCCTTCCTCCGGAGACTCTTTCCAGCCCCTTTTATTAGAGCAACTGCCTCTCCTACTTGACTTGATTTTCCATCAGCATTCGCAGCCTTCAAAAAAAAAAAAAAAAAAAAAAAAAAAAAACAGTTAACTTTTTGCTTTGTCCACAAGGCCCACAAGGCCCCACGCCTTAGGCATGGTGGCAGGGGTGTTAAATGTCGGAGTGTTAGCTGCACAATTGCAACACAAGCCATACCCTTACAGTTGCAAAGAAGCTATTATGTTTTAAGATCCTTGCTTGAAAAGGTGGACATTTGATAGAGCCATTTCACAGCAGAGAATAACCAGACAGCTACTCATGCACCTAACTCTAGTGGTAGCTTGTGGTACATGAACTACCATATTTTCCAACAATACCAGAACCATATTTAATTAAACTGGAAATATATACATATTTCCAAGCTAATTTTGACATATATATCCCTCCAAGGAATCAAAAGAAAGAGATCAGAACTATCCATCAACTGTGGTGGATTTAAAGGCATTTTCATCTCAATCTAGTACAGAAGCATTAAAATATCAATATCCACAACCTTTTCACAAATATAATTCAACTCAAACACCAGAATATGAGAATAGTACCAACATAGAACATGAGCTAACTAAAGAGAGATACAGAAGGGACAATTAATCAGCTTTCAGCTCAATCTAGAACACATGAATAACAAACACAAACAATAACAAAAGGCAGAAACAAAGGGAGCCAGTAAATAAGATCCTGTTCAAATGTAAACAAGAGTAGAGAAGCACCTCCATTTCTACATCATCATCATCATCATCATCAGTGTCTTCACAACTGCTTTCACCATCTTCACTGTCATCATCTCCATCATCATCATCTTCTTCATCTTCATCTTCCGAAGCTTCAACCCATTCAGATTCAGAAGCCTGATATCCAATAAAATGAACGGAATTAAATTAATTGCCAGTAGTATACGCAGACATTTTTTATGAAGTCAAAACTTCTAAATAGTGACTGTAATGCATAAATCCTATTTCTCACGAAATCAACACAATTCATGATATTAGTAAATACATGTAAAAGTAGATTAGGTCAGGAAACTGAAGTTCATTAAATGAAATCTAAGTTTAAAGATGCAGTGACCTTTCAAAGGCACAACTCACAAGCTGAACAAGATCATATTACTTTCACTTTGCAAAATACTAAGATGAGCAGTACATATTCTGGGAAAAAAAAAGGAAGGCCTAAACTTACCTGTATTATGCACTTCCATTCATCTAGTTTGCTTAGGTTAAGTGTGTACAGATCATCAAGTGTGATTTCACGATCTTTGACCTCCATCATGCCTCCATACAAGTATAAAGTATCCCTTCCAACAGCCATGCACGCATTGATGCGTCCACAAGGCTTGACAACCTGTAAATGTGTATCACATTACAATACAGAACTACAGAAACAACCATAAAGCTTAATAGCCAAGCATTTTGAAATACAAACCTCTGGTAAGGCAATAGTTAGTGATTCCTTGCTAGTGCCAGGTTCACAAGACCCTCTATCATTTTTTGGACCCAGTTTATCACTGCTGCCAATATTGTCTGTCTCAAGAGACATATCACCAACGCTCTCCTCCAAACCATTTCTTACTTCTTGGTCATCCATAACTGTATCAACTCCATTTTCTTCACCAAGATTTCTATCTGATGAATTAACCTTATTTTCTGATAACAATTTATTATTTTTGTCATCAGTAATCTTTTTCAACTGCAAAAACATATAAAAAGACGCCACAATCAGAGGCAACATCGGTAGAATTGTATCCACCAGCCCAAGAGAATATACTGGTGATCCCACCAACACCAGGAAATGAGGAAAGAATTAGAGGAAAAAAGCAAGCAGAATCACAGAAAGTTATTCCTCAACCTTATGCAAATACTCAGGAGGTATTTCGCAAAGGGCTACTGGAGAGATTGTAAGTTTGGGGGAGTTAGCAGTTTGACCAATCCGAAAAGCTCTCAATAGGTATCTGGTAAAAAGCTTATTGGAGAAGCTAAAATTATGATTGGTTCCAATAAGCTCTTTTACAAGAAGCTCAAATTTGAGGCTTAAACAAATTGATAGTAGCCAGCTAAAAGAGATCAATATAGTCAATTCATAACCTACTTTTAAAATTTCGAACAGCTATCAACTTATACCATATAGCTGACTTTACCAAACAACTACTAATGAATCAACTACTTTCTATTACAATATAGTCAAACCAGATACTAAAATAAACTCTTACAATCAAGTTCAACTGTTAGTTCTTTGCCAAAAACAGCATCCGAATATTCTACCTTAGCCAGAATCCTATGCAGAAGAGCCAAAATAATGTCAATTGGGATAATTAAGTTCGTTGTTGTTTCACTTTTCTAATCAAGGGTCTAGAGAAATAACTTCACTGCAATTGCTGGTTAAGGCCATGACCTAACCAAACCTTAATGTTTCCCTCATTTGTCATATTATTCAAGAAAATGAAGAAAAGATTTTCACTCCCCTAACTATCAAACTATTGGAAGATTAATCAAACACATCTAATGCCCAAATAAAGGCTTTAGAAGTAAATACCTTATCTTTGCTGGACTTCTCCTTGCGGAGCTCCAGTGGGTACCTAATAGAAAGAGGAGATGGGTTAGTTCCAGCTAGTAGAACTTGTCAAAACATTTTTTAGCACTTGAAGAGAATAGATAAGCTGATCAGTACCACAGCTATGTTTAGTAACTTAGTTTAATTAATCTGATTTGTTCTTATCTGACAAAATTTGACCTTAGGGGCAATATCAATGTGATGTTAGATTATGAAATTTTCATAACTTTTCTATTTTAATCTAAGATATTTAGTAACAAACAAGCACAAAAATTAAGAAAACATTAAATAAGTTGAACTCACAATACAGTCAATGGATTTTTCATATTTCAAACTCCATCTTATACATTGTTTTATAAGTTCTAGTTATAGATCTTATCCCAGTGATAAAACAAGCTATGTTCTGATAGTCCTCAAGGGATCTTTAAGGTTTAAGGTTCTATTGAATCACCGTGGGACATGGGTTCATGGTTTTGGTATGAATCCTTGATAATCCATTCACAAGGTCTTAAAAGAGACGATTCCTATTAACAAATAAAACAAGGGAAAATTTCACATTATCTACCTAAGTAATTACAAAGCATAGGAAGGAGGGTTTTATAAACATAGCGGTCAAGGAGTGACGGTGCCCCATAATAAAACAAGTACTATTACATCCCTATAGTAGCTTCATATGGGAATATGGGATTTCCATCATGTCAGGACTCAGGAGGTTGTAACTTGATAGAGCAGAAAGATAATTTTATATAGACATTAGTTTGCAAATGTGAATTGAAAGCCAATGGCATAAAATGTCATTTTTGTGCACTAATTTCGCCAGAATGACATTAATTTACTAGAACTATCCAAATTAAAACTATGACGATATTTACCAGCGGTGATTGTCCAATTGAAAGCCATATAGCTCATTTAGAAATAGACTCATCATCACATCGCCTGTTTAAATAAACAAAGCAGGTCAGCAAGAGAGCATTGTAGTCATAAAAGGCATAATAGAAACTTGGAAAATTCCAAACAAATAAACAAATATAGTACAACACCACGAGTTTTCAACTGCAAAGCTTGGCAAGTATAGAATTGCAGATATCATAACCACTACTGTAACTTTAGGTTTGATGTGGTCTAATTTTAATTAGAATGATTAATAAGCTTCCGTAAAAAGGTGAAGGGGACATGACCTATGCCTTTACAAAAAATACCTCTTCAACTTTGCACAATTACTTGGAATAGTTTAGTAAATGAAAAGAGCAGTGCAAGCAAATTATTTCTTATGAAAAGTAATTAATAAACTAACCACCAGCTTCCATGTCTACCACTCCTCCAAAAAGTACAGCTCTTTTCTTGTGCACACACATAGAAAATCCAGCGCGAGGTCCTGGAGGCATCCCACTTTTCTTTACCTGATCAGAGGAGACAAAGATACAAAGTTTGTAGAGAGCACAAGACTAAGAAATGAAATTCTGGCTAAAACGATAAACAGCTATGGGCAACACAAAATCGTACAAATAACTATTCAAATAATAGCTCCAGCAAAAAGAAGTCAGCCACACATAAAGAGTTTAACAGTACATGCTTATACAGGTATTAGTGATGAAAAGAATGAAAATGATTCCAAAACAGCAAATCAAACAGCAGAATTTCAAGATATACTGCTCAAAAAGCTGTTTTTAGACATTAATGTCGACCTATTTAATATCCCCAAGTTTAATTGATATCTAATGGACCAGAAAAATATCATTTCATACCACCTTCAGCATTTCCAATCCACAAGAAGTTTTGTAGGACCCATTCATTGATATGCATGCTCCTATTTTTATTCAGTATACACATTGGAGGGAATGACAAAAGCCAGAGGGAGTAACAAAGACTGGAGAACACCTACTTTTGATATCTGTTCCAAATTTGTTGGGTCAGAAACTGGATCTTAGCATCAATCTAAAACTAAGACTGATCAATGTACTATAAAAATGTGCAGCAACTTTGATATCTCGGATTAAGAAATAAAGTTGAAGTGAATTTTGATACTGATTGCAGTTTAATAGTGAATTTGACTGTAATAGTCTAAGATGCAACAAGTATAGCATCAATATGCTATACAGTATATAGCAATATATAACATGTAAAACAATTTTCACTATAACAAATTTAAAAGTTGATAAATTGGAAAAGAATTAACATTCTGATGTGCTCAGACCTTGTTCCATTCCCATGTTCTCGGGTCCAAAGACCACATATCAGAGTGGACTACTCCCTTCTCAGAGCTGCTGTTTTTATCCGATGACAGTTCTTTGAAATAACCTCCATACAAAAATATCTGCAGTGTCATAGCAAAGAATTTGTGAACAATAGTTGTACAGGAGTTCAATAAATCTCAAACCTTGACACTTGATAGTAATATCAAGTGAACAGTATAAAATTATATAATTCAGTTAGCATAGCCAATCTTCCCAAACCATAAACATTACAGAATGACCAGAAAAAAAATTATTAAACAAGATTTCTACTTCTCCTTCAAACAACCAAGTACCTTGGTGCCTCATTAGAGCATAATTCATGAGATTAAGTATATTATCCTTCCCAATAACAGAGCTAACTCGACAAAAATCAGCAGCACCAAAATGGAGAAACACATGGTCATTAGAATGGCTATTTCTGTCTAATGGGATAGCTTTATTATGCTACCAAGCAATGATTAATATTGACTCTTCACAGAGTCATAAACAAAGGCCTTCAGTTGTATGAATCAACAAACACCGGCCGCTCTAACAGTCTTTCTAAAATCCATCTCTCAATTGTCAAGTGCAAATCTGTTAAGATTCTGAATATAGAAGGTTCCAGAAAAAGACTGGCTCGATGTCATTTGGGGTAGAATAACCTTGACATGAAGCACCTTATTTTGTTTGCCCATTTTCTTCAAATCTAAACCCTCCAGCTTAAAAAAAGATTATAATTCCACATGCAATCAATGAATCTGATAAGAGCTTTCATTGAATTAAGCTGGAAGATGTACTTCATTCATCATACCATAACTGAAACTCTAGAAAAATGTTTTGGAAAGTTGTTCTCATCTCGCAATTAAAAGCCAAAAAGATAGTAGCATTCAGGAATTTTAGTTCCCACAAGACTGTCAAATATTAATCTAAAAGCAAGATGTGGTAATAAAAATAATAATATTACAACATAGACCCTAATTTGCACCATGTACATAGCACAACAACATAATAAAGAGAAATAGGAAACTAGGCGCTGCATGAGTAACAGCATACAACAGAGTGAGCGATCTAAATCCAGAATTAAAAAAAGGAGTCATTAGTCTAACCTCATCTTGATAAACAGCAAGCTGAAAACCACTCCTTGGACTGGGCCACATGCACCCAGGCCGAGGCTTTATTTCTTGCCACTGCTATTCAAAACAACACGTCAATTTTTGAAAGCAAAGGAATGATAGAAATATTATACCAAATGAGTTGGTAAGTATGCACCTTGAACTGATCCAGGTCAAATACATGCAAATCATTAAGGTACCTGAAAAGATAATTATGAAAGGGTCTCGTCATAATATATATTTGCTGATCTGGCAACATGTTAAACACGAACACTGAAATACTTAATTATAAGCCATAAGCAATGAGTATGAAGCCCCAACTGTTGCATGCTAATTCACAATTGTCAATGTCTAACAGTACTATTATATCTATGATGAGTCAAATCCAGGAGACTACCAATATTTTATAAAGGGAACAGTAAATCAAATTATGTAAATAATGGCAAATTGAATTACAAGGAGTTTAGAAATTTTTAAATGGAAAAGAGACCCCCAAAAAGATCCTATCATTCCTCTCAAGCTAAATAACCAATTAACCAACAAAACGGTGAAAATAGCCTTATGTCATCCGAAGTTTGGAGTGTGATATACCTTAACAATATAAAAAGAACAGTATTTTAATCTTGATGAACACAACTTAATACTTCATCAATATTAAACAATATAAAAATAAAAAAAAATAAAAAATAAAAAAAAAAAAAACCCAAAGAACTAGAACAAAAGATTGAAAAACAAACCTTACTTCTCTAAGGGTATCATAAAATCCACCAAACACTATGATCTTGTGTTTGTACAGAACCTGCAAGACATTACTGATAAGCCAGATGATAGCCAGGTCTACAAAATTCAAAAGTAACTTATACAAATAGACCAGTGAAAGCAAACGGAGCATTTCACAACAAAACAAGCTACTGGTACAGATCCCGCTTTAAAATCTGGAGAAAAGAATTAAATAAATTGAGCTGCACATAAAACAACATCCCATAGTGGATCCTACATCGGCATGATTTAAGGAGATCCAGGGATAAGATCAAGATTCGAGGATATACTGAATGTACTATAACAAGATAGGAAAAAATTGGCAGACCAGCAAAAAGGTATTGCCTAGAACCTGACTACCTCAACTCTCATTTTCAAGCTAGCTGTGCTTATGTCTAATTTAGTGAGAAAACAACCTTGTTCCACTTGACCAAAGTAAGGAGTGGTAACAAAAACAATACTCTATAGTCTATACATAACAGAACTAAAGCTGAACACAATATATTACAATCTACAAAAACTAGCAAATAAATATTGCAAAACCAAGACATAGTTTTGAGCATACAGAAACAAAGTTCCATCGCATGATTAGACAGTAACCAAACCAAAGGAGCATTCTCTCACACTGAGTGAAATGTTTCAAATCTTCCATATGTTTTACAAAATTAGTGTAAGCGATGGCTATGTTCAACAAGTCATTGTATCTCTTAACAGTTCACAGCATCAGGAATCACATTCTCTAAGAATGCTTACAGGTCTACAATCAAAACAATAGATAATCTATCCTGAAATCCAATAATATCTGCAAAGGAAGACATGGAAACTGAATGCAAAAGAAAACCACACCGCAGCAACTTCCATCTAAACAGGGAATAATTCATCACCTTCGCTGCTTGGCAGAAATCTTGCAATAGCTAATAGTCCTAATACTGAAGGAAAAAAAAAACATATGCTAAGCTTACCATCCGATGGCCAGACCGTGGACTTGGAGCTCCCTTGTAATTTAATTGCTCCCATTGATTTGTCTTAAGGTCTAATACCCAAAAATCCTGTTATGGAAAACAGTAATCCCTCCATTAGCAATGAAGTAGTACAGATTATATAGTGTAAATAACAAGCAAGTTAATCAACTCTTCTACGTGATATCAGCATCTCTCAACACCCACTCTCAATCCTCCCCTCCTTCCACTCCCAGAATAATATATGCAGGTTTTACCTTATAATGATGAAATCTCTCCTGATTTGGAGATGTGAATTCACCACCTGTATCAGTCATTAAAAAAAGCCATTAAGAAAAAAATTTCTAGGTGAAATATAATTCAAAAAAGAGCAAAGATTCGTCAAAATTCTTTGAATCAATATCTGTTTGTACCAAATATATAGAGGTAATTCTTCCAAGCAACAGCTTGATGTGCACTACGAGGTGGGGGGCTATTAGGGCTCGATACTAATTTCCAATCTTGCTTTTCAATATCAAAACGATAAAGATCACCATAGACATATGTCTGCATTCACCACATAAAATATCAAAATGTCACCCAAAGAAGCCAAAAAATAAAAGCAAAATATTGATTGTCTTAAAGATGTCACACAGCATAACCTTATTGCCATTGTAGAATTCACCACCATATAGGATCAACTCTGTCTCTTTCAATGGATTTATAGTCAACTACATAACATCAAATACAACTCAATCAATAACCTACCAAAACATCAAAGCAACATTAAAAACAAACAACAAATCCAAAATGCAAGAGAAATACCGAGCCATTAGACCGAGCTGACGGCGCAGGCACGTTTTCCTCAACAAGTACTTCCTTCTTCTTAGCTTCCTCCTTCTGAATACTTAGCTACATAAACACACACAAATCCCATATTAGCCTATCATGTCAAAATTAAATTCAGAAATACCAGGTACCCTTCACTATAAACCATCCACATAAACCCCACCTCCGTTCGGATTATATAGTCACGTTGATAGCGTAATTTAAACTAACAATGCACAACTAAAATCAAACAAACATAATAGTATAACAAAAATTTCACATTATCCAAATCAAAAAAGGGAAAATACCCATCATCATAAAACCCCCCAAAACCCCAAATTTAGAATATAAACACCACAAATTATGAATCATTAATTCAAAAAAAAAATACCCAGATAGTAAAAATTACAGTATATGATAAAAAGAGGGTATTTTTGAAGAGAAGGAAAGAGAAAGAACCAAAATGGCGTCAATGTCATCTTCAGGAGAGAGCTTCTTAGACTCACGGCGAGCTTTTTTCTCCTCAGCTTTGGCAGTTTTTTTCTCGGTTTTTTCCTTGCCTTTTCCTGGCTTCTTTTGCTTCTTCCCCATTCTTTTGCTGTTCTTCTTGTTCAAACAGAGAGACGTTCAGCCAAACAAGAGTTAAGAAGAAGGGCGCCTGAAACGATACTCAATTCAGTAGCTTTGCAAAAAAATTTGCTAGAGGGCGGCTATGTTCTGATTAAGGAGTAATTAACACTTTTTCTTTTCTTTTCTTTTTACACAATTTATTAGGCCGTAAAATTCAAGTATGATCAGTTTATATATCATCTCCATTATTTTAGCATACATATTATGGAGTAGTAAAAATACACATATGGGGCCATGAGCAAATTAATTGTACCGTAATTTGCCTATACATAATTACATAGGTAAATAAGTAAATCACTAATCTATTAAGTGATTTTTTTAATAAGGAAAAGGATCCTAATAAGTTGAAACCTCTCACGAGTCAATCTGATCCGAGTTAGCAAGACCCTTTAGGAGTAGAGAAAGGATAGGCAAATTTTCAACTCCAAAGTACCATTGTGGTTAGTAAGGTTTGATCCCACAACTTTGGTTGTGTACCACTAAAATAAACCAAACAAGTGAATAGTTTTTATCTAATTATATAAAACTTCAACATATTATTAAGGCTCTCAAAAATTAATGATTATTTATTGATTAATTAAAAGGTTTAGTTAAAGAAATTTGAGCCTATACAATTATTTCTCCAAAGTTTGAAATTGATCAACCACTCCTTCCTTTAATCAAGTAAATTTTGTCCTCTTCACCTTATAAATTACTACCCCGTATTACAATTAAAACTTAAAATCAACTTTAATCAACAAAAACCGCCATAAATTCATTACTACATCTTTTTAAAAACTTCATGAATCGGTAAAAATAAATTTTTAATCATTCCTTTTCAATAACTAGGGCGGCTAACACACGTGTGAAGCATCATAGCTAGTCATGTTTGAAAGTTCTTTTAGTTTGGCATTTAGCGTTTAATTAGGGAAAATATGCAACAAAATTTTTTTTAGGGGTACAAAATGTTCACAAGCTATGCTTAAGAGTTAAAAAAATTAACATTAGTAAGTCCAAATATGTAATTAAACATTTTAGAGACATAATCGTCTTAACATTATTCATAAAGGGTGGTAATCCTAATTTTAAAAGGGGTAAATGAATAAATAAATATTTTATAAGAATATAATAGTTTCAACACTATTCATAAGAGTTTATTCATACCTTAAAAGAAAAGATAGGGATATAAATGTTCAAACAGTTTTTAAAATAAATTTTTTGGCTTACATTTTGATAAACAGAACAAGTGTTCTCTATCTAATTTCTTTGAACACGAATTTTCGAAAATTGACCATCCATGGACAATAAGTCCGCAAACTAGCCCAAAGACCAAAACCCTCAAACCAAGTTAACCAAGCCACATCTGATTGATTGTCCTTTGTCCGAACTCATTAAGACATTAGTAGAACAGAGTATCAACTAACAACGTTTTCAACCTGTTTAAAAATTACGTTGAAAAAGGTCTCTTCTTTCTTGAACCCAGAATTGTTAATCTCAACTGCTATTTGTCGCTCCCAAATTACCAGGTAACGCTCCCTTTTTGACTTGAATGGACCACTATGCCCTTTATGCAATTTGGGTTATAAAAATGACCTTGTTCCCCATTTGGACACAATACATGAAACGGTCCCCTCACTTCACGACATTGCTGTCCCGAGCTTCCCAAAATCGGTCCCCATGACCTTGCAACCAAATCGGTCCCCACGACCACCTAAATTTTCTATTTTCAATAATCGTTAAATTTTCCGACGGGTCTTGGGTCATGGACGGCGAGTGGAACATACGTACGCCAGAGAATGCGTCGGATCATTCTGTAAGTTTTTTATTTATTTTCGGTAATTAGGACATCCGCCTAAAATTTCCGGATGTCCTAGGTACATCCGCCTAAAATTTCCGGATGTACCATGGAACATCCGGAAATTTCAAGCGGAAGATGAGATCCGCCTAAAAAATCCGGATGTTCCATGGTACATCCGGAAATTTCAGGCGGATGTACCTAGGGACATCCGGAAATTTTAGGCGGATGTCCTTATTAATTTTTTTTTTTTAAATGTTAAGTACGTTTATTTAATTTTTTTTATGTTTATTAAGTTTTTTTTTTATGTATTTTTTTTTCGTGGTCTTGTGATTATTGTTGTGATTTAGTATTTGATAATTAATGTAATTTTGTTGTATTAATATGATTATTAGTAATATGTTTATTTTTTGTTTCATTATTATTATTATTATTATTGTTATTATTATTATTATTTATTTATTAATTAATGTTATGGTCTTATAAATTGTTTTGTAGTTGTTGTTATAATTTTTTATTATCATTAATATTGTTATTGTTTTGTATTTGTTGTTATTATTATTAGTATTGTTATTAGTATTGTTATTATTATTATTATTATTAGTAGTAGTAGTAGTAGTAGTATTGTTTTTATTATTTTTATTATTTTAATTATAATTATTATTATTATTTTTGTTTTATTATTATTATTTTGACATAAAGCATGTTTTGTTTAATTTGTATAGGATATGGAATCTGAGGAAGGCGGTGACGGTGTGAATTATACTGGGAATTTTGTCACCGATACGTTTTTTCCTACATTTGACGATTCTGTTACATGGGCTGATGGTGTTTCTATAAAATTGGGATTTATATTGGTGAAATCGTCTTATAACAAAACCAGAGATGGTCGGCCGTATCGGTATTTGCGATGTGATCGGTCACGAAGGAGCAAGCCGAGAGATTTGGAGAACGCGATACGGATGGACACCAAAACCAAAGCTAATGGTTGTCCATTCTACATCAAGATATATTATGATGTCAGCACCGAAAGTTGGAAGATCATTGCGAAAAATGATCACACCGGGACACATAACCACCCAATGATTGTGTACCCATAGGGTCACCGTAAAGTGAGCGGATTGAGTCCGGGTGCAAAACAGGTTGTGCGGGACATGACAAAGTCCAAGGTTGCTCCCCGTAACATCATGTCCACTATTGCCGAGCAATTTCCTGATGATCATCCAAACATCCGACACATTTACAATTGCCGAAATGACTTCAGGATGGAAATGTCCGAAGGAAGAGGAGTTGTTCAGCAATTTCTTCATCTGGCGAGAGAGAGTAAATACATTTACTGGTTCACAAACGATGATCACAACGTTTTGCAACATGCATTTATGGTGCACCCGATCATGGTCAACATACTCCGCACATACCCACATGTCATAGGTATGGATTCTACTTACAAGACCAATCGATATAACATGCCTTTCTTTGAGATAGTAGGCGTGACACCGACAAACCAGAATTTTCTAGTTGGATATGTTTTCATGCGCGACGAGTGCACGGCTAGCTATCGGTGGGTGTTGCAGAGATTAAGGGAGTTGATTGGGTTTGATAAAGAGCCATCTGTATTTATTTCAGACCGTGATCTTGGGCTATGTGCGGCTTTGAGAGAAGTCTTTCCAGGGACGTCACATTTACTCTGTCTATGGCACATCAACAGAGATGTGGAGGCTAAGGTGACGAAGATGTTTGGAAACAAGACGGTTGGTGTCAGTTTTAGAGCTGGGAGATGGTTCAAAATCGTGAATGCAACAACACAGGCGGAGTATGATTGTGCTCTAACTGCCATGCAAGTGAGGTGGGGAAAATATCCGGAAGTGATTCAGTATGTTCAGAGAACTTGGCTTTGTCATAAGGAGAAATTTGTGAAATTTTGGACGAACCAGGTTCTTCATTTTGGTAACACCACCAACTGCAGAGTTGAGAGCCAACATTCAGCAGTGAAAACTTGGTTAGAATCATCCACAGGTTAGTTGTATTATGTTATTAGTTGTTCTCGTTGTTACGTAATTGTAATTATAATTGAATTTGAATTTACTAATTAGAATCATTGGCAGGTGCTTTGGATACCGTATGGGCCCGAGTCCAATGTCATATCGGTAATCGCATGATACAAATTCGTAATGACTTGGAGGCATCAAGGTCTAAAATTGGTCAGATGTACAGACAGTTGCCACTGTCACGTATAAATGGCAAAGTGTCTCAACATTGCTTGAAAGTTCTGGATAACGAGACGAAAAGGATGCGGGATTTGAGTTATCAGGTCAATGAACGGTGTGGATGTGCTATGTGTCTAACCCATGGTCTTCCATGTGCTTGCCAGATACATGATTCGATAGTTGCACAGACAGGATTGTATAGCAGCCAAATTCATTCTTTCTGGAAGATACTGGTTATTGGTGATGGTGTTAGCATTCCTGAAGTGGTAAATGATTCGACCGAGGAGGCTGCACATTTTCGGTCCCTAATCGACGAAGTCATGGAAAGTGACCCGGCCGTACGTCGAAATGTAACGCGAATCATTGAAGAGGAGCTACATCCAGATCATTCACACCTTGAAGAACCACATATCAACCTTAACACTCGTGGTCGACCGAAAAGAAATAACACCAGGCGTGATCGTAGCTATTTCGAGCATGTGAACCGTCAACACACTCAACGTGGTGGTGACCCAGAACCAGGTAATACTAAAATTCTAAATTTAATATAAAAATATGAAAACTTAATACTTATAGCTTTACTAATAATTTATATTTTAATTTTGTGTTGTAGATCCAAGTGACATTAGTCAATGCAGGTATTTGAACTTGCTTCCAGCCCCAATGTTGCCGTACATTTCGTCTTGGAAGGATGTCATTTGTGATGGGAACTGTGGCTTTCGTTGTGTTGCCGACTTCTTCTTTGGCGATCAAAATAAGTGGTTTGACGTTCGGGAAACAATAGCGAACGAGGTCGCTGGTCATCCTGATTTGTACGAACGGATTTACGGGCTTGGGCGAATTTGGATGAACGTGGAGCGTATTCGATGGGATGGTGGGGCTGTCGGGGAGCGACATTGGATGGTTACAATTCAAGATTTATTTCCTATTGCTACGTGGTTAACGCAAGGGTGATTTGTCTCGGAGTAGGCCTAGTACCAACTTGCTACTACCCATGCATCACAGTCTTACCGCTTAGGGCACGCAACGGGGTTCACTCACCAACTCGAGAGTTTGTGATTGCTACAGTTGGTGGATCACATTTTATCCGTCTTGACCTTGTACCTGATTCACCACTCCCGCCGATCGCCGATTGGTGGACGCAAAACCACGAGGATAGTGTCAATGGATGGGATCAAGCATATCAGTTGAGAAGGGACATGTGGGATGCATTAGTTAGGTAGTTTGTAATGTACATTTACTAACTTTGAACATTTGTAAGAAAATTAGAATTATGAAATTAATTTTAATTGTATTTGCTTTTAATCTAACATGATATGCAACAAAATATCATATATGCGATCAAAATAAGTCTAATCTAAATAATCTAAAGTGGGGGGCACTTGTAATGCAGGATCAGCTCCGTACGGTAGCCAGTTCACCTCACGGTCAGTAAGCGCATCAATCCTAGTACGAAAAGCCAACAGGCGCTCCAGGTTCTTGCTAGGACATCCCGCTCCTACATCCCAAGCAGACGCACGAGGCATTTGAAGGTCCCGGGTCAAGGTACCCTGCTGTGGCCGAAAGCACGGAAAGTACTCGTAAATCCACGCTTGCAGAAGCGTGAGACAACCAGCAATCGAATCAGCACCTTTCCGTGATGCCGTGCCCAGTTGCCGATACAAGTAGGCCAGTGCAGCTGTTCCCCAAGCATACTCGTTAATAGGGACATCCGTGTGACATAGCTCGTGAAGGAAGGAAGGATGCGTACGGTTACCACTCTTGTCTACAAACAGTGCCTCCAAGCATTAACCACAAGTATGCATCAAGCTGCTCACTAAAATCCCGGTCGACTCAAAAATCTTATCAGTCAACACCCCACTACCCTGCCAAATGGTCTTTGTGCCGCAAACCTCAGACAGATCATCTGGAGTCATATCCATGGTGACCGAGCACGCGTCCCGTAACACGTCCGTGCTAGGAGTAGTGGACACCATATTGCCTGCAACCCGTAACCCAAGTATGTTGTACACGTCGTGCAGCAAGATCGTAATCTCCCCAAATGGCATGTGAAAGGTGTTCGTATCTGGCTGCCACCTCTCAACAAAAGCAGAAATCAACGGCCAATCAAGTCTCTTAAACATCAGGCCGGGCAAGTGAGACAACCAACTAGCATCAATCACCGCAATGTCCTCCACAGATTGACGGCCTCGCCAAGTGAACAAGTTAGAACATAACTTTGTCCTACTCAAACAGCGCAAAACACTACGCTCCTGCTCCATCCAGATATACCGTGCCACGTGACCGCCAAAACTAGGGATAACTGACCCATCCTCAGGCCCACCCGGCATCGGTTCCTGCACTAACCATGCCTCTGCAGAGTTGGAAGTAGGCTGACTCGACCCACTACCAACAAATCTCCCAAACTGACCCCTATATACCATATGGAAATCCTGAGGGTCCTGTTCTTCATCCCGGTCACCAGCATGACTAGCCGAACATTCGTCTTCCTCGTCAGATATGGGTGCTCCACTTGCAGAGTACAAGGGCCGACTACTACCAGACTGTTGGTCTCTCGACCAACCACTAGTAGACCCGTATTGCTGCTGCTCGGGCTGAACCGGTGAAGATCGAGATGTCTGTCTCCTAACAGACGCATTCAGATGTCGTGATATTGCATGTCGAGCACCCGAACCCTCGATCTACATAAAATTAAAAAATAATCCGATTTTAGTAATAACAATAACAATAACCATAACAACCATAATAACAATAACAACAACAATAATAATAATAACAACAACAACAAATACAAATTAACAACAACAAATATAACCTTAACAACAACAATAACTAACAACAACAACAACAACAAATACAAATTAACAACAACAACAATAACCATAATAACAATAATAATAACACTAATATCAACAACTACAATACTAATCATAATTAAAAATATTAATAATAGTACTACTAATAACACTAATAATAATATTATTATAACAACAACAACAAAAAAATAAAAAAATAAAAAAATTAAACAACAACAATAACCATAAAAACCCTAATATCAAATTAGTTTAATAATAATACTAATCATATTTTTAAAAATAATAACACTAATAATAATAATAATAATAATAACAATAATAATTAGCACAATAATAACAACAACAATAATAATAATATCAACAATAATCACCATAACACTTCAAAATAACAAAAAAAAAACAAAATCCGAAAAAAAAATAAAAATTAACAATTTTATTTACGGGCCAAAAAAAAAAAAAAAAAAAAAATTGGAACTTCCGCCCAAAATTTCCGGATGTTCCATGGAGGATCCGGAAATTCCAGGCGGATCCTCCATGGAACTTCCGGAAATTTTGGGCAGAAGTTCCAAAAGATCCGAAATAAAAAAAAAAAAATACCTCGTCTCCACCATCACCGCCGCCACCAGCGCCGCCGAAGGTCCTCCCTCCGAATCTCAGCCTAATCCGCCTCGAATCACCCGTTTTCTTTTGTGTTTATGATGATTGTTGTTTTTTAAAAAATGAAGAACAATTTTTGAATTTTTTTTTTTTAAAAAAAAAATTGTTTTAGAGAGTAAGAGAGTTTGAGAGAGAAGTAAAGAAGTGAGAAATGTTGGTCGGGAAGGAAAAAACCGTATTTATATATTAGGGGTAAAATTGGAATTTCAAGAAAAAAAGGGAGCGTTACCCGGTAAAATGGGAAATAACAACACCCTTGTTAATTCCGGAGGAGAGAGAAATTTAGCGACGGTATCAATGAGGAGCAACATTACTATAGGATTTCTTTGGGTTTTACCTTTTATTTTGTTGATAATTTCAGCAAATTTCGGATTTTCTGCTGCTCAACCTGTGCATCACCAAGATCAGGTTTTTCCTTTTCTTTGTTTGGACCCCTTTTTTCTTTTCTAATTCAATTTCACAACTTTATAGTTTTGTTATTATTTTTTGGGAAATTAGTTCTTTTAGCTTATTGGGTGTTTTGATTTCTTGAGAAATTGATTCAATTTGCTTAAACAATGCATAATTGGGGAAATCATGCTCTATACTTGAAATTGATCAAAGATTGTTTGAAGGAACTGTGTAATTTGGGGATACCCCAAAATTTTTAATTTTTTTTTTTTCCAATAATTTTCTTGAATTAGTGTGTTATTGATGCCAATATTTTCATTTTATCATCAGGGGTTGAACGAAAATGCTGAATCTAGGTAAGATTTTATAATTTTCGAGATTTACAGTTACAAAAATGTATCATATGAGATCATTTCTGTCTAATTTGTATGGAAACTACTATATTATGATAATTGTTTTTGGTAAAAGTTCATTCCTTCATTGCTTGAATGTTCAGAGATTTGAAAAAAGAACATGAACACATCCATGAGGTACACTGCTCTAGGGAAAGAAGTAGGGTGGCATGGGAAATTGTCGAGAAGGTACCGTGTTGGAATTGGAATGCATCGTTGTTATTTGATTTAATTTGCTCGCGTAGCTAGAAGTTTTGAGTGATAATTTTCATAAACTTATATATGACAGTATTTGATGCATTTTGTGGAGCGGGAAAGGTACGAAATTCCGAGGAGTTGTAGACTCCATCCAGACAATGATCTCTTTAGAGATCAGGAGCAGCATAAGTATAAAATGGATGTGAATGAATGGCAATGTGGCTATTGTAAGAAAAGCTTCTTGTCGGAAGAATTTCTTGACCGGCATTTTGACAGCAGACATTACAATCTTCTCAATTTTGTAAGCTGAACTCTTTTCAGTCCCTCGAAATTAATGTTGATTCTTGTGCTGTGATAAATTAGAACTATATAGATTCCTCTTTGACTTGGAGTAATTGTAGTTACTACCTTTAATTGGAAAGGGTGGCCCTTCAAGATATGGTTGAACTTTGAAAAAGTATTCATACTAGTTTACATATGTCCTGGTTTTGTGACTGGATATTTATGAGTACACATGGGTTGCTTAAATGGGAATGAGTCTAATTAGGGTAGTATCATGACAAGAAAACCTAGAGTGGTTTTTAGCTACTTTTTGGCCAGGCACATTTCCTGCCGGACAGCCTAAAAACCGTGATGGTTATGCCTACCTTATCCTTTGGTAATGACTTATACCTCATGTAAGCATCTCATAACTTACTCCTTCTACAATCACTAATCATTTTTTGCAAGAGTAGGCCACACTGCCACAGTCCATCTTATATATTGAAAGATGAAGGTTTGCTTTAGGTTTGCTGTATTTCTAGTCTTTAAAGCTTTAATTTATTTTATGAAATTTATTCTGATTAAGTAATCACTGTATTTTATTTTTGGTCTGTTTAATGTCAACTGTAAAGAGGGCTTATGCATTACATTCTACATTTTTACCACAGACTGGAAGCAAGTGCTTGGCAGATTTATGTGGTGCATTGCATTGTGATCATGTTCTGAATACAAAATCACTTAAAGCAAAGTGCAATCATGCAGCAGCTGCAAGGAATCGCCACTTGTGTGAGGTTACTTTTTAGATGTTTGAGGTTCAGAATGTTTTTGGTTAGCAATCACTGAGGAAGAGGGAGGGAAGGGGAAGAGGAAGGAAGATGTGGCCTTGCAGTTTTCCTCTGATTTCTCCATGTCGTAATGATTTGGTTTTTAACACGAGGAAAGAAATTTGATCAGTCCGATTGATATCCAACAAAATAATATGGACTCCTCACTCTCCCTCCCATCTCCCTCCTTCCAAATCCCTTCTTCCGAGCACATTGTTAATTACGTAGTAATTTTTATTGGCTGCCTTTATTTTAATTATTGGAGTGTTACATGCAGAGTCTAGCTGATTCCTGCTTTCCTGTTACTCATGGACCATCTGCAAGCCGTCTTCATGGTACTTTCTTCATAAACGTCATAAAAATATAAATTTGTTGTTCTTTATAAATTTTTTTCCCCTTTTCTTCGCTCTCCTTATAATTATTGAGAGCTAGTAGGATTGTGGAAAGGGAGTATGTGGCTATGCATTGGCTGTTACACTAGCAATGATGTTGAGCCAAAGAGATTTAATTTATTCATCGTATTTTGTTTCATTGTCTGGGATTTTTTACTCTTGAAAATTTGTCATTTTTCCTGGCAGAGCTATTTTTGCAACAATTCTGCTATGCTCACACGTGCTCAGGAGAAAAAAAACCATTCTCGAGAGGAGGAAGGGTAAGATCTGTTCTTATGCTATTAGTTTATATATCAAATAACTTACAAAATTCTCTCCTTGTACAACTAGGAAGCCTAAGCTTCTGTATGCTTTCTTTATCTTGTTCCCTCTCGGTCCTGCCCCTTGGTATTGCACGAGAAGCTTGTGAGCACGCTGATATGGTTTTAATGAGTTTTTAATCTGATATATCTCTTGGAAAATCTGAATTATGTAACTTATGAGGACTTGAGGTCATGGTTGCTGTTAAGTATAACCAATAAATGGTTCACTTGGCTACAGATGAAATATAAGACTTGGAAACAATGTTTTATAGTATGTAGTATTTGTTATAGAGTTTTGTTATAATAGAGTATCAATTTCTAATTATTACTGAGAAGTAATCTGTAATCTGATTGATTGTTTTAATTTTCTAATATGATTTTCTGCTTTTCATCTGTACAGAAGGAAACAAGTCTACTGTACTTTGCCGCCTCAATCTTGATTATAATGTTACTTCCTCTTTTCTACGTTTTGGTGTGTTTGCACCAGAGGTATTTGAGAAATTTATCCAAGCACATTGTTTCCTCTTCTGCAGTGCTTTTATACAGAACATTGATGATATTTTCCTGTATTTCAGTGAAATTCGGAAGGATACCCAGGAGCTTAAGCGAATTTCAAGACTTGGTCGCAAAGCAAAACCTACATGATCAGTAAAAAAATGTTAGAACCTGCCTAATTAGCTTTTATCTTTCACCTTTCTATCAGTTTGCATGTTCTAAGTTTTGTTGGTAAAACTCACATGTTCCATTTTGCTTTGCTGAATCTAGGATAATGGCGACAGCAATTTTGTTTCTTATACAACACACTGGTCTATGATTATGGATTTTGAAGCTGGTACATCACCATAATTGTTGCTTCTCTTCCTTGAGAAACTGAATTTGTTACATGGTGGCTAATTGATTAAAAGAGATTGATGGTCGCCTAAGAATTGCTGGAGGTGCACAGATAGCTCACTTTTTGAGGGACTCATTCAAGCAGATCAGCTTATTGCTCGGCATCATCTACAATCTTATCATCCAGCAATTCCCTTCAAATATGTTGCTTCAAATGTATCATGGAACATAAAATACTTAATACTCTGTAGCATTTATTTTTTGTCTTTGGTTGCTTCTGAATCAATTCAAGGCAGCAGTGAGCCAGTGACCATTCTGTTGTATTTTATTCTTGGATTAAACTGTAAATTGTCCATTTATCTCTACTATATGGTGCAGAAGTAAATTCAAGCAAATAACATTAAGATTTGTATCACATATTTTTGCTGGATATAGACAAACAGTTGATGTATCGGGCACCATCTTTGAAATATTCTGTCATCATATTTTACTTTACTAAATCGTCTCAGATGGCTCTAATTGATTGACCTAGGCTCTTAAAACCCCAGAAAGAGCGTCAAGTGCTGATCCCGAGCCTGTACTTTAAGAGCACCTCACTTATAATTCTCAGAAGATTGTTTCTAAACCTGAAAGTCGTGTACAACTGAACAATAGAATTATCTATAATTAGTTTTATGAGTGTGGAAGGGTAAAATGATATGTTCCTCTGGACTAAAACTGGGAGTGTCAAGGGAAGAATCAGAAACGTGTTTCTGTGATGAGTTTATAAGTCCTTCTGGGTGCACTGGGTGATTAATACTCGCAAGGAAGCTCCATATCCCATCTTTTAGTCTATAGTTTCAGTGCAAACTGCACACGAAGACTGTTTGCAACCTCCTTGTAACTGTTTCAGCTTACCATAAGCAGTAAAGAGAGGATAAGGGCTTCAACTGATAATGGTACAAAATTTTCAGATGCTCCTATTAATTTAAATTTTGAAGTTTGATTTGACATGTAAAAAGCAAAATAAAGAATGTACATTCATTCATGGGGCAACAACCCCAAAAGCAATTGATATCAATTCATTGGAAAGAAGAAAACCCTCTGGATCATTTAGTCTGATGAATGAAACTCTTTCTTCTAACTTGTCTATATCATTAAACAAGGAGCTAACTTCAGATGCCGGTATTAGCTTCCTTTCTTCATCTAAGCAGAGGACATGTCCACTTTCTACGTAAGGTTTATAGGCTTGGCAGAGAGATAGGGCAAGTGAGGCACCAAAATCTTGTGTAAAGGACTTAATATCTAAACCTCTCGAAGTTCTGAGAGATAGCATCACAATATCCGCAGCTCTATCTTTAGGATCCACATTACCATTCTCTTGATCACTTGCCAACCCATTTTCCAAGTTTGCCACATAAGTTGCATAGTCTCTCATCCTCCTTGGTCTTGAAAATCGCAAACCATTGAGGTAACTTGCAGATCCAAGACCAAATCCGTAAAATGATGTGTTCTTCCAATAAGTGAGATTGTGCTGACACTTGAACCCACTCTTTGAATAACTGCTAATTTCATAATGTTCATATCCCGCGCTTGTAAGTGCTTCTGAAGCCATTTTGTAAAATTCAGCAGATTGAGATTCAGATGGCAATGGTAACTCTCCTGGCGTATACCTGCACATAACCATTTTCAGCCTCGTTCATTACATTAGACATGTCGTTTCACTAAAAGGCACTAGACAAGTCTTAAAAGGAGTAAAAATACTTACAATACTCCAAATTTAGTATCCTTTTCGACTTGCAAATCATACACGGATACATGGGTCGGCTTAGCATCAATTGTGAGCTGCAAACTCTCACTCCACATGTCTGTGGTTTGGTGAGGGAGGGAAGAAATCAAGTCCATACTCCAATTTCCAACTCGACATGACTCTACAATCTCGATTGCCTCATAAACCTCCTTAAGACCATGAGCTCTCCCACAAGCCTTGAGCAACTCCTCTTGAAATGCCTGCACACCAAGAGACACTCTATTCACACCCAACTCCAAGAAGTCCCTTAGCTTATCAGCATTGAAAGTACCAGGATCCATTTCCATGCTTATCTCAGCATTCAAACACACCCCAAATTTTGATTTCAGTGTATCAAGCACCAAAGCAACAAGCCTTGGTGGGACCAAAGAAGGGGTACCCCCACCAAAAAACACAGTTTCAAGAGGTGGGTATTGATCAAAATCTAATCTTGTAGCCTTAATCTCCCTGCATATCAACTCTACGTAATCGATGATTCGAGGGTCATCGTCGTGGGATTGGTTCATGGATGATCCTAGAGCAACGATAGGGAAATCACAGTAATGGCAACGTTTCCTGCAGAAAGGAAGGTGGATGTAAGCTGAGGTTGGAGGGAGTTGATAAAGGGGAGTTGGATTCGTTTGGGCATTTTGTCGAACAGTTGATGTGCATTGAGTATGAACATTTCTTACTGTTGATGAGATATTGGGACCTTTGAACTTCAATTGAAGGGTGGATATAAATGGCGAAAGAGCTGTCCTAAGCATCATGGTTTGACTATTTTTGTTCAATGCAGACAATTTTTGGAGGAAGAAGCAATGGTCTCAAAAGGTAACTAATTTTGGAAGGTGATGTAATGATACAAATTAACGGTCCGTTCGTGAGATGAAGCCCCAATTTCTATATTTTAGTTACAATGTTAGATAAAAGAAAAAGTTTAAAATGTTAGATGGTATTGTTTCCACAAGGTATTGACCTAGAGACAAAAAATTGATGGTTTATTACAATTAGTCTTAAAAGATATACGAGTAACATATTGTTATACTACGTATAAAAATTCTAAGGTGATGAAGGTAACTTTGATCACCATAAGCTATCTACATATTTTTTTTTTTTTATTTCTAAAAGCATCCTCATTGAGCATTTTAGTTTTTTTTTTCTTTTTTTTTTTTGTTTTTTATTTCTAAAAGCATCCTCATTGAGCATTTTAGTTTTTTTTTTTCTTTTTCTTTTTGTTTTTTATTCCTAAAAGCATCCTGAGGAATGGGGAGAGAAAATGGGAAAGGAGAGTTTTTTTTTTTAACAAAAGAGGAGAGTTGTTGAATTGTTCACTTACCATTTTTTTTTTTTTTTGCTCTTGTGAGTTATGATCATCAATATTGGGGAGCAAATGTATCCTTTTAGCCATCCTATTTTATTGTTAAAAAGATTTTACATTGAGTATGCTAAGTATGAGCACTTATAAGGATACGTACCTTTTTCATTTTCTCTTCCGTTTCCTCCATTTATTTTTAAAATTAATGACCGATTGCTTAATATTACCATTATGAATATGTATGAACTTAAAGTATGCTATCAAATTAAATCTGGACATATGTCAAAAAAGTTACCGTTAGATTCCCTCCAAATGCAATTTCTTCGGGTTTTTTTTTTTTATTTTAAATCCATCCAAAATGTCAAAGTTTCACAAAAGTTGAGACACTTTTTTCTCTTCACCAAGAGGATTAGGTACTTTCCTTTTAGGATCTTCAAGAACCACAAGATCCTTTTACCAATGGAAAAGGAAGGCTAAAAGATGGTGAATCATCCTCTCCCATGGAAAAAAAGAGGGCTAAAAGGAGGCTCATTTTATAGAGAATAAAATATTATGACCGTTGGGTTTTTTTATTTTATTTTTTTGAGAAAAAAATATTTATCATTTGAAAGTTATAGTCGTTATAAATTTTACAATCATGTATAACCACTCATCTTAACAAGAGACATATTAATGTCGTTACTTTTGCTCTTCAACATTGCTTTCCTTTTGCTTTTTTTTTTCCTCCTAATAGTGTGTCGGCAATGGCACAAGGACCTACGAAACAAATCCTTTCCATCGAAAGGAAAAGCTTAAACCCTTTTGGTATGATCCTTTTAGGATATTAAACATCCATAAGGATCCTTTTACCATAAAGAGGGCTCTTAGGATGACATTCCACATTGATGCTAATGCTCTTGACCATGGGGCAACATACCATGGTGCAACGTATCTTCTCCTTCTAGAATCCATGTTTGCTATAAGCATGCTATTGATACATGAATTCATAATTTGAAATACATGAATAATGAGGTTCAAACTATACCAACCTCTAGGGTCTGTTCTCTTTATCTTATTTTCATTTCAGTTCTTAATTTCATTCTCTCATAAAATATTCAATTCAGTCAATCAGAGCAGACCCTTAGTTTCTATTCAAGAGGTTCAAACTTTGAAACGCAAGAATTCATATTTTAGGATTTGAAAACCAATTTTTCGTGGATACCTACAACGAAGGTTTGATCTTCCAATTTTTGTTAAAATATAACATTACTTGATCACCATGCCATAAATTTTCATATGTATTTATAAGTTATAACCAATAAGCCAAGAAACGCCATGTAAACATATCTTGTTTGAACTTATTACCAGTATCTCTTTTTTTTACCTGTAGAATTAAACAAGCTTCAATAGTTCAATCGCTTCACACACACACACACACACACAAAATCTGCACACAGTACACCTGCTGAATATGTCACATATGGTATGCACAATTCACTATTAAATGAAAATGCTCACTTTTTCATTTCATTTTACTGGTACATCAAAATCAGCAGAGACACTATTATAAAATGGCTAGATGCAATTGAACTAAGTGATAGGCAACTATCAAAATTCACAATATACATATGGTTAATTAGTCTGCTCTACATCTAAGGCGCAGTGTACAACAAAATCTTCATTCTTATGTGGATGCCCATTACACGAGATATTTTACCATATAAGGTCCCTCAAGTTCATAGCCTAATTTCCTGTAGTAATGCCGGGTTCCAACACCAGAGATAACAGCTATCTTTGTTGACCTATGCTCCCTACGAGCAATATGCTCTGCCTCTTCCATTAGTAGAGTACCATAACCCTAAAGATTAAACAAACTGATGAGCAATCTATAAAACAAAGAAATTGAAATACTGATAACCCCCCTCCCGGAGTCCAAGCTCTCAGGCTCAGCAGGAGTAACAGTGTACTTAGTTTGATTACCTGATGTTGTAACTTATCTGCTTCCCGTCCATGGACAGGGACTGCAGTTCCATAAACATGAAGTTCACGAACAATTGAACACTTCCCCGTTAGTTCAGGACAAGTGACATTCCTACCACATCTTCTAAGTCGGAGGAGGCCTACAAGAATGTCCTGTACAGGAAAACTTTCAAATGATTTCTAATCCAAAATTGAAACAATAATCAATAGATGTAAATGAGTAAAACAATAGCAACTTAACAAGTACTTCGTATAACCACAAAGCAACTCAGATACTTCACATTGCCCAAATAAATTTCCAGGGAGCCACTTATCAGTATGAAGAAAGTCAGCAATGAATCTTGACTGCAAGTGTCTTGATAAGAGCTAGGAATATCAAGGACAGGATTCTTACAGAGATAAAATACACCAAAACATGTGTGATACATAATTAATCATTCTTCAAAGTTACTAGGAAAGCAAATTCCAACCAACAGTACAATCAATAGCTATGCCTTGAAAACATCAATCAAACATTCATTACCTGTTGTGTATCCTCATAAGAGAGGAAGGTTTCCCAGCCCTCATTAGCTGTATAATCACGACGAACGAGCACCACTTCTTCTGGTCTTATCTTGTGGTGAATGTCCTGAACGTACCCCCAAAAAAATTATAATTACTTTAACATCTAATCTGATTCGGGTGATAGCACTAAGCCAGCCAACATACCTGAATTCCTGCTTCTCTTGTTCGCACATCACGGCATTTTAGTCCTAGATCATCCATTCGAGCTAGAGCCAATTCACGAAGATTGCCTTTCTCAACACCAGAAGTAACCAAAGGCATAGGTATATCACGCTGAACTCGATAAACACGAGTCCAAGGAGGCACCATAGATAAAATCCTAGCTATAATATCCACAAGTTGTTCAGGTGGGTAATTTCTATACCTGCATACATATATAAGAAAATTAATGATCTGTTCAAGGGAAAAAAAATATTATCAGATATAGTGGAGGAAAGTAATGGATTTTAGCCCACTCCATTCCTTCACGAAAGTTATTGGTTCATTTTACAAAAAAACTTCATTCCCCTTTCTCCAAACAATCACCACTTGCCTTTATCTCTCCCTCCTCACAACTCAAAAGCCACACTTCCTGCATTTTTCTTCTCCTTGATTCCGTCCTGCAAGCCACCACTATCCTCTACTGCCAGAGCTACCATTGTTGCCAGTTTACCACAAGAGTCGACAATCACTCATTCCATCTCCTCTCATATCATAATTGATGTGTTTTTAATCATATACACATCAAATACAGCATCACCCACACAAATTGGCAATGAAAATATACTAATAAATAATTGATTATTTAGCCAACTACTGTTGATTTAGGTCATGCACAATTGCTATTTATCATGAGTTCTTTTTCCTTTTTTTTTTTCTTTTTTTTTTTCATATCATTTCCACCCCCTGTCCAGGTTTCCTCATTTGTTTTTCTAATTCAAGTTCTCTTGTCTGTTTTCTAAAGCTATTAATTGAGATGGCCAAGAGGAAAGAGAAGAACCAGAAGATAGATATCAGATCATAAGTGGTGGTTGTTCTGTGATGACAGCCACAGATGGTTGTCCACTTGTCCTGTTGGTGATGTGGTAGCATTAGCGCCAGTATGGAAGTTAATTATACCTTTGAATGTTGGAATTTGAAAATTTAGGAATTGATCAGGCATCAATAAAGAATTTAATTTATAAAAATATAAAGGACATATTGGTTAGGGAGTCTATCATTTCATTCTGTTACTACTCTTTAAAGAGTGAACCGAAAGCCTCCTGGGTATCTCGATGGATGAAGTAACTTTGTGCAAACCTACTGCTATATCCTCAAGAACTAGAAATTTGTTTTATGACCCTCAATAATCTAATTCAGATTCATAAGCAGAATCCTCCGGGATAAGGGGATGATAAACACAGACTAAAAGAAGTAGGGAAGGTCATTTCCCAAATCCTGATAAATTAAAAAAAAAATAAAAAACTCCAATACTACCAATTACCTACAGAGTTGCAGTGCATTATTAACAAACTTAATAACAGCCTTTCTATCCCAAAATCAAGTGCTCTGGCAGATAATATAATAAACAATGGCTTTCTTTTTACCATCATATGCCTGCTTGTATACAATATCTTTATGATCCAGTTGGAACACGACATAAAGAGGCATATTGGAGGAAATACCTGCCAGTTTTCCAGAGCTCATAGAGCCCAGTTCCACGAATAACAAGAGTAGGATATATTTTAAGTCCATCAGCTCTGAAGGCAGGACTCTCAAAAAATTCCTTGAAGCTTTCCATATCCCTCTCAACCCCCACATTTGGAAGATCTGGCATCATATGAGCAACAATCTGACAAAAAGTATGTAGATAAGCTGAGCAACCAACACATTGCAAAAAAATTCAGAAAGCTCAGGCAGATAATAATTGTTAACATTCAAATTCCAAAATAGATAAATCATCTTGATGTCACAACTCACAAGTCACAACTACAAATGCATGAGTTCTACAATTCACAATGGAAGCAAAATCAACACAGTATATTTCTGGTATATAACATCTTTGAGATTTGATTCTCTGATATCAATAGGAAATTAAAAAAATAAATAAAAATATCCTTATCAGTAACAATTGAGTATACAGTACTAAATGTACCTTGAAACCAGCATCCTTTGCCAAACAAAAGCAATCAGCTACGGCAGCTACAGTATGACCTCTATTCGAGTCCCGCGCAACATCCTCGTATGTACTTTGAACTCCAATCTCCAAACGTGTGCATCCATACGATAGCATCTGTCGCAAATGAGGGCCAAGGCAATAGTCCGGTCTCCTGAAGTTTTTAAAAGCATATAGACATCATGAGGTTGCAAATAAGGATCAAGGTAAACAATAAAGTGTCCTTAAGAACTAGTCAGAATACTCAGAAAATAAGATCCGCCCACGAAAAAATTAGAGGAAAGTGGAACAATGAGACAGACAGAAAGCAAGAAACACCAAATCACCAGCTATAAAAGGGTCATATCCTATCAGTTCAGAAAACAGAACACAAATTCTGACAAGTATATAGAAATGATTGCTTACGTCTCAATAGTCATTCCAATACATTTTACTGCACTGTGTTCAGAGTAGGCAACAGCTTCTTCGACATTTGCAGATGTATGCCCAGATAAGGCATCATGCAGGTTCCTTGTGAAATAATCACGATAGTCTGCTGGCAGTGACATAAAAGTACCACCCATCAAGATGAACTCAACCTTATCAACACTGTGACCCAACCGCTTGAGCTGATCAATCCTGCTTCTGGCCTGGACATAAGGGTTGTATCTGGAACCACATAGATAAAGTTGATGAAATACCTCTCAGTAAAACAATATTGAAGTACTGTACACTGCCATAAGTTACATACATAGCATCAATTCGAAAAAAAAATATAAACTGAAATCTTCAGATACAATCAGCACAGTAAAAATTGACATGCTAGAGCCAGACAATCAATACCCTGAATCTCAACAATAAAAGAATACATCTCATGAATTACTTCAACTCCCCTAATCACACTAATGAAAACGTAAAGGACAGTTCCAAGTCTGTCCAATATGCAAGCAACTCCACTGAACTTAATAGCCAATATGCTCTCACAACTTTACACCGCAAGTTTAACCAAGAGAGATAGATCAAAGATCTAAAAATTGTATTGATAAGGTGCTACTCTTTCCTTAGGCCTAGCAATTTCATCAAATCAGAAACCATATCATTTCCTATTGCCTCTTAACTTAGGGTCAGGGAATCATATATCAGATATCTTTACAATCACAATAACAGCTGCAGGCATGCATAAGTTCTATGGCTGCCACAGGCCCACAGCTTAATACCAAATTCATACAAGCTCAATAAACTTTCCATTGCGTTCGCGATGGTAATGCTGCTGGTATTTGATATCCTGCTCCTAACAGGGTTCTATATTCTAAGACAGACATATAGAGCTTAGTGACATTAACATCCATGACTCATACCTTAACCCTCAATCCTAGTAACAGCAAATAGGGAATATACAAGTTTATCATACATACCATATCTATTTCTAAAACACATCAAATGCCAATAATTTTACATCATTCAATCAATAAAACAAATTAACTCCACAATACAACAACACAAACCCCAGAAATCTCCCCAAAAAACAAGAAACAACCCACTTCATCAAACATCCGAAACAACCAAATTCAACAACTAAAAACCAAATTCAATCATAAAATTAATAAAACAATTCATACCTCGCTCGAATAGCTCGCATACTAGTGGGTTCATACCCAGTATAACTCTGAGTACTATACTCGAAATCAGAATCAGGCCCACCAGGGCAATACACACAAATATTCCCAGTAGTAGCAATATGGGGACACCTATGAGGCTTTGACATCACCGCAACAACCGCAATACCCGAGGCGGTTCGCACGGGCTTAGCCCGAAGCTTCGGAAGGAGAGCCTCGCGGTCCGAATCCGGCAAGGCCGCGATCATTTCCACCAGCTTAGGAGCACGGGCTAGGCCGTATTTACGGCACGCAGCGGATTTGATGAAGTTAAGGTCTACGGTTTCGCCTTTTCTTGAAAGGTCTACCATTTGAGAGACGATTTCAGCGATTGCTTTGACACGGGCTTCTTCTTCGGTTAGGCCGTGTGATACTAAGCCGCCACGGCCTGGGCGTGGGAGTTTGCGGGATTGAGAGGGTGATACTGTAGCTGCCGCCATTAGAGAGAGAATGAGAGAAAATGGAGTATTAGCTCAAGAGGGGTTTTGTGTTTGCTGTATATGGAAATTTGTTTTATTTGGTGTTTACGAGTCACACTTTTATAGGGGCGGGGATGAAAATCAATCAAAATCTGTAATCTTGAGAAAAGAACTTTAACCACTTGAATTATATCTCACGACTTTCATTTTAGTTTAATTTGGGCACCAGAACAACATGTTCTCTTCAAATTATTTTTACTTCAATTTAGTTCTTAATTTTTTTCTCTCATAAAATATTCAGTTCAGTTCAATTTAGTTCAACTCATTTCAGTCAAACAAAACAGACCCGAAGATAGATGAAAAGTGACAATTAGACAAATTTGGGTCGAGACTTGAGAGCAACATATGATATGATAATTGTATTATGTAATACATAATAAAAGGATAAATTGCCTTTTTTTTTTAATTTTATTATTATTATTAATAGAATTGAAGGACTAAAGATAGATGTATTGACTTAACTTGACACATAAACTGAAAAATAATGGGTCTGGTCTTTGAGAGCTAAGTGGTATTAGTAGTAATTTCACGGACTAGAGATGGGTCAATTTTATAGATGATGGACTAGAGATGACTCAAATTGAAGAATGACTCCACATAATGTTGTGTTGATTTGATGGTTTGATAATCTAATATATTCCCTCTGCATTCTGCATCACAACTTCCACTCAAATTCAAGTTGATGGAGATGGGGTGATGAAGTTTTGGACTTTCACAACCTTCGTATGGTTGATGCAACTAGATGTGCATTTTATTGGCCTGATCGCGTGTTTGCAAATGGGAATTGATTTAGGGTGCTTTATGAAGTCAATGAGTCATTAACAACATTTGAGGAATGTCCCGGTTACATCTTTTTAAAGTAAATGAAAATCTCTAAAAGTCGATTTCATGTTTAAAACCTTTATTAAGGGGTGTTTGGTTCGCAAAGTGGTATGGGTTGGAATGAATGAAATCATAGTGGTATGAGTTTAGAACTTGATTCTTGATTCTTAATCATATATTTGATATGATCATGGAATGCAATTTTTTTTTCTTTTATTTGATACCTAAAAGTATGGGAATGAGCCAAACCCACCTTCCTCGATGGTTTCAAAACCCCATTTTTTTTAAAAAAAATAAATTTGGTTGATATAATATTTATCTCGTAACAAATACAAGGTTTGGTGCTTGAAGATAATATTTGGGAAAGGAAGTGTAAATTTAAACTAATACTCCATACTAATAAAAAAAAACCAAATATTCTGTACTTTTTAAAACAGATTTACTCTAAATCCTTAAAGAATTGGATGATCGTATAAAGAATTAACCCCATTTTAAAACAGGTTTACCTATAATTGGATGATTGCATAAGAATCAGCCCCATTTTTTATTTCTTGAATAACTGTGACGGGTCATAGGGATCCATAGAATTGCTCTCTCTCAGATTATCCATTGAAGCGCACTCAACGTTCTCCATTGAAGCGCAGTTAGCGCTCTCCGTTGAGTCTAGTTCTTGTATCCCCCATTGAAGCAACTTCAGAGGTAAGTTGTTTGTATTTGTTATCATCATATAAAATATCCCTATAATTATAAATCAAATTAGGATTTAACTATGAAATCAGAGCTCCTGTATAATTGATTGTTGAACTGTATGTTATGTATAATTCCTAAGGTTATAAACTGTTTACAACGACGAATATAGGTGCCATTTCAAACGCCCGTAGTAGCCAATAGAGGTGTCTTGAAGTTTTACTTAACTACGAAACTATATAATCAAAGAATTTGTAGTCTTGATCCTCAAACACTAAAATGGCGATGGAGGTGAAGTCAAATAGCAGTGTACCGGAAACCCAACTCCTAGAAAAGATATCCGCCGCTATCTCCGCCATTACCACCGCCAAATACGTCGACGACGTCATTTTAACACTTCATTCCGTCGCAATCCTCATTTTTCCCGTCGATACTTCGTCCCTTTCAGGTGGGTGCTAAAACAACTCCATATTTCTTGTTAATTTCTTCAATTTTTTGCATTTTTCTCTTGGATTTTCATTTTTTTAAGCACCAATTATTCATAAAGTTACAAGAAATAGTAATTTGAAGCATATGAACTTGAAAAACTCGAGAATTTATCTATTTGTTGTATATAAACAATGAATTTTGAGGTGTTTGTTTAATTTTGAGAATTAAATTAAGCATTGATTGAAAGGGGAAAACGTGGAATTTGCTAAAAGCCTTTTATTTGTGTGCTCATTGAATTGGCAGGAGTGATTTCAGAGAGATATAGGGATCAGGTAAATTCTATCATTATTCTCTAACTTTTTAATAAGTTTTCCCACTTTTTTTTCGCCGTGAAAACCCTTATTAGAACGTATTGTACCGAAAAAGCTGATATCTTGTTCATGCATACATGAAACAATGTATTTTAATGTTTTAAGGCTTGCTAGAAGTTTAATGTTTCTCGTTGTGAATCTTGCACAAATGCCAAATGGGTGCCTCTTTTTTGCCGCATCTTGAGTTTTGACTACTCACCCACCCTTACCTTTAAGAAAGTTGCATTTGTAGACTACAATTCCAACTCTCGGTACTTTGGTGGGGGGGGGGTGACTGTCTCTATGGGATTACAGTTGTAGAATTTTTGCTATTGTTGGTGTGGGTTGTTGATGTATGATAATGCTATTGACATTAATATTCCAGCTCAATCAATTAGAAGTACCCTATGCAAGTGAGGGGAGGAACCACGTGTGGGAAGTATTCTATAAAGGAGTTTCATTTCCTACATTAGCTCGATTTTTGATTCATGGTATGTTTTCTGATTTTCGTGTTTAACACTTTTCAATGATATGGTATGTTAGATACATTGATGTTACATCAGTATGACGAAAAGAAGTTCAGTAGCAATATCTTGACAACCTGGGTCATTTTGTTTAGCGAATGGATGCAAGAGGAGAAGTCTTTCGATTAGGAAAATTGTACTTATGAATCTTGTCAGTTGTCACTTTGTAATAATTTCTTTCTTCCACTGTTTGAAAAGATAGAACTTACCTACATCCACTATTCCATGCTAATAATCAAGATGCTTACCATCCTCTTTTCAAATTTTATACCCATTTTGATTTACTAAACCTCTCAATCTATTACCTTAGAAGGTTAGAAGAGGAGGAAAATGGTTTGAACATGAGTTCTACAGTTGTTAATTGATAGTTCTGGAGGGTGAAGTCTAATATACCCTTGAGAGAAAAGTTTCTGTGGAAGCTAGTGGAGTAGTGGTCATGATGGCCAAAGAAATAATATGTCATATATGAATTTGCCTGTGGCTTTGCTCAAACTTGAGTTGGATTTGTAGTCTGTTTGGGGTGGTTTTCGAATTCTGTGAATTACGGCCTAGACGCTTTCTAGTTGTGAATGTGCAAAAAATCAATAATTGGGGGAATGACATATTAGTCTTAGTCTATTAGTAGGGACTTGGGGAATAAGTTATAGGTTTGTTATGAGAGTTTTCTATAAATAGGCCTCATTAGGAGGAATAAGGAATGTTAAAAAATTGCGAGGTTTAGTTATTGGGAGAGAGTGAGCCTCTCGAAAGCTCATAATAGGAGAGCATCCACCTCTCGAAAGTGGAATTATCATCCAAGTTAGTGTAATTCTCATCTAATCAATATAATCAGCCTTTTTCTTCTGTTTTTCTGCCATTACTAGTGCTGGAAACCATGCTAATTTCTAGCAGAATGCTAGTTGTATCCTTTTTTTTTTTTCCTTTCAAAGTTAAGCTACTTGAGTGACTTGGAGAAGCTTGACTTGGTTGAGGTTATTATCTGCTAGCTCAATATATTCACTTCATGGTTACAATGCTTTCTTCTTTTGATGATTTTGCAGATGTTGCTTCCAATTGGTTATCTTGCTTCCCTTTGACTGCAAGGAAGCTGGTTTATGATGTATTTTTCGTTAAAGGTCTCATTTTTGAGGTTGTTCAAGCATTGATTCCTTCTCTAAATCATAGTACCAGTGTTGTAAGATCAAATACTGAAAGGTGATTGTGATGCTGATAATGCACTTGTCTAGTTTCAGACTTGTCCTTGCTAGACACGATTTCTTGTCGAATTTTCTCATGTTCTTACTGGAAGTTTGGTTGCAATTTGTCTACCAGATGCAATTGTAAATTTATATAATGTCGCTCATGATTTCACTCTCCAAATATTCACAGATTAGTTGCACTCTGCTTGTTAGAAAATGAAGGAGCTCTTCAGCTGGCTAAGGAACTGGATGTTTACCATGAATCTAATGATAACTCTGCTTCTTTAGTCAAGCTCACAGTATCTAGAGTGGCACAGCTTGTTGCATCTGTCCCAGACAAAACACGGCCTGGAGCTCTTAAATCTCTTTCATCTCAGTATCCTTTCTTATTCTACTAAATATGTATGCTTAATTCAGCTTCTTAAAGTGAACTCCAAAATGGACATTTTGCACATTTCCTGATATTTATGAAGGATTGTTGAATCTTTGTGTTACTGGAAAGATATCTACTGAGTATATGTATTAAGCTGGGCAGCTCTGGTTGTTTATTCTTGACAAAGGCTCTTAGTTTATTTTTTAAGAGCATCACTATCCAGCTTCTGGATGGAGCAGAAGAAAAAAGCAGGAAGTTATATGGCAAAGAAGTTTACACTGGTGTGGATGGTTCCTTCCTATTTGTTGCAGAAATGTTTGCTCGCATTTGTCGACGTGGATCAGCTGGTAAAACATTAATGCTGCAATTTCCATTGGCTACTGTTGAGCTTGCAATTTTTGGCTTTTAGCACTGAATTTTCCTGGTTAATTGTGGTAACAATTACTGAAATTTCTGAGCATTAAAATTGGGTAATAGATTTCTACTATTTGCTCCATTATCATCATCAAATGTTAGGTATATATATTATATATATAATGTATTTATACATTTAGCAATCTAACTTTCTTAGAGTAAAATTTTTGGCCCATATAATATGTAAACATGTTACATGTCTCAGAAAATGGTAAAAGATGTTGAGACAAGATTATTGATTTTTTCGGGGCAATGGCAATGAAAGTATGAAACAAATAGTATATCTGTAGCTTCTACTTTATGCACTGCTTGTTTCCAACCTTTATTTGTTTTAATTTTTTTGAACCTTATCAAGTTATCTCGGTCCATTTATGACTCTCCAGATATGATAGGACGAACTCATTTCCTGTAGGTGCAGGGCAGGCTGTAGGGGGCTCAGATGCTTCATGTGGGGTTTGAACTATCCAACTGTCTGGGGCGCTAGGGTGGGTGGGGTGCATTTTAAGAGTGCTTGCGAACACATAATCCCTGGCAGGGAATGCCTTATGCGTTAATACGTTTCCTATCAAGGATTTAATTTTGGAAAGAGTTAGATTTTGTGAGGAGTAGACTATTTAGTTGAAACCAGCTTGGCCAGTTCTTCAATAGTACACAGCAAGTGCTACCTGTAAATCGAGTGATATATCTGTTTGTCATATTCCGTATGTTTATATATGAATCATAAGTTTGGTAATTATGTGCTGTAAAATTTATGGAATGCTTATGATTCCACCAACCATAGTGAATCATGAAGTGTCTTTTGCATGTATCATAATAACACTCTGGTCTTTGAGAGGATGGTAGTTGAATGGTAAATTTGGGGATACATGAGATCTGTTCGATAGTAGGGAATAGGAATTTTTTGTTTGAGGAAAAGAGGAATTAAATGTGATTAAGGAGGTTTTCCATGCTTTTGTTTGCTATGAGGGGAGGATGGTTGGGTAAGTAGAACCTTATTAGCTATATCACTGGCGATGTTGATGGTATTTCCATTTAAGCCTCTTTTTTTACTGTACAACATCTGGAACTTTTCTAATCTAGTGCTTCTTCCCTGTATGATAGTACAACAACAACAACAACAAAGCCTTAGTCCCAAAATGATTTGGGGTCCTCTATGATAATAAATTACGTACTCCCGTTCCTTTTTGTTTTCTACCCTTTCTTCATATGTTTGTTCCTTTTTGTTCTTTACACTTCTACTTTATTCCATTTTTGGCAATGTGTTTTTTTTTTTGCACACTTTTATACGTTAGCCCACACAGAAGGGCATACTTTTCCCCACATGATTAATTTTGCCACTTAAACCCCACTATTTCAATCTCTTTATCACTTTTTTAAATCTTATGCAAATAGTAAGCATCAAGAACATTAAGGAGGAGCAAAGGTAGTACATCTGATGAGAACTGAAAAAAGAAAATAATTACACACAACTTTCTTTGTTACTCCTTCACTTGAGGTACTCTTTCCTCCCTAAATTAGATTTGACACTTATCATAACACATACTTTTAGGTGATAAGTTGTTTGCTAGCTTTAGTAGTTATTTTTATTGAAATGGTAAATGTAGTTTAATACAGTGATTTTTTTTAAACGAAAAAGTAGGTGTGAAAGGAGATAATGAGGTATTGTTTTATTTAGTGCAATAGAGTGTGGGACACTATCTTTCTAGTAGTGGAGATGAGATTTCGAAAGATGGAACGTAAAGATTTATGTGAGAGAGTGAGACAGATGATATAGGAATGTGTAAAACGAATCTGCTACAAAGTGAGTAATGTATTAAACTTTTTAGATGTCATTGGCCATTTGTTTGGATTTTGAAAGTTTCAAACTTACATTAGCGACCATGTGGAAATTGTCCCCCATCCCCCCTACACTTATATATGTGAACTGTGAAGCAAAATAGACAATTAGATAATTGTCTATTAAAGGGAGCAGTCTTTAATGCTGACTTGAAATGCTGACTGCAGATTTGCTGGTAAGTGAGGTGATTCCCCGAATTCATAGACGTGTACGAAACCTTTTATCGTCCCATGACAAGGATATTATCACTGAGAAAAGTTTCAAATCAGACCCTAGTTTCCAGTTCTGGTTATTGATGATAGGAACCATTAAAGATGCATATGTTTTGGAAAAAATGACTGAGCAAATCTTGCATCAGCTGGTATATGAAAGTGCAAACGACACCGAAGCATATTGGATACTATGGATATTATTTCATCAGTCATTTCAACATCAGACAACAGTCAGGTGAGAGCAATTTTTTTACAGTTATCAAGTATAGGTTTAGTTTGATGATGTAAAAGTTGGTTAATTAATTGCCGTTTTATTTTTCTTATTTCTTTGTTTGATTTGTTCTTTAATTGGACAATGATTGATACTTTTCTTGGTGGTGGTTTGCACTGCACTAAATAACTATATAGAATTTGGACTAACTTAATGTCAGATTTTATGTTTCTAGGACTCTACATTTCCCTTGAAGAACACATGCCAGATTCTTGACATCCCTATTACTCAATAGTCCTACACAAGTATGGGCAGTTGATACATCATTTTGCACCAAAAATATTAATAACCATAAAATTGCCAGTGACTCTTTAACACACACCTGTGTCTAATACCTCATTTTATTAACATTGGTCAAATATGGAAGTTTGGAAACATCCATTTCCAAAAATGGATTGTTATATAATTATGTATTCTGTCTTGAATAGGGGTTTTATTTTTTATTTATGAATGAAAAACGCATAAGCAGACTTACATTGTTATCTACTTTCTACCTAGGGTCATATTTGTTGATAAATTTCTCCTCTTGAAAGTACTTCCATTCTGCTGCTTGAGATGGATACTCCAGTTTGCTGTTTTTGGTTGCCCTTTTGATGATGGCAAGTTGAAGAAAAGTGAAAACAATCATGTTCTGTTGGAAGCTGTCAGCCGTGTTGTACAAGTATGGTCTACTCGGGAATTTGTACAATCGTCTCCTTTAGAGCAGCAATTCTGTATCCTTTTCGGAAGATATTTCTGTGTGATTATTTGCTATTTCTTCTTATATCTCCGTGTAATTCCACTATATATTTGGTAATATCTAAACACCGAATGCCACTAATATTTATAGTTACTTGTATTTTGGAATGCATTTCACCTTAACCTGAACTGCAGATGTAACAGCTGTGGCAGGTCTTTTGTTGGAGAATATGTCTAGGGAAGAGCTAGACTCGACCAAGGATGTTATGCGCTTAATTCTTGAAGGAGTTAGCTGTACAATCTTGAACCCTCTCAAATTTGTGTGTGTGTGTGTTTTTTTTTGCAAGTTATTTCAAAGCTTACCAATGTGCTCTCTTTTCTTGATAGGTAGACTGGAGAACCCTGATGAATTAGTCAGAAAAATGGCAAGCAATGTGGCACTTGTATTTTCTAAGGTAGTAGATCCAAAAAATCCTCTTTACCTTGATGATAGCTGTAGAGAAGAAAATGTAGATTGGGAATTTGGATTACCCTCCTCAATGGGTGCTTTGTCTAGTAAAAATAGAACCTCCAACAACGTGGTGAAAGCAGAATCAAATGATAAAGGTGTGCATATGGAAAGCCAAAACCATGGAGATACACATGAAAGAGAAAGCAAGTTGAATCCTGACAAAAAGAAACCTTTTGAGCTTATGTTGGTTGATCCGGATGAGATTGTTGATCCAGCATCATTAAACGATGAGTTTCTCACTGGTGAAGAGGTGGATGATAACGCAAGTGAAGATTCTGAATCCTCAAGTGACTCATCATTGCAGCCTTATGACTTGACAGATGATGACAGTGATCTTAAGAAGAGGATCTCTCAGTTGGTGGATGTTGTTGGGGCCCTTCGAAAATCTGATGACCCTGATGGAGTAAGCCTTGTTATTCAGCCTCATTTCTAGTTATATTTCTTTTCTTAACTGTTTGGGGATAAGGTGCTGTGCATCTAGATTGTAAATTGCAGGAGCTGTGCTATGGCTATGGTGGTGTTGGTGATATTTTAATTGATATTGCAAAATACTGGTCTTAAATTGCACATACATTATAAAATAATTCAGAAAAGGGCCAAGGTGAGGGGGATATTGCAGGTGACTTGGGGTCTAGAAAACTAGAAAAATTTTATCACCCTGGACTTTAGGTACAATTGTCCTGGATACCCTAATCTTTAAATCTAAGTTAGCAGCAAAGCAAGCATGCATACTTGTGCTGGGGGATACTAATGGCTGCCAAATGTAGTTGTAGTGTTCAACTCAAACCTAAAGGTGCATATATAAGACAAGATGACCTGTGATAGTATGTTCCTCATATGGTATTCATCCCAACCCTGTCTTCGTTTCTCCTGTTTTCGTTCCCCCTGACCTTTCGTTCATTAAGCTCAGAGTCTTTAATTGATTTTAGCTCTACAAGAACACATTTCTGCTTGTGCTGTAACCAAGCATCTTTTGACATAGTCCTTGAAATGTCTGTCTTGTAGTAAATCTTGTTGTGAATGAAGGGATTATTATGCTCAAGTTAAAAAAGGGAGTGTTTTATTTACCTTTCTCCTAGTTATCACTTATTTGAACCTATCTGAACTTTTAGGCATTATCTTAGCTGAAATAAGGTGAAACAAGATGAACAGGCCTAGTTCTTGTCATGTTGAGGGCTCTGCTCTATTACTCTATCGAGTTAGATAAGTTTTCAGCAAATAAGAAGTTAAGGGGTTGGTTTTGTTTTGTTTCGTTTCTTAATTTTTGCAGATGCATTGTTGGGGGGATCTTTGTGAAGTTACAATTCATAAAAAAATTATAACTGAATTTAATTAGCATTAATTTTCAAATCAAATATAGAGTACTCTATAATAACACGAATTTTAAAATGTTGCCGCCTAATCTCCGACAACGCTCTAAATTTAAAGAAAAGCCAGCTGAGGGGGCCCTCTTTTCTTTTCCTTTGTGTAATTTGATGTACCTGTAGTTCGATCAAATAATTTCAATTTATACAGCTCCTGTTTGTGGATGTTCTTGCTTTTTGGAATTTCCATTTTTGCATTCTTTTTTACATTATTCATTATAGCGGAAAGGAGGATGATTTGACACCATATAGAAATATGTTTTAGATAATTATGCTCACTTTTTATGCAGGTTGAAAGAGCTCTTGATGTTGCAGAAAAGCTTGTGCGAGCATCACCTGATGAACTTCGGCATGTGGCCAGTGATCTAGTAAGAACCCTTGTACAAGTCCGTTGCACTGATTCAGTGGTAGAAGAAGAGGAAGATTCGGCTGAAGAAAAAAGGCAGAAGGCACTGGTTGCATTGCTTGTGACGTGCCCTTTTGAATCTGTAAATACTGTGAATAAACTTTTATATTCTCCTCATTTGGATGTGAGCCAGCGCATCATGATACTTGATGTCATGACAGATGCAGCTGAGGAACTTGCTAATGCTAAAACCATTGTTAGGAAAACCCAGCCAAAATCTCTGATATCATCTGCATCCGAACCTCAACTCTGGTTCTTGCCAAGTAGCAAAGGGCCGACTGGAGCTGGATCCTGGAAAGAAATCCCAGATACACTTCCGTTCTCTTCATTGAATTTGACCAACCGGTTTGAGAGAGAGCTTCCTTCAAAGTCTGTTGAAATCAAAGGAAAAACTCGCCGATGGGGTCATAACCCAGCAAACTTGCAGGGTAGTGTGAATGACTGGTCTCAGAACAAGTTTCCTCTTTATGCGGCAGCATTTATGCTTCCTGCTATGCAAGGGTTTGATAAGAAAAGCCATGGAGTTGACTTGCTCGGAAGGGATTTCCTTGTTTTAGGGAAACTTATTTATATGCTTGGAGTTTGTGTCAGATGCATAGCTCTGCATCCAGAAGCATCTACTTTGGCTCCTGCTCTTCTGGACATGCTAAGGTCAAGGTATTGAATAATGATTATTGAATAATTAGCCTAATACTTTCCTCATCACATAATTTCTCCCCTTTTCTCAATAATGCTTAATGTGAAGTGAACAAAAGGGAAGATAACTCATCTAAGCACACTTCCAAGCATAAATACGGAAATTTATGTGGGATCTAGTAGGGATTTGTTTTAATTTTGAAAGGAATTTCTGCAATTATAATGACCCACTGAATTAAAGGCTTTTCTGTATGCTTAATAATTTTTTCCTGCGTTTATTAATGCTGAACAAATGGATTTACTTGGATGCAGGGAGGTATGCCAACACAAGGAAGCATTTGTTCGGAGATCAGTCCTCTTTGCTATATCATGCTGTTTGAATGCACTTCACCCCTCATTTATAGCATCTTCCTTAATGGAAGGGAATGAAGAAATTTCTAGAGGACTTGAGTGGGTTCGGACATGGGCACTTCAGATAGCCGAATCAGACACTGATAGAGAATGTTGTACGGTGAGTTAGATTTGGTGAAAGATATGTCACTTCAAATTTTATAAACATGCTCTAATGGTTTTTGGTGCATATAGATGGCCATGGCATGCCTTCAGCTTCATGCACAGATGTCTCTCCAAGCTTCCCGAGCTTTCAACTCCGCTGAAAGCAGTCAGCAAAAGCAAAGCATCGGGCTTCCGTCTAATCTGGCAAAGGGGGTTATCAGAATTCCTGGATCCAACAGTTTTCTTGGCTAATTGGGTTTTGATATTAGTAGGCTGTACTGTACAGTTAGGCATTGTTGCAATCCACTGTAAATATTACTTGCATCTTATAGGTAGCTACTAATGTTTTGATGTTTGCTATTTTAGTAGTATCTGTTATTTATTTATTGGATTTTTTCACATTTGCTACCACCTAAAACACCTAGCTTTAGATTTGCTACTGTTTTAATTTTTTTTTTTTACTTTGCTACCGCCTAAATTAGAGTTTGTTAGATATCACTACCACTTAACGGAATCCTTTAGGATTTCCGTTAAGTTTCTTAAGTTTATTAAAAAAAAAAAAATTAAAAAAAAATTAAAAAAAAAAGAAAAACAACCCAGCCACCTCACTGCCACCGACCCCCATCCCCTCAACTGCCAGTCTGCCACCCTCCCCCCTGCCGGCGGCCGGTGGCAACCTCACCCCCTCCCTTTTCCCCACCCACTAAGCCAACCCCCCTCCCTATCCCTCACCCACGAAGCCAACCCCACCACCCACGAAGCCGTCCCCCACCGAAATCAGCCCCCCTCCCCGCCGTTACCCCACCGGAATCGAACCCTAAACCCGGAACCACCCCTAACCCTAAACCTCAAGCCACCCAAATGAATTGAGGGTTTGCGAATTTGGTGGTTTAGGGTTTGTGAATTTGGGGTTTGCGAATTTGGTGGTTGTGGTGGTGTTGCAGGCTTCCGCGAAATGGTGGCTGCGAATTGAGGAGGGACTGCGAAATTGGTGGTGGAGCTGGTGTTGCGGGTGGGTGCGAATTGGTGGTTGCTGGAGGTAACGGGGAGGGGGCTGAATTTGGTGGTGGATGGCTTCGGTGGGTGGGGGAAAGGGAGTGGGGGTTGGCTTCGTGGTGGGGGAAAGGGAGAGGGGTTAGCTTCGTGGGTGGGGGAAAGGGAGGTGGCTGGACGGTGGTTCGGCCCCATTGACGGAAATTGTAACAGTGTATGGCATGGGGTAGTAATTTCTAACAAACTCTATTTAGAGTGGTAGCAAAGTTAATTTTTTTTTTTAAAACGGTAGCAAATCTGAAGTGAGGTGTTTTTGACATTCACACTGTATTGGGTTTTCAATTGTTTATTACAGCCTACTTTATTAACCTTCTTAAGTTTTGATGATACTAATAAGATAACAATAAGATGAAAATGGACCCAATTATACATCATCTTAATGTTAGGATTTCTAATAATGGTCACAAATTCTTCACTTTCATTGCACCAAAAAAACAAATTCTTCACTTTCAGTTTTCACCCTTCTTACCATAATTGTAACAATGAACTAAAGCTTATTTCTCTTACGCATCAATATGACTAGATCATCATTTGCCTCAATCGATATCAAAAGAACATCTCGTACCTGCAAATATTAATTTATTATATAACATTTACAATTTCCATCCCACAAAATGTTTTTTGTGTTTGATTTCTTAACAGCATCCAATGCACAACTTTAAGCATTAATATTTTACTTATAAATCTGTATGAATTTATTTTGTCGTGATTTAAAGAACAATATTATTCTTTAGGTGAGACGTCCGGATGACTCTGCGTTACATTTCACAATTGTTTATTGACACCACGCCTTAAAAAAAAAATCTAGAAGTTCTTGGAACATTCTTGGTTCTTTTGTACCATTAGAAGTAGACCTCTCTAGTACCTTAAACCCCAGCAAAACCCCACAAAATCACGAAAAAAGTACCAACAAACTCTGCAAAAAAAGAATTTGAAGAAATCCGCCATGGCAGCAACTTCAAGTTTCTCAAAACTCATCTCATTCTTCCCCCAAACTCTGAACACCAAAGCCCAAATCCCTTTTTCCCAAAAAACCCACCTTTCATATCCTCTAAATTGCCCTTCAATCACTCTAAAAAACCCAGAAAACCCTAGAAATCGAAATGGGTTGTTTATAACATCAATGGGTACTTATAATGTGCAGGTTGTGGTTGATGAAAACGAGCATGAAGAAAAGCTGTTGAGCAGGTTTAGGAGAGAAGTATTTAGAGCTGGTGTTATTCAAGAGTGTAAGAGAAGAAGATGGTTTGAGAATCCTCATGATAAGAAGAAACGCAAGTCTCGTGAAGCTGCTAAGAGGAATAGCAAAAGGTTTGGTTTTTATTTGTAGATTTTTTTAATTTGTTTTGGTCATTGTTCATTTTTTTCTTATTTTTTTATTATTTGTGTGTGTATATGGAAAATCAAGAAATCGATAATTATGTAGACGAGATTTGATTTCAGGTCCTCGGTTTTGCTGCCAAAAGCTTAATTCTTTGGTTTGAGTTGATGGGTTTTACTTTGTATATGTAGTTCTTGGTTTTTGTTGGTTGTTTTGGAGTTTTATTGTGTTTGGTTTGGTTAAGGTAGAAAATTGAATGATGCTCAAAACTCACCCTATAACATTAGTTTTGGTAAAAATGTGAAAACTTCATCACCAAAGCATCAAAGTCATCAAAAAAACCTTAAGAGAAGAATTTTACTTGTAATGGGGTTTGGTTGTGAAGAGGTATTTTTGGTGATAATATAAGATGTTTCATGATGAAAAACAGTAATGCTGAAAATTGAAGCAAAATTAGAAGTGGTTTGTGAGTTACAATGATTGGAGTTTCATGTTTGAATTAAGAATGGGATTTAGGTGGGGGAATGTGTTGGGCCTTGTGATGAGCATTGAGGTATTGCCGATTGGGTTTTGTTGTTGTTCGATTGAGCTCGGTTGAGCTTTACATGGTGTTTCAATTGCTGAGCAGCTACAGATATCTGTCCCAAACTTGTTACCATGATTCTTATGTGAGCCAGGGATATTTGATGAAGATATTTTGAAGGTTTAGCTGCAGACTTTCCTTATCTTTATGTGTTCTTGTCATTTTGAAGGAATTTTTGTGGCCTTGTAAAGTACGGATTTATAGACTATTGGACTGAGCTTTGGCTAATATGAGTAACTACGAAAATTGTATATGTTTGGGATTTTAACTCCAAATTTTGGTTTTGTTTATAGAACTTTATTTTGCGTGAGGAAGAAAAGCAGGTGGAAGAAATGAACTTGGAATTGTGATTGCTTACTACAAAATTTGAACTTGTGGAATGAGTATGTGAAAATGATAGTGAAGGATTTGAGTTTGAGGCTATTAGTGAATGAAGGTTTTGGTTTGATGGTTTCTATAAATAATATAATTGACTTATAGGTTATAGAAATTTAGAAGAAGTCATATGAGGCGCCATGAAAACAAAAGTTATTACTTGGATTAGACATGATGCTTATACATCTGCATTCCTTTGAATGTTCTGGTATATGAGTCTAAACTCATAAGAGGAATCTTGACCGAGTTTTAGCATGTTTGGTATATGAGGACCTAATGTTTTCGGGAGCTGAACAATTTTATTGTTAATATTGCTGCAGCTGTGGTTATATTACAACACCTATGAGGAATCCTGCGGTGGCTTTCTTGTATTGTGCAAACATCATTTTGTAAACTAGGCGCTGCAAAGTCTGATGGGCAAAGCTAACACTGTTTAGATAGTACCCTACTGAACAAATCTGAGGTTCATTAATAACATTGTTGTTTCCCTCGTTCTCTTATACTAAATTCATGTCCTGAGATTCCAGTTCTGATATGCTTTTCTGCGGGAGGAGTATTAGAGCTATTCAGCTGCTTGATGTAATACTAGATTTCAAAAGATTAATGGAGTATTGGAAGTCTTGTCTCTTATGCAACTTCACAACCAATAAGACAGATCTTTTACAAAATGTGAGATTGTTTACATTGGAATCTTTGGAACAAATTGGCATCCAATATCCTTGTAAGATTTGAGAAGCTGCAACCTAATTTTATGCTTGCTATTGCTTACTTATGCAACCAAGCTATTCTATTTACTCCTTTTGCCTCTAAATAAGCCACATTTCTCCTGTGCATGCGGTTTAAGGGGTTTTGTTGATTAAAGTTGAATAGAAAAAGAAGGTAGAGGTAAACTGGTAATGATTTACTGGTTTTAGGGGAAGTGAGAGAATATATAGTGTGGGTTAAGGAGATTTTGTTGGTTAGGAGTGATAGAGAAACGAAGTAAATAGATTATTGACCCTACCCAAATGAGAAACGAGGCTTTCATTTAGAGGCACAAGAATTTTGATAGAAACGGGGCTTTTATTTAGGGGCAGAAGGATTATCATTTTGCCAGTGATGTGATGTGAATTTTGTACTGTGTGTTATTACAGTTTCCTCTACTGGCATTCCGTGTTAATCTCTCTGTACTTAAAATCTGGTTGACATATTATGTGACGTTGACAGATGATAGGTTCCTCAGTATACTACTTATAGAATCTTACATACTCCATAGCATCTTGCAGCTGCTTCGTGCTTTTCTGATATGCTTTGTACTTTTGCTTGTGTTTGAGACTTGAAAGAGCTTGATGTTCTGCTGCTTTCTTATTGGAATTGTTATTTTAATATTATTTCTGGCCTGTTGTATATTCATTTTAATACATGTTAACTACTTGTTAATACAGGCGTTTTCGGCCAAAAGTTACAAAACAGAATAATACTGATACTCCAAAGAAGGAAGATGATGATTTTGATAATGATAATTGGGAGCTTCCTGAAGGGGACCTTCCCTATTGACCAAGCTGGTGCAGTTGCTAGCAGGTGACATGCTGACAATGACAGATACTGAGATACAAAGCTAAATTTTCAATACATATTGACCTGAGTTTTGGATTATGAGTTTATGACACTGTAAAGAGCAGTATAGTATGAATATTAGAAGTATATGTTATCTCTATTTGTTTGAATTACTTGGTATTATCGGGTGTTGCTAATATCACGTTTCAAATTCAAAGAGGCAATTCGTATGTATCTTGATCATCAGAACAAGCTGAAAATTGTATGAAGAGGGTTTGTGGTACATGTCATGCCCACTTGATTATTGTGCTTTGATTAGACTACAATATGCTTTCGATTCAGGATCACAAATCACAAAATAGCTAATGAAATGTGTACCAATTTTGTATGTCTGGTTTAGTTTAAAAAGCTCCAATTATTTAGCAAACTTGTTCAAATATCGCTAATTGGGCTAATTGACTAATGTATATAACTCTATACCCAGCTAGGGCAACCGTTCAATGCAAATGGTGCAATAATTTTTTCGCTCCATCATAAAAGTTATTAGTATTATTTTGCCAAATTCAACAGTTAAAGAAAGAATATACAAGTTATATTTTTGGTATCGTCTATAATTAAGTTACAAGATAGTCAAGAAAACACTTTCAACTCCTACAATGTACATTATTGAAAAATGTCGGGGTTCTTTCAAACAAAAACCGATTAGTATGCTACTACACTTAATTTGTCGTATATGCCTCACATACTAGGACTCTAACATTATATGAGCAAGTAGACGTGTCAATTTGGTTACTTGGTATGAGTTCGGTGAAGTCAGATCGAGTTAAGTCAATTTTAAAAGTAAGTTGTGTAAAATTATTGTTTTCTTAAATCGAGATTTTTATCGAATCGAATCAGTTTTTGACACCTCTATTAAAACAAGCCCGTTTTAACAGACGACTGTCCGGCCCAAAACTCATTCTTAGAGAAAAAAAGAAATACTAGGAAATACAAACATACTCTCATTTCTCTAGTCTCTACAATTACAGTTTCTCCTTCTCCAAGCAAACAACACAAAAACACAAACTTCTTTACTCAGAGAGGAGAGAGAAACTCGAAGAAAGAAGCCATGGAAGCTAAAGAAGATTCACAAAATGAGCACCTTAAACTCGCTAACAAGATCTTCCACCTTACTCATCCCGATGTTGAGGATATCGAGAAAGTTCGTCTCAAAGATGAGGTCTTATCTTCCATCAAATCTGATTGTAAGTTGTTTTTTTTCGATTCAAACCCTAATTCTTCATTTCAATCGTTTTTTTAACAATCAAATTGTGTTTAATTTTGAGTTTTATTGATTTTTGCAGTTATGGTTTCGCTTTATGAAACCCTAGCTGCAAATGGAGTGTTGGAGTTGGATCAATCGCTGCTTGATTCGATGCGGCAAAGTATTGAAGATGAGCTTAAGAAACTCGATGAGAAGTGAGTTTTCTGTGAATTTTGATTTAGGGTTTGTTGGATTGTTAAATTGTAGCTTCATATTTATTTTGTTAAATGCAAGTTAATTTGATTTTTTAGGGTTTTTTCTATGCTGTATACTAAAGAATTTTTCTATCAAAGTTAATTTGATTCACTATCTTTTAGCTGAAACACTATAAGTTGAAGGGGTGGGGGTGCATTGAGTTGGGAATGCTACAAATCTGTGAAATGAAACCGTTAGCCTTGACGTAAATATGCTTCTTTGTGTTGCCATTACTGATGTGGGTTATCAATTTGGGTAGTTCTATATTACTTTGACCTGGGCAATCAAGTCGGCCGTATTAAAATTTCTAAAATTGAAGCAAAATGGAGTATCGAAGTGTCTATACCTATGTTAGCAGTGGCGGATCCAAGATTTCCGAGATAGTGTGTCACCATCAATTATTGATCATTTGTGAAAGTACAATTTTTTTTTTCCATGTCTTGTTCATAATTAATTTCAATCCAAAAATTATATATATATATATTTCACCAAATTGATTTCAATCCAAAAATAGGACACAAAAATACATACCACTTCAATCCAAAAATAGGACACAAAAATACATACCACAACCAAATACAGTACTTAAGAATTCAATTTTACAAGTCGAAAATACTACAAATAACATGTTATAAACAAATGGTACAATAAAATTATTATATTGAATTAACTTTATGATTTTTTAGTTAATTGATAAGCTTTATGGGGAAATATTAAAATCGGTTGTACAAATATAAGATATAAAAAGGGAAAAAAAATTATTAAAAAATTATACAAAAAAAAGTGAGATAACTTAAGAGACAAGTTATTAAATATAACTGGTCTCTTTAATGAAAAAAGAAAGTAACGCAAAAAAATTGCGAAATGCAATAGCAGCATCAAAGAGACTTCTTATATAAATAACAGGTCTCTTTAATATTTAAGTAGCAATAGCAGCATTAAAGAGATCGCCTACCTTAATAAGAGGTCTCTTTGATGTTGTTTGTTGTTACCAATAGCAGCATCAAAGAGACCGCCTATCTATAATAAGGGGTCTCTTTGATATTTTATTTTTTTAAAAAAATACTGTGTCACCGGACCCACTATGACTAAAGGTGGGTCCGCCCCTGTATGTTAGAGTGTCTAGGATCCGACAAGGGTACTTGAGGTGAAATGAGAGTAGCGTTGTGTGGTGCTATACATTAGAGGGGCTTATCACTGTCTAAATAGATCTTCCTGCTCCATCATGTTTGTCTAGTACTGTACTAATTAGTGGATCAGTACTGTCCTTCAATATTGGTTGTTAACTCTGTATGTGGTAAATGCTTTTGTGTAACCTCCCATTTCTCTCTCTTATAGAGGTGCTAAGCGCATCTAATAACATTGAGAACTTATATTTTCTACATTTTTGCTGTGATGTATAACTGGAATTATATGACAAGTCATAAATTCTTTTATTTCAATCCCCAATTGTGAATTTGTTATAGAAATTAGCTTTAAAGGTGAAACATTTCCACATGTTTTGGTTGAATTGTAATGATCCAGTGATGTATGATGCTCGTTGATATCGTTCCAATTCCCGAAAATGGGGCTTTATCATATTTGGTAAAGCTCTAGAGGTGGAAATGAAGAGACATCTGAGGATATATGACTTCTAGATTTTTCTAGTTACACCGTCGTTTAAATACTTGGATAGTTGGATGTAACAGATTCTTCGTATTCCTTTGAGTTCAATAGAAGCACATACATCCAAGTGCAGAATATTTGTTCTTTGTTCACTTACAAAGGTTGTGTCAGTGAGGCAAAGTGTTGTCCCCTGAAACTAGCTTGTAATCGTTATCAGTCATGAGTAAAAGTGTAAACATTTCAGGAACTTTACCTGAAGGTTTTCTGAAATTTACGTATAATTAGTTTGTGTGTTGTATTTTATTGGAAAGACTCCTTTATTTCTGATTAATATTGTTTTCCCTCTTGTAACTTTTTTGGTTAGTTTGATAAAGAAATAAGGTAATTTTGATATTGTGACTCTTACTGATGTTGGCCCTGGATCATATTATGTTCATTTTACATGAAAGACTAGTCAATGTTTGATTTGCTGTTTTCTTTTTATTTAGAGGGTAGGTAGTGGTTTAGTTTGTTTAATCTCTTTGCCTATTGCATGGTTATGCTTCTTGTAAACTATGAAGCTCATTGAAAAAATAGCTTTACATCTTTATGACCTTTGTTTTTATCTGTTCTTTTTTGGTGTAGGATAGCTGATGCTGAAGAAAACTTGGGCGAAAGTGAAGTTCGAGAAGCTCATTTGGCAAAGTCTTTATTCTACATAAGAACTGGTGATAAAGTAAGGACCTCTTCAGTGGATCATTTCTATTGAATTTTTCAGGGGTTTAGGACTGTCCTAAGTTGTAACATTACTTCTAACCATTCCTTAATTTATTTATATTTAGGATAAAGCATTGGAGCAGCTCAAGGTAACTGAGACCAAAACTGTTGCAGTTGGTCAGAAAATGGATCTGGTGTTCTTTACTCTTCAAGTTGGATTGTTTGACATGGACTTTGATCTGATTTCCAAAAGCATAGATAAAGCCAAAAAGTAAGTTGCAAGGAATCATCATAATTCTCTGCAAGATTCTTGAATTTCTTGATCAATTTGTTCTTTTTTATTTATGGTGTCTATTTCTTAATTTCAGCCTGTTTGAGGAAGGAGGTGATTGGGAAAGAAAAAATCGATTGAAGGTGTATGAGGGGCTGTATTGCATGTCTACTCGAAATTTCAAGAAAGCAGCTAGCTTATTTTTGGACTCCATCTCAACTTTCACAACATATGAGCTTTTCCCTTATGATACCTTTATATTCTACACTGTCCTTACCAGTATCATATCCCTTGATAGAGTTTCCTTGAAACAAAAGGTAATCTAATAGTAATTTTATTTCTGTATCCTCCTGAATTTGTTATTCCATTGACATAGTGGTATGTATTAATGTTCATGGACATGTGACAGGTAGTGGATGCACCTGAGATTTTAACTGTGATCGGAAAGGTTCCTCATTTGTCCGAGTTCCTGAACTCACTCTATGATTGTCAATACAAGTCATTTTTCTCTGCATTTGGTGAGTAAGATTAGTTTCTTTTTTTTGCCTACTGTGATCACTTCGTGTGTTGATTATTGCATATTTCACTTGTATTTTAGTACCTGCCATCTTTTTGGCTAGTTGGTGTGTTCCGACTCTTATCAGTTTACTGTGGTAATCAGGCTTTGGTGTGGGGATGCAAAGTGGGGGCCGGGGTTGGGGGGGGGGGGGGTTGGGGTGTGGAAAATAACTCAATATAATAGTGGGCATGCTCATCTTCCCTCAGGTCCTCTTCCTGGAAATTTAATTTTTTAGTTTAGATGCTGTGGCAAATTAATGGGTAATAATGATCATCAATATTATCTTTGTGATGTGCAGCTGGTCTGACAGAACAAATAAAGTTTGACCGCTATTTGCATCGACACTTCCGCTATTACATGAGGGAGGTCAGGACTGTCGTTTACTCTCAGTTTCTGGAATCATACAAGAGTGTAACCATTGAAGCAATGGCAAAGGCTTTTGGCGTGACAGTGGAGTTTATTGACCTGTGAGTATTCTTAATTTTACTTTGTGGTGGAAAAGTATCTAATTTCAAGCTGCTGCTTGAAAAATAAAGTATTTTCTTACGGCATTTGAAATTCTAAACCAGTCCCTTAAAAAGCTAAAAGTACTCGGTTTTTGAAAAAAAAATTAGGAAATTTTCACTTTTGCTACCACTCAAACACCCCTATTTCACTTTTGTTACCATCTAAAATTTTATTTTAATTTGCTACCACCTATAATCACATAATTTAAATTTCACTACCACTTAACGGAATCCGTTAGGGTTCCGTGAAGTTTATTAAAAATAAATAAATAAATAAAAAATACCCAGCCACCCTCAACTGCCCAGCCCCTCCCAACAGCCACTTCCCCCCTCCCCCTTGCCAGCAGCCAGCGCCCAAAGCTTCTGAGTGCCCTGCCCCTCCCGTCAGCTGTATAAATTTCATCTTAGATGAGTAGCAAAAGTGAAATAGGGATGTTTGAGTGGTTTATAATGGAGAAGCAAGATCAAATGACACATATACAGCTTAATAAGCTGGATTGAGGCCTTTTTTTTTTTTTTTTTTTTATTTGCCCTTCACCCCTATTTTAATTGCTGAAGCAAAGGAAAGTTGAAATTAGTCACATTACTCCCTTCATCTGTTTAGGTTCTCAAGATGAGCCATATTTGTTTATTTTTGCAATTCTGAGAACTAAAATTTGGCTTTCCAGGGAGTTGTCTCGCTTTATAGCAGCTGGAAAGCTGCACTGCAAAATTGACAAGGTAGCTGGTGTTCTTGAGACCAATCGGCCTGATGCGAAAAATGCTCTCTATCAAGCAACTATCAAGCAAGGAGATTTCTTACTAAACAGAATCCAGAAGCTGTCTCGTGTGATTGATCTGTAAATTTAGTAAGAAATTTGAAGCTTGCAGTTTGATCTTTTAGCTAGAGAATTCTCCTTTCATGAGTCAGGAAATTAAGTGTTCAATTTAATGTTTCTGCGTAATTTTGGAGAAGATTAGCCATTGCAAATTATAATCAATTTTATTGTATACGCTTACTTTTGTAAACATTTTTACCTGAGTTGAAGATCAAGCGTCAATATGTGTTCTGGCTATCCTAACTAGCTATGTATGACTAGTATGAGCATAACCTTACTGGCCTTGCTTCTTGTGTTTGATCAATCTAAGTTGTTTACAGTTGACATGTTCATCTTTTGAACCTTTTGCCCTTTTTGGCTAAATATGCTGGTAATTATTTTTAAAAAATGATCGAGGTCATATAAAGTACATTAATGAAGCAATTGAAAAGACAAATGCTCCATGCTGTATTGACATACTTCAAATTTGCGACAAGTTTCCACCTGTAGGAAATTTTTAATCTATAGTTTCTAAGATTATTGTTTTAACTTTTGGGTTGATTTTTAAATAAAATTTTAAAATGTGACATTTATTCTGATAATTGTAATTTTTCAATATTTAAATGACTATAGAATATAGTCATCGGTCCAATTAATCAGTGAAGGGCATGTTGTGATGGATGGGAGAAGCATTAACAAGAAACATGTACAAAGATGTTTGTGGTTCACTATGTGTTAGCTACGTTCATAGGTAGATGAAACCCCTATGCTGAGACATTCTCATTCAGGGGGCAAACTAATTCAATGCATGCTTTCAAATATTCAATCAGTCTAATGCACAATCAGTTTATATTTTGGAATATTAAACTTTGCAGACTGCACAGTGCTATTGATTTACATACAGATCAGAGTATGTACAAACATCAAAATATTTTGATTTACGAATGAATGATACATTAGCTACCACCCTTAATCTTAGTTCTTTCAGAGAAACTCTGATACCAGTTGGCACTGCAGAAGGCCATCATCTGTAACTTCATGATGATCATGTAATGCAGCATAACTCTCTGAAGCTTGATTGTTAGAGAAGAATTTCCATTTGGGGATTGAGGATCATCTCTAGTTCTAACTCGGGAAAAAAAAAAAATCAAATTTGGCTGCTATGTGATAAAGACACATCCGTATTGTATGTAAATCGATTACATCCCAAGAGGCCCGACACCTAAATGAAAAAATGTAGTATGAGTCAGTTTCATCAAATCAACTGTAATTTAGTGTCTGCTTAACTGTTGCAGGAGAATTGATCACTTGATTGCACAAGTCAAAATTACCTGACATGGGCATTGGTGGCATCGGAGGTCTCCTCGGAAATGGTGGTAAATTACCTGACATGGGCATTGGAGGTCTTTTCGAAAATGGTGGTAAATTACCTGACATGGGAATTGGTGGCATTGGAGGTCTCCTCGGAAATGGTTGTTTTTCCTTAATGTCAACAGCTACAGCATCTGACGTAAGAAATGTTTTTGCAACCGATGCTGCATTCTCCAAACAGCACCTGACTACCTGCTCCCATTTGAGAGGGAAATGTAAAAAATTATTGTCACTGGGCACGTATAAATGTGTTAACAAGATGTGAAGAATCTAACAGAAAGGAGAGTAAAAAGAGTGCATTTTATTCTACAAAAGATTTGACACTATAAGAGCATGACTTGGTTCTTTGCCCATTCTGCAAGCAAGCAGAATAAATTGATTTTTTTGGGTTAGATGCACTTCAAATCTTCTAATGCTTCAATTTGGTAATTTAATCTTTACCATGAATCCATGATATTTGGAATGAAGGCCTCTATAGTTACTTTGAACATACTACATGATACAAGCAACCCGAAAAAATACATTACTATAATTATTTTCCCTTAGTAACAGGAAAAATTACATTTGAATCTAGTGTACCTTTGTAGGATCTATAATCCCAGCTTCCATTAGATCCTGATAACAGTCACGTGCAGCATTGTACCCATATCTCAAGTTATCATTAGCAAGAACCTGCAACAATAGTTTTCGTAGAGTTAATTATGAGCAAAATGCTCACATTTTTTGAGCAGAACAGAATTCAGTAAAACAGTATGCAGGACCTTTTGCACAACCACACTGCCATTAACGCCTGCATTTTCTGCTATCTTTTTTATTGGGTAGGCCAAAGCCTGTCTGAAGATCTCTGCTCCAACCTGTAGATATTTACTTAATTTCAGTCACATTTGTCAAGGAATGCTCATAAAAATCTGACATGAGTACCTCTGAACATACATTTTTTGTTATGACAAATGTTCTGAAGTTTAAACACAAGCTAGGAATTCATTTGATATAAAGGTATAGTTATTGAGCTGTATCATATCACATCCAAAACTTTTAAGCAGCTCAGAAATATCATAAGTTAGGCAACTCAAAGAAGGGAAGATCATAGCCATTGGCTATAGACATTATGAGTTCGTTTACATCGAACTAAGCAGTTATCTAAGTTTTATAACAAAAACAATAATCTGAAAGGAAGTGCTGCATTACCTTTTGCTCCTCATTATCTAGCTGCTCTTTGATTTCATCAATCTTCAATGAAAGCCGTAAAAGACAACATCCTCCACCAACCACAACACCTTCTTCAATAGCTGCCTACAAAATGTCATTTTGGAGATTAGAAACAAGAGTTCATGTTACGAAGGTTGTTAGCAAGTGCGTTAAAGATTCAAGAATAGAAATAAGTAGATAACAGATCTTTAGGATTCAGTTCTTGTTATTAAGCCACGTAAACTTGTTAGCTATTGAGTAGAATTATAAGAGCAATAAGAAACCAAAAATAAAGAGAGGGAGTGCAAAATTTCAATTTTTCTAATGGTCAAACAAAATCTTTCCTTGATATTGCTCCTAAAAAAGATCATAGGAACTTCTTTGATTTCTTCATGACTTGTCATATGCTTAGACACGATTTTGTAGGCTCATAAGCTTTCTCCATCCTAAAATAATAGGTCATATTTCGATTTAGTTTGTCCCAAAATTATACTCCGTAGGTCACTTGCTGGAATTTTCCTATAATATCCTCAATGATGTTCTAAATCAATATTTTTACAGAAAAGCTACATTGATATGATGAAGTAAATTTTGGAAGTAAAAGATAGTTTGGTATTTTGGCTGATATCCTTATAAAGACCATGAATCAAATGTGGCCTATTATTTAGGGACAAGGGGAGTAGTTGTTATTACGATCTCATCAAAGTTAAAATATATAAACCGAATAAATCAAGAACAGTACCTTAGTTGCATTCAAAGCATCTTCAATCCTTAGATGTTTATCCTTCAGCTCAATCTGTGTTTGAGCTCCCACCTGCAAAAGGCTGCAATATAGTCATTTCATTTTAACAAAATGTCCACAACACAGGGTACCTGTTCCTGTAAATAAATTATGAAATTACCTCTATGATAGCAATACCCCCAGATAACCTTGCTATTCTCTCATGCAGAATTTTCCGTTGAAAATTTTCTTCGACATTCTGGAGATTGACCAATAGCATTTAACAACTAAGTATCATGCAAGGAAACCATACAAAAACTGTCATCAAATATCCTCTGCACATATCTGGCCAGATATTATCTTACTAGCTCAAACCTTCAAAATCTAACAGAACATTACACTGCTTAAAAAAATGTATTTCCTAAAATCATACACTTGTTCTTATAACTTCGATATACTATACTCCACAGGACTGATGCCATTGATATTTCAATCAGTATGTAGATCAATACTGACCTATCAAAGTTCTATAGTTCAAATGATAGGCCAGATCTGTGAAGAACTTGATGCCTTACCTCAGCATATGCTTTGATTTCGGAAACTCTCTTCTCAACAGCTTGCCTTGTACTTCCATCAGTAACAATTAAAGTAGATTTGTTGGTTATGATCACTTTAGTAGCAGTTCCTAATACATCTATTCCCGCCTTTTCTAGGTTGAGGCCTATATCATCTCTGATCACAGTTCCTACACAGTGCATGAGAACATAAAGAGCACACTTTTAAAAAGATACAAAGTGTACACCCATTTTGGTATTTGAAGACCTGACAAAGGTACGTGAGGAGATATGAAGAGTCGGAGAAACATAAGCTATAACAATGTGGTCAAGCTTAAGTTGGATCATGGCTGCTTTAGGGAAGCATAAATGTAACTCTTATGACCAGTAAAGGAACTACCTCTTGTCAATATAGCAATGTCATCCAAGCAATGACTTTTACGTTCTCCAAAGGCAGGAGCCTTGATAGCAACAGCCTTCAGAGCACCTTTTAGTTTGTTCCTGATTATTGGAGCCATAGCTTCCTGCTCTATGCCCTCTGCAATGATCAAAATTGGAAAATCTCCCTGAACCGCATTTTCTAACATTTTGAACACCTCCTTAGGATGAGTGATCTTTTTGTCCACCAAAAGAATCTGCCAGGTGAGCAATTAATCCTTTGATCACTCCTCAGAAGAAGATCATAGAAAACAGATTATTGATGTATGAAACCTACCTTGCAATTGTCATACTCTACTGTCATTTTTCGTCGATCTGTGACAAAATAAGGAGACAAGTACCCGCGATCAAACTGCATTCCTTCTACAATCTGCAGTTTGTTTTCTGTGTATGTTCCTTTCTCAACTCTCACAACTCCTTTCCTTCCTACTTTTGCAACAGCTTCAGCAATCATATTGCCTACTTCATAATCATTTCCTGCACTAACAGCAGCCACATCTGCAATTTCATGATCTTCAATCTGCATTATTTTTGCAAACTTAATTTAAGTACTATGAATATAAACTCTTAAATTTCTTCCTTTCTCCGAGGTTTTCATGAGTCTAAAGCATTAAGAAACAATAGAAGAACAGTAACATTCACCTCCCTAGACATTAGTTTAAGCTGAGAAACAAGGGCCTTTGCTGTTTTCTCGATCCCACGTGAAATCTGGATAGGATTCCTGCCTGCTGCAATGACCTTAAGAGTTGCACCATTAGTACAAGGAATTAAGAAGCTAGACAACAACACCAAAAACAAGGCATTTTAGTTTAATGGTGTCCCTATTCCTTAACTAAGGAATATGTTAAATGCAATTGTGAAAATAAAGCAAATTGTCCTAGCAGTGACCCTTTTGGATAGGGATATGATTACCTTCACACCCTCATCAATGAGACCACGAGCAAGAACAATCGACGTTGTTGAACCATCACCAGCAAGATCATTAGTTTTAGCACCGGCTTGTCTCACCAACTTTACTCCAACATTCTCTAGAGGATCCTCCAACTCAATCTAAAGTATGATCAGTTAATTACATAAGAAAAGTTCACACAAATTTATATGGTAGCTCCTTTACATTATATAAATATATAGTGCTAGTCTAGTCTGTTAGAAATTGCACTGTTTCACAAAATGCATACATTTCTGAAATCTGCTAAATATGAACTTATGTATGAAATTCCAATATTAATCGAAATAAGCTACATTGATTCACAATCATTTTTAAGGAAGTTGAGTTAAAAAAATCATAGTTTAAGTACCCACCTTACAAATATTGTGTACATGATCACACAATTAATAGCTTAATTCTTTAGTCTTTTATTAAGGGTATTATGAAAAGTTTACATTTCAACATATCAAGTACTATGAAATGACTCATTGATACGGGGACAGCCCGAAACATAAATGTGGCCGATTATCTAGGGTCAGGGATGTATAATTTCTATCTCACACCCACATACTAATTAAATAGCAGAATTGATGAAATAAATGCTACAAAGTATAAGCAAAGTAGATAACCTCTTTAAGAACAGTCTCACCATCATTGACAATCTTGGGAGGTCCATATTTATTTGGCAAAATCACATTTCTTCCTTTTGGACCCAATGTCACCCCTAACAAATCTCCCACCAAATTCACCCCTGCCTACAATTCCCACAAAAAAGATTAAAAATTGATAAAATCAACAATTATAAATTCAAAAATAAAGGTGTAATGGTCCAAAAATGGTAAACCTGAAGCTTCTTAGTGACAGAACCATCATGGTTAAAGTGGAGCTCTTTAGCCATGGCTTTAATGGTGGTGTTAATTGAAGTGGGTTTAGTATAACAAGTTCTGTGTAATGTTTTTTGATAAATTAAAGAAACTGGGTTTGGTATGGAAGCCATTAATTTGAAGCTCAGTGATTAAATTTTGTAGGAAAATTGGGTTAGTTTTGAGTTGTAGAGTTGTTTTTGTGTTTTCGTGGGTGATTGTTTTTATTTGGATGAATGGAGATAGATGTGGATAATGAAGAGAGATGGTTAGATGGAGGCCCAACGGTCGATATATTTTTGGGTTTATTTTCTTTGGAAAATTTCCCTCTATTTTAGAATCTTTATTTATACTCTATTTAGTTGTAACATCTCCTAGTCAATATGAGTCAACTATTAGATATTGTCATATTGTATCTCTTTGATAGGTATCAGTGACGTTTCCAGAATTTGTAATTTGAGGGGATAAATTTTAAATGTTTAATAAATCGACAAAAAGTTTAAGAAAAAATAATGATCAGATCTAGGGCTGGCAATCCCTGACCCGACACAAACCCGACCTGAAGTTATTGAGAGAAACCCGGACCCAAACAACCTGAATTCGACCCGATTTGACCCAAATTTCCTATTTCATAATAATATTAAGTTTTACACTATTTTTATAGTTTCTAAGCATAACTCAAAATCGACCCGAAATCTGATCCGAACCCGACCCGCTAACCCAAATTGCCACCCCTAATCAGATCACATAAATTGTTTAATATACAGTTTAAATTACATATGAAATATGACAATTTTGTAAAAGATTTATTTGTCAGTAAATCCCAATTTTAAGTTATGTAATCCCAATAATTGATAGATGATTTATTCCTCAAAAAAAAAATGTAAATTTTGCATTGACTAATCATATACTCCGTATACCATAATTCCTCTTATCTTGTAATAAATTTCTATCATTGTCATTAAAAAAAAAGTAATTTATTTCTATCACCCAAGGATAAAAATGAACATAAAACCAATGAATTATTTACACGGTCAGCTTTCAAAAAAAAAAATAATATTTACATGGTCAACAAAATTAGTTGAATCCTATAAATTGCCCAATTTGTCATAAAGCCTTAAACGTACACTATTTCCCCCTCACGCCCTCTAACACACCTCACCCAAAAAAATAAAAATGTCTAACTCTAGTCTTGAAAACATAGAAACTATGAAAAATTCAGAGGAAGTAGAAATGGAGAAGAAGCTCTATGTTGCAGCTGCAAAAGGTAATGTAGAGTTTCTTCAAGAAATTCAGCACAACGAACAAATTTTTACTGAACAAAACTTATTTAAAAAACAATGTCATTCACATCACGGTTCAACACGAATTCGTAGAAACATGTCTTAGGCAACTTCCAAATGATTGTAATGAGTTAATATGTGAGAAGAATTCCAAAGAAGACACCCCTCTTCATGTCGCGGCCGAGGTCGGAAACTTTAGTATAGTCAAGTTACTCAATGATCATTTTGGTGATAAGAAGCAAATGGTATGGAGGGTGGAAAACTCAAAGGGTAACACTCCACTTCATGTTGCACTTGTTCATGATAATGTTAAGATTGCTAAGTTTTTGTTGGAGAAAGATCCTTCCTTGGCTTGTATTGTGAATAAGTCAAAAGAAGCACCACTTCATCTTGCAATCAAACACCTTGTTAATTATTGTAAGTTTGTCAATTCTCAACCTCATCTTATTTGTTTGTAAGCCTAAGACTGTGGTTTGGTAACTGTTAGCTTATTTGAGCAAAATTAGCTTATTAACTTATTCATTATTAAATAAGGTAATTGAGGTGTTTGGTGGAAAATTTACTTCAAGTTTTTTGTTATTAAAGTTTTTTGTTTTGTTTTGTTGTTTTTAATTAAAAGCCTATTTAAAGAGCTTATATATTTTTTTCAAAAAAAAAAAAAAAAAAAAAGAGCTTATATATTCCACTAAAAGAGCTATTTTTCAAAAAGTAATTAGCTTGCTTGTTTGGTTCATAGATACAATGTCTGTTTTCAGTCTATTATATCTATGTATAGATCGAGCATGACTTGTGGGTTAGTCTAGCACAATTTAGGCTTGAAGCTCATTCTTGGCACGACATAACCTGAGTGGCCAATGATCTACCAACAAGTTGTGCATTTTGCAAAAATAGGAGACACCCTTAATTTTTTTTTTAGTTTTAATTTAACTCATTTGCTTAGGTTTTTATTTTTATTTTTTTTATTTTTTTTATTTATAAATTTATAACCCGTATTCAATTTATATCTTTAATTATTAAGTAATTGGCATGTACGAAGGAAAAATCTAATTAAGTGGATTCGGCTTTAGTATTGTATTATATAACTAACTTAGGCTCCGTGCCATATACGGTAAATCTTATCATTGTAAAATTAATTATATCTTTCAAATAAATTTGATAAAACATACACATCAAATATATAGAAAATTAAAAATTAAAAATTATATTGTCATATAATCTATGTTAGAAGACAAAGTAATATATAATCTCAAGTTTTAAACACATAATAGTAATATATTATCTCAAGTTTTAAATACATAATAGTAAAACCCCATAAACAAAATTGTAATTAATTTGAATGTATAATTAATATTTAAATGGAAACAAAATATAGGAGGTATTTGAAAATATTTGAGTGATATTTTTAAGTTATTTGTATAATATGGAGTATCAATTATATGAATCAATTTTATTATTACTTTTTTTTGGCAATACAAATTTTATAATACTCCGTAAAAAAGACGATTAAAAATAAGGACACCAGTTAAACAGGAACACATTTATTATAAAAATAATATAAAAGATATAGAATTATATTATTACAGTGGTATTAATATACAAATATTAAAAAAAAATGACTAAAATGGAGATGGAGTTTTGGAGGCAATAAATAGCACCAGGATGAGACACACGTCACTTTCGGTGTCTGCTTTAGTGTTAAGTTATTGATTATTGATGATTAATCTGTTGAACGTCTTAAAACGATAGAGGTGAAAAGTTCGGTTTGGGGTGTGGTTTATATCCCAAATTAAAACCAAACTATATTAAATCGGTTTGGAACATATTATTATTTGGTCCAAACCAAATCACACCGTTTTAAAATTTGTTTTCAAAACAAAAATCAAAACCAAACCTAATCGCACTTTTTTTTCTTGGTTTAGTTTACGGCTCGGTTCGGTTTTGTTTTTAAACCATATTAATTTTACCCCTACGTAAAAGTCTAGTGTGGGTCTTTCTTAAAAAAAAAAAAAAAAAGTCTAGTGTGGGTTATGAGCATTTATCTCAATTCTCAAGCTCTCAACCACACACCAAAAACATAATGCTTCACCATGACGTCACGCGGTGGGACACCATGTGTGTACGATATTAGCCTACCCAACCAAGTGACCAACATATGCACTAATGCACTTGCATATTTTCAGCTGTTTGTTGATTTATTTATTTAATTTGTCTCTTTCATTAAATATAAATGCGCTGAATTTTCAACGCTTTATTTACTCCTCTACAAACAATTAAAATGATGTTTTGCTTTATTAGTTTCTGCCTTTCTGGCCACATTTTTCATCTTTTACCATCTGATGACTACATATCATGTAAACTCTTTTTTTCATTTGATATACTAAGTGATAGTAACCATTCTTTATTGAAAAAAAAAGAAGTGATAGTAACCTACTAACCTTAGCTTGAAAGGTCTATACGTAGCACGAGTATAATTTTATGTATATCAAAAAAAAAAAAAAAAACTTTTAAAAAAAACGTTAGCTTGAAAGCGTGATACTTATATTATATTATTTATTCTTTCCGTCTTATAATACAAAGCCAATATATATTAATTTATTTGAACTAATTATATTAACTCATTAGTTTTAAGGAATCCTATTTGAGCATGCTTGGAGAAGAATTAGACTTTAAATCATTAGGTCTAGCTGGTATCATGCAATAGAATTAGACTTGTTAAATATAGTTGTAACATTAATTACCATTTATTTGAAAAATATTTAACTTCTGTTTATGTATTTGTGCTATACATATATAGCTGAGAGTGAATCAATAATGGCCAAAATAAAACAACCTATTACTGAGGGAGGAGCTGCCTTGGCTACAACATTTGTACCCGGCGAAGATATGTCAAGTTTGATATTATTTCTGATAGAGAAATGGAGTCATGTCACATGTTGGCCTGATACAAACGGTTCGACTCCTCTGCATAGTGCAGCATCGCTTAACTCACCTTATAACCTTGAGGTCATAAAAAAAATACTTTATCATTGGCTGCAGTCTGCAGAGGTGTGTGATGCTTCTGGCAAGTCCATCCTACATCTTGTGATAACTAGGCTGCCAAACTATCAACAAGTTAAAAATTTGCTTAAATTTAAAGAGATTTATGTCCTCAGAAATTGTCAGGACATACTAGGAGATACACCATTGCATATTGCTGCAAGAAATAAGGATATTAACATGGTACGAGTTCTGTTGGAATCCTCGACGAAACTTAGTATTAAAAACATGGAAGGTGTCTCGGTAGCATCACTGATACAACAACATAATCTTCTTGAGGTACTACTCTGTTTTGTAGGAACAACTGAAACTAGGAAACATTAACGCTTTGTTTGGATAACAAAGAAGGAAGGAAACGAAGGGGAGGGAAAATGGAGGAAGGGAAGGGAAAAGAAAGGGAGGGGGAGGTGAGCTCCATTTTCCCTCCAAATCTCTCCAATTTTGGAGGGATTATGGTTATTATAGAGTGAGGGAAAATGGATCCATCTCTCTCCTTCCCCTTCCTTCCCCCAATCTTTTACCCAAACAAGAGATTTTGTCCCCCTCCATTTCTCTTTTCTTCTTTTCCTTCCATTTCTTTCTATCCAAACAAAGTGTAATACAGTACTGATATATATTATTTCATTTGTCGAATATTGCAATGCAGATGCTAAGGAAGCGAAACATGACACTGGAGGAATCCGAAGCAGCAGACAAAAGAGACATAGCCTTTCTAAGGCAAAGAATGAGCAAATTAGGGATGGAAAAATTGGAAATCATGGAATTCTTACTCTCACATGATTCCAAGGGAAGAAATATCCTTCATAAATTGCTACAGATACAAAATGAAAGCCGAATAATGCATGACGACTTTGTAGATTTCATCCAACAACTTCTTGAAAAATTTCCATCACTTGTCTGTCAAACAGGTTCATATCCTTGTACAAAATCATTCTGATACGAAAATTTATGTTGCTTCAGGAAACCGAGACAGCCTTGACACTGATGTTACTTTAAAATTGTGCAAATCAGGCCTTTTGTTACTATTACTAGAATTATGCAATCAGAGTATCCTTAGATCTCAAGAACAGACACCTTGGTTGGTACAGAATGCAGAGGGCAATACACCGCTTCACGAAGCACTCGTAGCAAATAACACAACTTTGGTAAAAAGATTGTTAATGCACGATCCAAGATCGGCTGGTGTAGCTAACAAGTGTAAAGAGTTGCCTCTTCATTTGCTCGCCGAATGCCCCATGAGTAAATATTTTAACTTCAACAAGTACTATTTTTTATTCATCATTTTAAATTGTTTGGTAGTGTTTTGCATAAGACATGGATGAGCAGTTCAAGAAAGAAGTAGACATAGAATCAATGGTAGAGGCGACAAACGACACAGCGACACATTGGCTCGACAAGGATGGTCTCACCCCCTTAATGAGAGCTATTAAAGCTGATAACCTCGTAATGGCTAGAGAACTATGCAATCTATCACCAAAAGCAGCACAAACTTGTGACGATGACGGGTTGACATTTTGGCACCACCTAATAGATCATCCATCAGGCTATTTTTTGCACCACCTTCTACAAATTAAATCTGTAAGAGATCTGCTGAAATTGAAGGACAATCATGGAAACACACCGTTACGATCTTGTAGAAGTATTCCTTCATGTTTGGGGGGAAGAACGTAAATCATCAAAGGACAATGAACAATGGCTACTAGATCTTTTAACAATACAGAACAAAGCCTGTAAAACCCCTGCCGATCTTATCAGAGAATCACCATGTCTTCCTCCCACTGTAAGTACTTCCTGTCTATTATTCTTGTATTATTTTAATGATGGGTTCATTTTAATACATGTACCGAGTAAATTACTTTACAACTTCAAGTGGTAAACTATGAATTTGGAGATAAAAGGGAGTAAATTACTAACCAGAATTAAACTGGGATAGCATTAGCAAAAAAAGAGACAGGAATCGTCATCATTTTCATTAGCAATAGCATGAGCATAAGCATACTGGATACAACCCACAACATAGGCTGTCAAAGAACCAGGTTCGGGATCATTCAAAAAAGTAACGTGGTACCCTGATACGAGATTCCAAGGAAAGCAGAATAGGTCACCGGATACATGGAAAAACGCAAACTTAGCAGCGCAGTCACTGACCATAGTTCGCAGAAATTGGAGGTCGATCCCAACTATATTTCCTTGAAGTTTCCCAATTAAAAGCGAAAACCTGACTTGACCGATTGAACCAATACATGATAGGTTTTGTTATTTTGTTATTTTGTTTTGGTTTTTTTATTTTTAGAAGAAAAAAAAACAATTATTAACACATTATGGAGTAAAAAAAATTGCGTCATGATGAATAGGTCATCGCCACTCATCGGTTTAAATGTCAACAGTTCTTGGTAAAAATATTAAGGGCCAAGTATAATAGCTTCATGTTAGATTCATAATTTATTTAAGTTTAAAAAATCTCATATGAAGGGATTTATCCTACCTTATATAAATAAAAAGTAAAAAGTAGAAAGTTGCTCTTATGAATAGTGCACGGACTTTTATACTCTTTAAAATGTTATTTTACCTTTGTACCCTTATTTACCCTTCAAAATGTGTTTTACCTTTGTAACCCTATTTGTAATTTTGTACTCCAACAATCCAACTTCAAATTGTTCTTACCCGTTTATATTTCCTTACACATTTGAGATTTCTCTCCTCCTCTCCATGACTCCATCTGTTAAAATATATATATATATATATATGGATTATGGCTGCTTTAGGAAATGGTTGTTTCGGTTTCATCTAGAAGGATTGTACTTTTAAATTAAAAATGAACTCATTGATTAATACTGTTAGCCTCTGTAGTGGATTAGGAACTGGTCGTTTTGGTTTCATCATTGATGATTCTTTCTCTATTTCGTATTGTACCAACACAATTAAGTAATGCTAATATCAACACTGCAAAAATAAACAGACAACAATTCTAACATTTGTTCCTTTTCTGCATTATCATTGAAAAACCTAAGCATTATATTCTACTGTAACTCTACGTAGTATTCCAATTAAAAGAATCACCATATACAAATAAAAAAATTAAAGATTTTTTTTTCAATATACGAGATATTTCACACGTAACATTCAACTTAGGACGACTACAAAAAAAAAATGCCTAAGCAATAGAAATATATTCTTTTTACCGGTCTTTTATTCCTCCATGTGAAGTGCAAATACAAGACAAGTAAAATTAAGTTGCAAAAGCTAGCCATTCCGCGCGCAACGCGCGCGTTGACTGCCCTAGTATAGAGAAATATGTTAGTTTGATTGACATATTTCTCTATATAATGCCCTTCGTATGAACTACACTAACCTTTAGGTTGGTCAAGTGAAAAGGATTACACCTTCTAACCTTGAGGTGAAAAATATGAGGATCCCTTGCCCATTTCCCCTCACTCTTAAAGTGTCTAATATGCAAATAACGGACCAAAAAAACCATAAAGGCTAAGGTTCGTTCGGGATCCTTCACTCCTTATTGTAAAAATAAATAAATTAATAAACTACACTAACCCTTAGTCCATACTTCATAGAGTTTTTACTTATTACAGATGGAGTAGTATAATAACCTCTGAACCTCATACTGTATATAATATTTCATATTAAATTACTCATGGTTTTTTTAGTAGTTTGGTCAATGCAGACCATGTGTTAATTTATGGAGAAACTGAATATGTATCGGGGGGAGGTGATGGTTTAATTACTTATTCATCATGGGGGAGGGTGTGAACAATCAAGTTGTGTATGTATCACATGGATTTACATCATGCTGACCCTTTTGGCTTTCATCATGTTGTTGCTATAATAATGTCAACATAATACTTGTATTAAAGCAAATTACAATTGACTTGATTTTGAAATGAAAGATCTATCCTATATATTATTTTGTAAGATAAGATCAAAGACTCTACGGAATCATCAGCTCCTTTTACAGGTTAAGCAAATCCCGCTTGGAGAGTTAAGGGAATCCCCATAATCTCAAGTAATTGTTATTGGTGGAGCTCAAATTTCTAACTTCAAAGTCACATACAACTATACAAGGTGAGTTATTTACCAACTCTGCGAAGCAAATTTGGTTACAATGACTTGCGATTGATTTGAATTGAATTTTTTTCAATTTCAAATATTTATGCATTTTTTTATTTAGTATATATATATATATATATATATATATATTCTAAGTTAAATATATTAAATCTTACAGTATAAGATTTACATGACTATGTTTTTCATGTAATGTATAAATTGAGGAATGCAAATAGCCAAAACTAAAGTGAATATACAAAAGTCAAACCTTCTCGTTAGAAAACAAATACTACCTCCGTTAAATATTATCTGCAACTTTTGCCGTTTCGGGATGATCAGGGTTATCTGCAACTTTTCATTTTTTTTCCATTTGTAGTAAACAAAAAAGCATGAAATTACCATTTTACCCTTACTTATGTTTTATTTATTTTTAATTACTACCCTTATTATCTCCTAAACTAATCTTATTTCACAAACCTTAAACTAATCAGATCTACTCTAACCTAATGATTCCCTCCCTTTATTTCCTCATCTCCCTCCTTCTTTCCTCATTTACTGACTTCCCCAACCACCAAAAATTAATTTCTGATGGTTGGGTTTCCCTTTATGTTCATGAATCTTCTTCTGAAGATGAACCCTAGTTCATCGTTTCCCACCTTCTCTCTCCTCTTTTACCTCGATTCTTCCTCTCCTTCTCTCCAGATCTACTCTTCACCAATCACCACACCATTTTCTGAGAAAAAAGAGTCCCCTATGAAAATGCCTAACCTTGATCCTTTGAAAGATGCGTACATTGCAACAAATGATAAGGGTGAGGAGAATCTGATCAACCACTTCCTCCATTGCTTTGAAACTGACAACCCTTTTCCTCGTGATTTCTACGAATCCGCTGAAACTGGTGGCTACTGTGCTCTGTACAGATATAGAGCTTTGGGTCAAGTCCTAAAGAGTATTGATGAGGAGGAACGGTTGAAGAGGGAGGAGGCGAAGTTGAAGAGTGAGGAAGATCCTCTTCCTATGGTGGTTGAATCTGGCTCTGCTGCTCCTGCTCCTGCAGATCTGGGTTCTGTTTGTCCTCTTCTTGCAGATCTGGTGGCTGAATCTGCTTTGGGGGTTGCTGTGGCTCCAAAAAAGGCCAGAACTAAGAGGCCTAGGTCACCCCCAAGGTCAGATCTACCAGGAAGGCGACACGTGTTGCTCTTCGGAGGATGCGTGGGCTTCCAGACCATGAGTACATCATCCTTTCTTCTGATGAGGATGAGGATATGGAGGAGGCTTCTCCTTCTCCTGCCAAGCAGCCTGAATCTAGATGCTCTTCAGTCCCTGTGGTCAACTGCTATGTGAGGCGGATGAACCGTTCGGTTCAACCCTCTGAGTGACTGCTTTCGTAACGATTCCTAACCCTAATCTCTTTCATTTATATTCTTGAGTCCCTCATATATCTTGGTTGGTTTTCTTTAATTTTTTGCATGTGTTCTAGGCTACCTTGTTTGTTTTTTACTGGATTATGTTGTTGGTGGGTGAATTATATGAGTCCTGTTGCCCATATGCTGATGGATTGTTTTTTTTTGGTGGATCTGTTGGATGAGCATGCCTGTGGCTTAATTATAGACCATGTGTGGCTGGAATGTTGTTCATATTATGTTTTAGTAATAATGATGGTGATATTGTGAGTAATACTCATGAATGATATGGTGTACTCTGTATTTTTGGCTGTGATAATGTTGCCTTATGCTGGTTGTCTGATTGAAAGAGTGTTGCCTTGATCTCTCTGTTTGTGTACTAAGAAAGATGGAACAAGGGATTGTGATTAATGAATGATGAATGCTGAGTTCAGTTTGGTTTGTTTGTTTTGTTGTGTGGTATATACAATGTTCTCAATGATCATGTTTTGTAGAGAACAATGTCTATGGGTTGGTGTTCTTGTTATAGCAGTGCTTCAATGAGTCCCCCCCCCCTTTCTGTTATTTGCCCCATGAATGTGTGGAGTCCCCCTTGTCTGTATGAAATTCCACCCTTAGTGACTTGTATGGTTCAAATGATGAAGGGACTCCATTGAATTTCACTTAACACATTTGAGTTGCTCCAACAATCTCTTGTTTGAGATTGTTGTTGAGGTAACAATGTTGTGAAGTGTAGTATTCAACACCATTGATAACCTTTCTGATGGACATGTATTGCCATAACACTTCAAAAACTTGTCTTTGTCATTTCATTCATATAGTGATTACAAAAGTTGATGCACATAAACAAAAGACTTCACATTTGACTGTCTAACATGTTAGTTTAATCTAAATCACCAAAATACACCTAACCACCTATTCATTAACCATAGCATAAGGGGGAAAAAAAAGGTTAAGTGGTTATGTGTGGTAGTCAATGTTGTCAGTGTGCAAAACCTGGTTTGTGGCTTGAGTCCCCTAATCTGCATCCACTTCCATATCTTCTGCTGCATCTTGAATCCCTTGAGTGGCTGGCCTAAACATTGTGTTTAGGTACTCTACACTTCCCAGCACTATATCCCTTTGCACCTCCACCTTGTCTGGAAAAATGCCCAAATTCTCAAGCTTTTTTTTTGTTTATATGAGGAATTTTGTACTTGTTACCCCCTTCTGCTTGCAGTATCATGATCATGCATTTTTGCAAAGTGATCCAAATGTACTTGTTCACCTCTGGTTTGAATGTGTCATAAGACTCAATGACCTTGTCCACTAGCTCATCCAAGTTGCTAGGAAATGATTGGTACTGCAGTGACTGAATAGACCTGAACAATCCTAAGTCTAGCACATTCAAGTCTGGTGACTGAGGTGGCTGAAACACCAGTTGAATGTTGAACCCATTTGCTGTAGTAGCTTCAATGAATTCTTGATCTTTGGGTATCTGGTGTGGTCTTGCATTGTCCCATTGTATTGTGACATTTTTTTCTTAGACTTTGTGGCCATTTTGAGATGACTAATGGTATTACTTTTGTGAGAAACATTTCCCTAATCACCTCTCTGTTCACATTTTGTATTGCCTTGGTCTCCCATGTTCCTGCAGGCTTGTTTTTGCTTGATTTTTTTGCTTGCTCTTTGACTGTGAAAGGAAACATGCCATATTTCCCATCATGTAGTAGCTCCCCATTTCTCCCATACAATGGCTTTCCCACTACTGCCATAAACATTGCCTTCAGTTTGAATCTTCTTGACGTTTGAACTCTCTGTGGGTCTTCCTCACTTGGAAGGAGATAAAATCTCCTTTTATCTGGATTAAGATAGAACCATTTCTCATCTATGTGGATGACATGGTCCATATCATCAAATGTAGAGTCTTCATTCCCAATGATAGGATTAATGTAAGACAGAATCCATTTCAGTCTTGCAACTTTGTGGTCACTTGTGAGAGCTGGCTTGTTGCTGCTTGTATGTGTTCTGAGCCTTCCTTTTTTTTTTTTAAGTTGTGAAGAGTAACATGAGATATCTTCAATGCTTCTGCATAACTCCTCTCTGTCTGCCTTAGGTGCAGAGGCACTGACTGTAGGAATTCATCAGTAAATTCCCTTGGTTTAGGCCCTGTTCTGCCATACTTCTTAGACCTGACATCAATCACATCACCTTGTTCCAACTGTTTTTGAATGTCCTTGAAAACCCTTGTGATTGTTGATTTGTGTACATTGAATTTGTGTGATAGTTCTTGCATGTACCCTCTTGGTAAGTTGCCATTATGCATTTTGAGTAAGATTGCATCTACAATCTCCCTCTTCTTGTGCAAATCAAGTTGTTTTCTGCTTGTTGCTGCTTGAATGTTGCCTTGATCTTCTGTTTGTTGCTGTGCTTGTTGATCATTGTCTTGCTGCCCCTTTTCATCCATTACTTCATCATCAGAATCATCATACAAGCCATAATCTTGCATGTGTTCTTCATAGTCATAGTAAAGCTCTGCTAGTTCTTCTTCAGTTAACAGTTGATCAACCTCCAAAAACACCCCTTCTTCTAACTCTGCCATGACATTTACTACACATGAATATTTCCAGCTCAAGGTTGATGAAACAGGAGTCCCTGCTGGTTTTTTTTGTGAAGAAGGGGCGTTCTTGTTAGGGTAAAAGGATGATGGAGGTGCCAAGCCAATGAAGCGTCTGATTTGTGAAGATCATGTGCATCACTGACTTTAGTTAGGATAATTTTTTGGATATTTAGGGACTTAATGACTGTGATTAGTGCTAACTTTTGGAAAACTAATGGTGTAATCTTAAAAATTTCATGGCTTGTCTTTTGGGAGAAACATTGAATGCTTCTGTAATGAATGAGGCTCCTTTTATATGCCTCTTAAATGCTCAATCTTTAATGCATAAATCTGTTTTTTTTTTAGATTTTGGTGGGAGTTTTGAATCTCCAAAAATTTCAAATTGTTTGAAATTTTGGGGAAATTTTAAGAGGGAAATCTATTTCCCTCAAAAAACTGACAGATTTCAAATGCAAGTGGGGGGGTCAGCCTTTCTCTCTCCTCTACTTTAATTAAATCATCTAAACTTCCACTAATTTTCACCCCTCAAATTTTGCATTGTGAACCGTAATCTGCTCCAAAGTTGCAGATAATATTTAACGGAGATAGTAGATATATAATATATTAGATCCATTTATCCATTTTATTTATTTAACCTAATTTAAAATTAATACTTCTAGATAGTGTACTTAGGGCCTGTTCACATTTACTGAACTGAATTGATTAGGCCTGTTCACATTTAGTTAATTTCAGTTCAGTTCAGCTCCAATCAGTTAAGTTCAATTCAGTTCAGCTTCAATCAATTTAGTTCAATCCATTTCATTTCAGCTCCTAATTTTCCTCTCTCATAAAATATTCATTTCAGCTCAGTTCAGTTCAGCTCCAATCAGTTTAGTTCAGCTCAGCTCAAATCAGTTCACTTTAGCTCAGTTTAGTAAATGTGAACATGCCCTTAGCATATATTACCTTGCTAGACACAACTCACACAAGTAAAAGGCAAGTAACAACTTTGAAGATGACAAGTTACACTCCATTAACACTTCCCTAAGCAACAACCACTGACTTTAATTATCAGATCAACAAACCATTTACTAATAAGATAGTAATATACACATCAATATAATATTACCTAGTCAACTTTTTATTTAATCAACAGTAGTACTACATTACTATTACTAGATCAACTCTCTCTTTTTTTTTTTTTTTTTTTTTTTTTTTTTTTTTTTTTTTGACACAAATTACTAGATCAACTACAATTATAGTAACATGCATGATTTTAGCTCGTCGTCTTACTAAATAATTTAATCCATGGATCTGAAATATCATTAATAATGTACCTGAAATTTGAATCATTATAATTTAATACACCATTTACAATAACAATTAACTTACTCCAGATAGATTGGACCGAATCTTTAAATAGACATCATCAATGGCCCAAAATAGCTACCTTCATTCTATAAAGTCATCCAAAAAAGAAAGAAAAAAAAACTCTTTTTTTTTTTTGAACAACTTCAGTTTTTTCAAAGGTGGCAACAAAAGAAATGGAGAACGAGCTCTATATCGCGGCCGCGGAAGGTAAGGTAGAGGTTCTTGTAGGAGACAAGAGCAACGAGTATTTACTGTATGGGAGGATATATAGGATGGGCCGACATCTTTTACAGATTCGGATTTAAACCCGGTAGGGATGATAAATGGGCAGATATGTTTGGTAAAGCAGACATATCGGCCTGTCGATACTTGGCACGTGGCAAGAGCAGTTTGACACTTCGCAGAAAAGGGCTTTGCATGCTCTGTAGACACCTGTCATGATACTTATTATAAATAGTAGGTTGGGAGTCATTAATGAGGTATTAATTACACTCTCTTTATCTCTTTCTCTCTTTCTCTCTCTTCTTTCTCTTTCTTATTTATCTTCTCTTAAGCACATTCTAACTTTATCATCGGAGTGGTTATCCCCGGAACATCCCGGGGTTAGCTAACTTCTGTTCAATTGTGTAGGTTCTCGGGCTGCCGATAGGAGTGTCAGGATCTCAGGTTCGGGTTCTCGGGTTATCGGATCCAGACAGAAAAAATTTAGCGCTAGAAGGAGGGGACCAGTGATTACTTCTATCGCCTAAGAACCACACACATAAAAATAACAATAATTATGGCCGGAAACAATATGACACCGATAATAAATAAAACAGTAAATCGACCAATCACAATGCAGCCAGAAATTGAGATAGAAGATGAAACACATACATTGGAGGAAAATCAGTTTCACATGCCGTTAACCCCAGAAAGGCAAAAGGGAACAACGGTAGATCCCATGGCAGATTTTACGCCAGAAGAATTACAGGTAGCAGCAAGGGTAATGACTGCAATGAGCAAAAAAAGAAAAGATGCCGAAATGGCTCAGGCAGAAGGGGGCGTGCCGCTAGCTAATCAAGGTGAGCAGTCCAATCGAATAACAAGCTCACCAAGGCACCACCGACAAGAAACGTCGGTAAGGACGCATACCACACCGCGTCACGCAGAGGGGGAGTCATCAAGCCGAACTGTTGTCACAAGAACCTATCAGCAGAGAAGTTCCCAGGTTGAAGGGCAGGTACCGCGAGTTGTGGTACAATTAAGGGCGTCACCATTTGCGCAAAGCATCTTGGATCAGCCGATGGAGAAGATCAAGATGCCGACATGTAGGTATGATGGAAGAGGAGATCCGGGAAGGTTTATAACGTCATACGAGGGGCACATGATGCTTTACACGAACTCAGATGCTGTATGGTGTAAGGTCTTTCCGACTACATTGATTGGGGCTGCAGCTGATTGGTTTAATAATCTGGAGAATGGGGTGGTAGATAGTTTTGAAAAGTTGACTGAGATATTCATCGGGCAGTATGTTAGCAACAGTGTGCGACAGAGAACATCAGGAGAGTGATGGAAGTTGAACAGAGGGCAGATGAGTCTTTGAGGGACTATATCAGGCGGTTCAACAACGAGGCAAACACAATCCCAAAGTTGCAACAAGAGATAGCAGTAATGGCCCTTATGAATGGCCTGAATGATTCTGAGTTCAAGCGGTATCTGACGCGAAAGAACTTCTCAACGCTGGCAGCAGCCTTCAACAAAGCTCATGATTACATCAAGAGCGAAGAGCTAATGAAGACAAGAAACAAGAATGTGACCGCTGGTAAGGGTCAGTTTTAATTTGAATGTGCAGCTTCAGGAAGTGGGAGGCCGAGAACCTCGACCCAAAATAGAGGAGGGGGAAGTCGGCAGGAAGTTAGGGCTACAAAACCGCCGATGCGGTACAGTTCGTATACACCGCTGAATACGCCTAGAGCGACGATCTTTTCGGTGAATCAGAACAGAGAAGAATGGACAAGGCCGATTCCTATGAAAGCCAGGCCAAGGGATGCTAAAAAGTATTGCATGTTCCATAGAGATGTGGGTCATTAAACAGAAGAATGTACACAGCTAAAGGATAACATAGAAGAGCTGATAAGAAAGGGTCATTTATCTCAGTACCAGCTAAGTCAGAGTGGAAACCAGCCCACACCCTGACAATTTTAAAGGCAGCAGCTTGATGTAAGGCAAGAAAGGCCGCAGGGTAGTGTGATCCGGAAGGGGGCTAGAGGAATTCCGCCGTTATCAACAGGGAGAGGGGTTGATGTGATAACCGGAGGGCCGGTGCATGGAGGGACAATCAGTGGGGCAAATAAGCATTTGTCGGAGCATCGCCATATAATTAATGCCCTGGATACAGATAGTCGCCCAAGACCAACTTCAATCCCAGATGTTGTTTTTACGGAAGAGGATACAAGGGGGATAGTCTTTCCACATGATGACCCGCTGGTTCTGACAACAAAGATTAATGGGGCTGACATAAAAAGAGTTCTGGTAGATGGAGGAAGTTCAGCTAATGTCCTTTTTATGAAAGCCTTTAATGAGATGATGATAGGGAGGCAATACCTGACGCCGATATCCTACCTAGTTATTGGGTTTAATGGATCTTCAGTACGACCAGAAGGGAGCATAGTCTTGCCGGTAAGGCTGGGTGATGGACCTACAACAAAAGATGTGATGGCAGAATTTTTGGTGGTTAATGTTCCCTCGGCCTATAATGCTATTATCGGAAGGCCGATAATTCATGATGTACAAGCTGTTGTATCAACATACCATTTGACAATAGCGTATGTGTCAAACTTGGGAGCTGTGGAAAATGTTCATGGAGGCAGGTTATGGAAAAGTCTTGTTATTTAACGGCTTTGAAGAATCCAGTCGGAGATGGGTCAATACCGAGTAATCCTAAAAAAGAGCTGGAGCCTA